TTCTCTCGCTATATATAGTCATATATATCGCTATATATCGGGAATTGATTTTCGGCTATTTGCGGTCTCGGCCAGCGAGTTGAAGAGCCGTCAGCGATTCCCATGAGTGGGCCATATTCGATTACCAGCATCGAATGGAAAAGGGTTCCCCGGGAAAAAGAAGAATTGTTTTTTGGTCAAGTTGAATTTTTTAAAAATAAGCTTAATTTGATTAGTTGGGTTCACTCGGTCACGGGCAAGGGAATAAGCAAGAAAGAGATAGATAAAGAGATAGAGAGAGAGAGAGAGAGAAAGAGAGAAAGAGAGAAAGGGGAAGTGAAAGGACCTAAAGCAGAGACAAAGGACACTTCTCAGTGGGCATTGTCAGGAGCAGAGAGAAGTTCCGAAAATTGATTTTACGTTCAACAGTTTTATTTGCCAACATAATTTAATAATAAACTTTGGCACTTTTAGCCCCATCCAATGAAGAGGTGGGAATTGGGGGGAGCTTCGAGGGCTGATGGGGCATTCAGGGGTGACTCAGTGGAGCTTGAAATTTATGTTCACGCCTGCATTGTTGCCTCGCAGCTCCGGCAGGACACTCGCCCTGATCCTGGCCCCTCGGGCGGCAGCTGTCAGGAGCACGGAACACCGGGCTGTGACCGCTGGACACCGAGCTTGGGTTCGCTTCGTTACGGTTTGGTTTGCCTTGGTTTTTGGCCTGGTTTTTAGTTTCGACCCAGTCTGATCTCGGCTTTAATTGGAAAATAAAGTAGAGTGACGGAGATGGAAAAACAATATTTTAGCAAATGAATTTCGTTCGTTTGAAGTGCTCGTTGTGTTATTGTTCAATTTGCGGCCAGCTCTGGTCCAGCCAGTTGCTGCCTTTGTCCAAATATTTGTCAATTAATTAAGTGTCAAAAAACGAGGGTTGGCATCTGCTGGAGGTGGGTTTTGGGCGTTTGAAAATCCAAATAAATCATTCGTGAAATTTTGCCCCACTCAAACACCTTGTTATGCCGTAATGAAATAGTATTCATATTTTGTTGAATTTTCCACGCTGAGTATTTAATTAGATTTTCTCACTCGTAATGGCTGCCTTGTTATTTTTATGATGGTAAAATTTATTTTGCGAAATGAATAACTGATTGCTGTGTGCGGAAATCTAAGTTGAAATTTAAAAGTTTATCTTTTGACCTACTCTCAGTTTGAAAAAACTGGGAATGCTTTTAGTTTTCATAAATCTAAATTGATATAAAACCATGTTATGCACTTTAAAAATTAAAAGAACATATTTTCTTCTATTAGTACTCTATGGATTTATAAAATTTTTTTTAGAAATAAATTGAAACATTTTTGTTAGCAAGGAAAGAAAACCTCGCTAGGTGAACATAAAAAGTTAGAAATTCCTCGAGTTCCCCAGACCAATTAACACGGTGGGCTCGACATTCCCGCCTCCTATTTCACCTGTTCTTTCTCCGCTCAAAAGGAGGCGTTCTTAAAGCCTCATCAAATATGCGGGTTGTCAGGCAGCATTTTCAGTGCCTTGGGGAAAATCGGGCAGAAGTCCCACCCGGCAGACCGCCAACGATGCCGGCTATGGAGAAGTAATTCAATTTGGGTTTAAAATTGCAAACTGCAGAAGGAGCCGCCCGAAGGAGGCTGAGGGGCTGGGCGGCCAAGGGGGCGTGGCATGTCAAGGCGACAGTGGAAGGAGGTCTTGATGGAATGGTGTAGGCTGTCGGTTGGGGTCTGCAGCAGTCCGCCTGCGGACTCTGGGGCTTCCTTCTTAATTAAAATGCATCGCATGTGAAGGCCGGGATATAAAATCGATTGAGTGCAGCTTAAATCGCCTGATAGTTGTCGGCAGGGATCACGCCAAAAAGGGATAAGGATAAGCAGTTGAAGCAGCAGCAACAACGAAGTGCCGGAGAGGATTAAATAACTGTCATTTTAAATGTATTCCCCCCTGCCCCTCCGATCCACTCGATACTGCACGACAGCCCAGCCATCGTTTATTCAGAAACTTTTACTTTAAATTGAATTTGCCTTCCGATTAAATTACCGCAACTGGCATTAAGCCCAGAGTCGAGTGCATTACGAAATGATTTCGAGGCTGTGGCAGCCGACTCTTTTGCATTTGGGGCACATAATTTTAATTGCATGCTGCGGCAGGTGGAGCCGCGAAAAGGGGAGAAGAGGGGAGATCTGTCTAAACTTTGCCTGCATTTGTTATTGTGGCACTGCTTGCAAAACTTTGTCCCTCCTCCAAAGTTTTTCGCCTCTCTTTTTTTTGCTCCACCCACAAGGACAAAAAGACGCTCGTAAGCGGGAAAAACTTTATGCGGGTGGCGGCGAGAAGCTGAAAATCAAATGAAAGTTGCTGGCCGACGACTTAGAGGCAGCTTAAAGCACTTAAAGTTGCCAAATGTCAAAGATTGCGTATACGCAGTGCTGTCCGGGCAGCGTTAGAGGTTAAATGTCAAGTGTTCGTGGGAGCATAAGAGTACTTCTGGGCAATTTAATTAATTTCATATTAAAATTACATAATTTGTCGTTAAAAACACTTATGACAGAAAATTAAACCCTTTAGTTATTTGAACAAAATACATTTTAGCTTTTAAAGTCAAGAATTTGCATAAATTAAATCGAATTTTGTTGCCATAGGCTCATATGTGCATACCATTTATCAAAATGTTTTAGCTAATTTGCCTATGCGAAAATCCCAGGGAGTAAGCCACAAAAAAAGAAATTGTGATTAAAATGGAGTTTTTATGATCCATTGGGGCGTGACTGGAGCCGCTGGATGTATTAAATGAAGGCCGCCCCGGTTCTAACGTATAAATTAGCACGCCAGGCGATGTCGGCAATAAAACGTTTTCGCGGGCATACGTTGCGTATACGCAACGCGGCGAAGGAATGCGAGCTCAGCCGAAAAGTAGGCTACAAAATGACACGCGCCCGGAAATGATTTAGATTGGAATGGCTGCGAAGGCAAAAGGAGAAGGGAAAAAGCACGAAATAAGTTGGAAGATTTTGTGTAAGCCGAAACAGCGGGAATTTGTGGAAAGTCGTAAAGCAAAATAAACACTGGCAGGCGTAAAAGTTATAAAAATGCCAAAATATAGCCAAAGTTAAGCCGAGCGTGGGGCAGAAGGTAGCTGCAAAAACTTTCGGCGGCCAACTGTTGATAGTTGGCAGAGATTAGGAGGCGTGGCAGTGGAAATCCCACAAAAAAAGATGAGATACGAGGCCAGCGAAGCAAGAAAATTCGCCTTAACCGTCTATCCAGCCAGTCAGCCTTCCGTTTATCCGTCCATCCATCCATCCATCCATCCATCAATCAATCAATCAATCAGACCGCCAGAGAGTGAAAGGGCCCAAACCAGTCAACATCAATGGCCTTGTCCTAATGGGAAGCGACCGCTTTGAGCTCTCCTCGGCAATCGACATGCAATTTATGCGAAATGTTGACATTCATCGTTTGACTTTTTCGGCTCCGGGATTCAAGTTTAACACTCGACAAGCGGGGGAATCCAAACAGATGTACAAACAGATTTTAAAGCGGCCTTAAAGGATTGCCAATTGAATGTGAATGGCATACATAATGTATACATGGGATTAGCCAGACGTCTGCCTAAAGGATTTCAGCAAGAAGTTATGTACCAATGGCAGTCAGACGACTTAAAAAAAATCTTGAAGAGCGCTGAAAATCCTCGAAGAGTGGGGAAAACAAAATAAACATCCATTTGTGGGCATTGAGTTGTGTAACCTTAGCCAAAAGTCAAACAATCTTTATCATTTCAAATTAAAAGTTTAACTTGAGCACTCGATTGTGGCCAAATATTTGCTTCATGCTCATTTGTGTTATTTTAAATTGAACGCGTTCATTTAAGTGATTTTTCCCCCGCTATTTGCACAAAAAATTAAACTGTGTGTGTGTGACTGTTATTGACATGTATTTGTGTTTTTCTCTGTTCGTTTACTTTTTTGCCTTTTAATTGAATTGCGAAAGCAATTACGGGAAATCTGTTTGTTTAAGCAGCAAATAGACAACAAAAGAAGTCGAGACTTGCAAACAAGTGGGAAAATTTCTTCTCAACTAGTGCAGCGATTTTTTTTGCATGGCGATTATGCTAATGAAAGGGCATGTTCAGCTTGGCTTGACTTCCCAGGGTCCTCTTCACTGAAAATCTTTACAATGCCACTCTTTCATGCTGGTCACGTAGGCTTCTAACATGAATCTGGCTAATACAATTAGAGGCAGACAGCTCGAGGCTGCAGAAAAAACCGAAGGAGAGACAGGCCAACAATCGAGTTTCAGGCTGTCAAATGTTTCAATTAAAACTCGCGAAACCAAGAGCATGAAAAACCAGCGCCCTTCGAAACCGGATTTCCATGATTGGAGAAGAAAAGGAATCTGGAAAATCGGAGGAGCATCGGCAATAGTCACAATCACAAAGTTACTTCCACCAAATCAAAGATGAACAAAGGAGTGAAAAAAGGGAAAAGGAAGAAAGTGATTGAAGTAGCAAAGTGATAAAAACAGGAAGTTCTATAACGAGAAAGCATAACAAAAGCAATGCTTCCGGGCATTATTTTAATTATGCAAAGCCGAATCGAAAGAGTTGTGGCGAAAGTCTTAACCCTTGAGTGCCTGAAAAGCTTAAGCAGCTCAAAAGAAGTGCCAATAAGGGTTTACTTTGTAAGCTTGTTTAAAGGATTTTAAAGTACTTAAGATGATTACCCTTAAGTGAATGTGTATCCTTAATAACTCCCTTGCGGTTACTCAAAAATAAATGATGATTTACTTCAACCAATATTGAATATAGGCAAATTTTGTGCATAATGGGTTAAGGCTTAGGGTCGCTCCACGCAAATTTATCATGGACTGGCCATTTTTTTGGTGGGCTTTGAGCACGACAAATTCCAGAGTCAAAGTCAATGGCTGTGGCCCAAATAAACCCAAATGGAATGTGGAAAGTGGATGGAAAGGGGAGGTGAAAATGGGGGCTTGGGGGCAAGGCCATTTTGTGTGTGCCATAAAGCACTCAGGGCCCGAATTTCAAGCCTTCACTCAACGAAGAACCTGCGACACGTGCGTATACGTTGGCGGAGTTGAAGTTGAATTGATTGCGTGCCAGTTGTGGCAATGACGATTTCCCGGCGATTTGTTTGGGGTGTTGGGCGGTTCAGGGGGCGTGGTTTTCGATAACAAATGCCGTTTCGCTTTTGTTCTGAGTATTGTAATTAAAATGACGAAAGCAGAGCCAAAGTTTTAATAAACTGCCAAAATAAATACGAAAAGGAGAACGCGCGAAAGGGAATCAAATAAACAAAGACCGAAAAAGTTGTAAGCGGATTGCCTCAAATGGAAGGGGAAAAATCGGAGGAGGCAGCATAAGTACTTCGTATTAATAACAGAACCGAGAAGGACCGAGGAAAGAGTTGCGGCATCCGCAAATAACTGGAATTGAAACTCGAGTGCCAGAGGAAAATACAGCTCCGAAACGGAGTTTCACTAAGAAAAATTCATTCACGAAGTATGAAAGTTATGGTTCAAAAACTAAACTAAGTAATCAAAAGAAGGAAATTTTAACAGTTATTAAAAATATAAAAGTTTTAGAAGCTCAAAATCAATTTAGCTCATAAATAAATATTTCTTATCAAAACGTAATAACTACAGAGTTATTATCAAAACACGGACGTAGAATTAGGTTGTCAACAATATAACACTTAACTTTGCACCAAATAGAGATAAACTACTGGACGTGAGCTTTTTTTTGATAATTTAACCTGATTTATTATCTTATCTTATCGTCAGACGTAATAAATTAGATATTTCTCCCTGTGCTGGCATAATTTTTCATCACGGCGTGAAGAGCAAACTGTTTACATTTGTTTTCCCCACTGGCTGAGATCCGGAATCTGGGACACAAGACAAGACACTCCAAGTGGGAAAGTGGAAAGATGGGGAAAGTGAAGATGAAGGGGAAAGGGAGAGGCGATGCCAGGGGCAACATGTTCATTATGCCGCCGGCTGATAACTGTGTTTTCGCAGGTGCGGCTCATTAAATCACCCGGTAATCAGAGTGCTCAGAATGCGGCACCCGAAAAGGCTTCTCGGGTTAACCTTTCGACTGGTTTCGCTTGCCGGTGTCAATCACAGTTGGCTTAATTAACATTGGGGAGGAACAGATTTCCGCGCATAAATTCAAATCAGTCTGCAAAGTTTGGTCGTTAAAACTTGCTATCACCGCGGCACTCCAACTAAACATAACATTTATACTATATTACCAATGGGGGAATGAATGGTCGGGGTTTTACAGCTTTTGTGCTCTGTGCCCGTAATAATAACAACAATAATCATTTTGCATGATTTACGAGTGCAGCTGGCAGCCCTGTTCGTTCAATGGCCATAAATTCTCATCAATAAATCAAATGTAGGGTTGCCTCAATATATGTAAGGGCACCGCGATGTATGCAGCGTTTTTCTCATTTTTTTTGTTCAGCTGGTGAGCTTGAGTGGTTTGTTTGTGTGCGTAAATGTATTTGTTTTGTGTGGGTGTGTGTGTGTGTGTATGGCAAGTGACATGTGTCACTCCATAATAATCGCATTTGCATGGAGCGAAAACCGCCATGAATATCCAAACAGAAACTTAACTAGAAGCTCTTAGGTGCCGGGTTGAAGATCTTAGACCTAATCACGTTTCGGGTTTGGTTTCGGTTTTGGTTTTGGTTTCAGTTTATGTTTCGCTTTTGTTTTGTTTTGGTTTTCTTTAATTTTACTCTTAAAGGATTTACAGCTAGTTACTAGTGCGATTAAGTATACGCATAGTTGATTGCTTAGTCTCGGGGACGCGCTGATAATACTTACAGGTTTCCATATCCACTGGATCGGGGTTGAGGATGGGATTAGATGGGATTGCTTGCGGTTCGAGCATCGAGTGTTGGCTGGCATTAGGAACCCATTTGTGCCGGTCTAGAGCAGCTCCGTCTCCATCTGTGCGGCCTCCACGGTCTCCACAATCGTGGCCGTGGGCGCCGTCACCGAATCTCATGGAACATACCGCGTGGTCAGCGCTCCATCGTCGTCGTCGTCCACGCGCAGACCACCGCATCCCCATCCGCATCCCCAGCCACATCCGCATCCGCAGGGCAGCCAGGAGAACGCTCCACCACCGCCGCCGGAGAGATTCAGACAGCCTTTTGGTCAAATCGCAGAGACCTGCTCCAGTTCGGCGCTGGAGCGGCCCGAGTTCATCACGACCACATTCTTGGCGGCGTAGTCCGTGATGAAGCGATCGCTGTTCCGCGGATGGATGTTGCCCACATCCTGGGCGCAGCACCAGGGATTTCGCATGGTCAGGATGCGCTTGAAGGCGTCGCGGAACTCCTTGTTGAAGATCGAGTAGATGATCGGGTTGAAGGCCGAGTTCGAGTAGCCCAGCCAGGTGAGGATCTTGAAGGTTTGGCCGCCAATGCAGGTCTTGCAGAAGGCGGCCGTGATGTTCACGCAGAAGAAGGGCACCCAGCAGATGAGGAACACGCCCATGATCACGCCCACCGTCACCGCGGCCTTGTGATCGGAAACGTGATATGGCGAGCTGTGGGTGTGCAGGTTGCGCACCTTGAACTTCTTCGGCTGGTTCTTCGGGCGCCGGATGCTCTTGTACCGCTGCTTCTCGGCCACCTCGCCGGGTCGGGTTACCGCCTTGATGGACTTGACGTGCTTCTGGGCATAGCAGTACAACCTGGAAAGGAAGTGGAAGGAATAGGGGGATATTATGGAGCTTAAATTCAAAAATCTGTAGTAACTTCTTGCTCTGTTTAATAGACTATTGTCTATTAAAGGCTTTCATGAATTCACAATTTTACAACAACCACAAAATGTATTTCTGTTTTCATCTCTAGAAATAATAAACGGCTCTAAAAGCTTGTGCCAATTAATACACAAGTATTTTCTAGGCTTTCTTGCCTTTGTAGCTTGAAGCTTTATTAAACATAAGATGCTGAATATCTAAATAGTGCTCATAACCAAATTAAAGTTTGAAATGGTTCATTATGGTTTCATTATGACAGCCTTACATTACACTTAAATGCTTATTGTCTTTTCTTGTGTCAGCATGACATTATCAATTATTTCTCGCCCAATGACTGACTGCTCCTGATTGTTGCTCTGGTTTTGGTATTTACTAGCCATGGGCTACGTGGTTGTTACTAGTTGCAGGTTGTAATTGATATGATAATTATTCACTTGGGCCGCTTGGCATGTCAATTAAATGGATGCCGACAAGAATGGCTCTGTCCACATCAATAACCAAAGGAAACACGCTGCGTATACGCAATGTCTGACTATCGTATCCAATCTTCCACTTGAGTCGCTCTCTAAGCTCTGCCACGCCCCCGTTCCCTTCGCCGCCCTAATCTTCCACATCGAACAAATAAACAAGCATATGTGTCTGGCGCTGTGAGTGTTTACTCGGTGGCCGCATAAAAAGGATAACAGGACCGGCGGAGGCCAGGCACAAATTATGACGATAAAAGTATATTTATTCTGTAATTTAACCGAAATTTGATAGAAAATTCCAATGCCAGCCAACAGGGGATCCATTTGATGAGAGCAATAGGGACTAAGGATGTTGGATATCACTGGAGAAGGGCAAGGAGGGGAAGAAGAAGGAGAAGAGTCCTGGCCAATGGCTGCAAATCTCGTTAAGCTAAAATGGCAACGTGCCGCTGGCCGAAACGTTGATGAGCAGCTATGCGTTTGTGTGTGTTTAAGTGTGAGTGTGTGTCCTTGTCTAGTCCTTTTGCACACGCCCCAGTATTTTGCCAGCTCCTGGGGATTACTTAGACGGACACTAATGCGTGCGCTTATTTGTTCAGCCCAGAACCCCTTGCCCACAATCAGTTCTCCTTTTCCCTTTTCCCATTTCCCATTTCCCTCTCGTGCCTGACGGCCATCAGGGGCGCAGGTCCTTGCGGCATTTTTCTGATATATTCAGCAATGCGATAGCGGCAAACTTCGTCAGTTTTTACAACATTTTATTATTTATTTTTTACTACTTGTGCCCCGACTTCCTCTTTGTTTCGCTAGCTTCTCTTACATGCTCTTTTTTAGGGAATTCTACTGAAGGGAACTGTGCGTTTCTACCAAAAGAAAATATTTATTAAATACCAAGAAAATAAATATCTAATATTAAAATTTCTTAATTTTTTTATCAAAAGGTTTATAGGTCTTAACTACAATATGCTTATTTTTGAATCTAAAATCTGTACTCATAATCTGTTGATTTAGATTGATGAACTTAAAGACATTTCGTGCTGTAAAGTTTCCCTTCTTGTAAGGGTATGTAATCTAGGCTAATTCCAGGAAAAGATTGCATTCAAGCCTCTGGTGTTTTTTAAGCTCATAAAAACATTTGAGTTCTCGCTTTGTTTTCATTTGAAGCGAGATTTTGGCAAAAGTTTCGCTGGCCTGTGGAAGTTTTCCCTGCCTTGTGGTTCTGTGCGAAACCCTGGGCTGTTTGTATCTACATAATTGCAGCTAAAGGCGTCCGGAGATATCTTACTTTATGCATTTCATGTTTTATGCACGAACAACTTTCGCCGCAATCCGGACAAAAAGAAACCAAACTAAACGAAACGAGGCGAGACAGCGATTTCGGGCCTCCTTTTGTGACTTTGTGACTTACCGACAGTAGATGCCAATCATGACCACGCAGGGGAAGTAGAAACTGATACAGCTGGACACGACGGCGTAGGTGGGCGTGAGGTCCAGGGCGCATGTGGGATACTTCTTGCCATTGTCCTCGAAAATCAGCGGCTGGTCGGGTCGATGGATGCCCAGCGAGATGGGCACAAACGAGACGAACGCGGCCAGCAGCCAAATGGCCGCGATGGTGATGACAGCCACGCGTCGTGTCACCCATCGTCCGTATCTGGAAAAGAGGAGCAGATCGGGGAGTCAAAGGGTTGCATCAATTTGCGGCAAAGGAAGCGGAAATACACGCGCTGTTGTTCCCCTGCTGTTGCTCCACATCCTCGTGTTCATGCTCATCCTGCATCCTCATCCCACTCGTCTCCCTCTTTCAGGCTGCTCCTGGCGTTTCCCTTTTTGTCCTTTTGCCCTTGTGGTGAACGCCAAAGGGTTAACACACACACCAACACACCCACACACAGCCACACTCAACCAAAAGTTTCGCTTAAAGTTCGGGGTTTTAAAGCTCCTGTTTAATTAAACGGAAAGTTGTTCTTCTAAGCCCCATTACATAAATTAACCGGCAACGAAGTTGTTGGCAAAAAATCAAACCACTGGCTGAAAAGACTCTTGTTACGGAGGAATTTTTCTCTTGAAAAAATACTATCTGCCGTTAAACTTATTTTACAAATTTTATTTAGAAAAACTTTAAGAAATAGCCTTATACTTTAAAGTGAATTAAATTTAAACTTATTTTTAATGGTACAACCAAACTTCATCGATTTTTAAATAGGATGTTTGTATGTTTTTACTTCTGAATCATATATTTAAAAAAAATTAGTTGTTTTTCCTTGTGTGCAGCATCTGGATCAACACGTGGAAGTCTCGGAACCAGAGGCGTGGACAACACGAACATGGACCATGTCCCGATGTCCTGATTGTGGCTTTGCATGTCCCTGGCAATCCCTCAGCGCCCAGCAGCCATTAGACAACATCATTTTCGGGTGTGCGCGACAAGTGTTGGTCCGGCCTCCAAAAGCGGTAGTCGGGACCCCGACTCAGGCTCGGATCGGGGACTCGGGATCAGGTGCTCTGGGTCACCATGCATGTCATTAATTACTCACTGCGAAAGGGCGACAAATCGCCCAAAGCCCAAGGACAAACCGCACACGCATTGCGGGGAATGGCATATGCAAATCATCCTCGCCGGCCGCCTTTTTCGAGCACTTCGATTCTGCTTTCATAGCAGGAAATGAGCAGTCTGCAGTGAATGCAAAAACCAAAACCCACAACCCCAAACCCATGCCAAAAATTCACAAGGCAGCGGAGTGGAGTGGAGTGGAGTGTGGGTTTCGGATGCCGTTTGGGTTTGGTCTGCTGCCATATGCCGCATCGTTTTGGCTTGTGCAGGAAATCAAACAGAATAATTCGATTTCAATACAAAGGCGCACTTACACACACACTTGTGCTCACACTCAAGGACGATGACGGAGCGGAAACGGAAGTTTATGTAATTGTATTCACATACAAATTCAATTTCGTTTTCGGCACGAAAATTGATTTCCATGTGACGAAAGCCCGCAGCTTGAGCCTCCTCACTCCCCATCCACTCCACCTGAGACGGCGGTGGGAGAGGTTCTATTTTTATCTACCTAGATATGGTTTTGTATCTACCAGCTAATTGCAGAAAAAAAACATTTTACAAACCTTTTTTTTGCCAAATTCTTGGTGTTTTGATGGATAAACCTTCCTAAATCATTCAAAAATGATTTCATTTTAGCTGGAAACTGCATACCATAACAATTTGTTTGCCAGAAGTGGATATCCGTTCAGAATTAATATATTCCTGCGAGCGAAGAATTTATTGCAGCTGAACAACATCGCAGCCTGTCAGCATCCCCACTTCCCACATCCTCAGCAACCTTTTCCTTTTACCTGTGCTAATTCAGTGTCTTAGAGTGGCTGGGGTAGCGCTTTGATATATGCACATAAACCTGCAGCCATTAGGTGACACACGATTTGGCCCTCAGCTGGAAAATGGAGGAGCCAATCAGCCATCGATGGGCTAATTGAAATCGTGTGTGAGAGCGTTCCAGGTCTGCTTTGCAGCAGGATAACTGAAATGGTGAGTATGTGTGTGTGTGGGTGGGTGTCTGTGCCAGGAGCAGGCTGCTTCGCCCAAAGGACATTTGCATTTACCGCTCGTATCGAAGCTGCTGGTTTGACTGGCTGCGTGGCATGCGGTGGCTTTTGTGTTTGTACCACATGCACTCAAGAAATTACCGCAAGGCACGCACAGCGATCCTTCCACCCAGGACTCGCTCCCCTGCCTTTTGTGTCGTCATTTGCATAGTTCGAGCTGCTCCTTTTTTCTCCCATTTTTTTCCCTTTTTCAGGTCCTGCCGCGTCAGCTTGGCCGCCTTTGTCTTGGCAGGGGAAATTTGATGACTCTTTATGAGCGTTTTTCTTACTGTCATCGCTTGCACGTGCCCAAAGCACTGTGGGTCAAAAGGTTAAGGAAGCTAGAGGGCTGGAAGAGATATGGCTATTTTCAGATCAGTTTCACCCAGTGCAGAAGCTAATGGTAGAAACGTTTTACTTAAAGTGTGCTTCAAGAAAAATGTTGGATAAAATTCAAATGAATTTGTATTTTTAAATTAACTTCTGAAAATTCAATTGTAAAATGTGCTTAGGGGAATTTAAAACCATTCTTTCTTTGAATAAAATGTACCTCTTGTTGCATGTCATTGATTTACAAGACCCCCATCAATTTTCAATCCTGTTCAATGGAAGCTCTCTAGGAGTCCCCAATGATCCCTCAATTTCTATTTGGCTCACAACCCCATAGTTCACGGTAACCCATCCTCAACCACGAGCAAGACAAGTGGAAAAAATACAATTACAAAAAGTTCCCAGGTGCGTCATTGTTGCAGGAACAGCTTTTGCGGTGCGCGTTTAAGTGTTGTGCCTTCGGTTGTTGGCCAAAGCCCCTATAACGCCTGCCAAAAATCCCATTCTCCCCTACACCTTTTAGCCTGCGGGGAACTTTCATTGTTCTTTCAGTTTTTATTGCAGTTTAAAATGAATTTCACATATGCGTCTGACAGTTACGATGATGACAGGCGCCAAAGTCAGCGGCAGTGCCAACGAAAAGTGGGGAAAAAAGCCGGCAGAGACATCAAGATGTCACATAAAATACGAAAATTTCTCATTTTCCGTATTTTTGCTTGGGGTAGAAAGAAAAAGGAAGGGGAACGCTTCATCTTCACTTTGTCTGGAACTAATTAAATTTGCACGCGCTTTTTATCCAAATTGTTTTTGCCAATTTCCCGGCTCGGAAAATCCAGGCGAGCGCAATTAAATTAAACGCCTGCAATTATTCTAAAACGCTAAGAAAACACACTGAATCAGCGATTCCCTCTGCGAGGAGGACACAAGGACAGGTCCTAGATGAATGGGCGTGTCCCGGGGTGGTGGCTCTCGACTCCTCAACTGCTCGACAGCTCGACTCCTCAACTGCTCGACAGCTCGACTCCTAATGAGACGACGACTCGTGAACTTTCGCCGCTGATGAGGGGTGAACAGAGAGAAAAAAATGCCCTGCTGCCTCCACTTTGACATGCAAATAAATCAGATTTACATAAAACGAGAACGAGAGTCTGAAGTCGGACGGCAATGGCTATGGTAATATACAAAAGCTAGATCCCATTTACCATTTCTCAGGCACAAAAGTTGGCAAGTGTGCGCTGCGCTCTGAGTTGGGTTTTCCTTGCAATTTTCCCGCCGCCAGTTCAGTTCTGCTCCTTGAGATTCGGACTCGGATTCAGATTCGCAGCGAGAAGTGGTATGAGCGACGTCTTGACATCTGAAGTGTAAAATGTCTCGGGTACCTGAGCATTCAACGTGGGCGCTGGCATCCACGTCCCACGCCCCCTCAGGTGCAAATGCAAACGAATCCAGGTGGCTAAATTCAATTTGGAGGCGATGGTTTGTAGCAGGTGGCCAGCGGGGGTTCTATGCAAATGTCATTAACCCAAGGACTCAAATTAATATTGGACAACATTAGTCGGGCTTAATCAGCGTTTGTGAGGCACAATTTACATTGAGGGTGAATTTGTCAGGGAGTTTTCATTGCTGGAGGGAGGTTGTTTTACAATTTCGCAATCGAATCAATTACAGTGGCTTAGAAAAACATTTACTCTTGCGAAGGGAAAACTGAAAGGAATTTAATTTATTGGGGGGCTTTAAAAATTTTCTAGATTAAAGTGGTAATTTTTTTCTGTGTCAATCTATATAGCTTTTTTATTTTTTAACCCTTTTTTACAGCTGCACTTTTTGGTCTCGTAAGCAAATATTCAATACCTTTACATCAAGATCATTCGAGCAATTTGTGTCGTTCACCCGTCATCAACCATTCGATGTCAAGCACGAAAGGATTTCCTCCTGTGGAAAACGTATCTCCTCGCCGTGCTTAATTTCACCTTCGATTCCATCTATCCGTGTGTACCTTCCCTGCTCCCGCAGGAGAAACGGAATTCAAAATCAGGAAAAATGTTCCATGAAAATTGTCATTTGCTAGACCACCCACTATGGTCACCCCCCTCCCCTTTGCCATTTCCCCTTGGCCCCCCAGACGGAGCTCATTTAAATCCTTTTGCCGTGGCATACAAAATTTCCAATCTGAATTTTCAGCTCGCTTCGACATCAAGTTGCCACATCAATGAAGCGTTATACGCTCGCCAACTCGTTACGTGAACCCGACTACACAAAAGATGCACAGATAGATGGAAAGCGAGGCGGGGGGAAATTCAGCAGGTGGGTAGGAAAATGGGGTTTAGGGGCAACTGCTGACACACCCATACAAATGTCGTGTCGTTTTCCATAAGCGAATAAGCTTACCCCAGGTGGCAACAGAAACAGCAATAGCAACAGCCAACGGGGCGGTGTAGAAAAAATATTTTTCTACTTTTGGCTTTTGGCTGAAAATAGCATCAAAGGATTTATTATGGCTCTTTCATGACATGGCTCTGTGGGTTAGGGCTGGCAACTGTCTCGATTTGCTGTAGTTGCCCCCCCCTGTTGTCCATTTTCCGCTCCTCGTTTCCACGCCCCCTCATCCCTCCCCTCCCCTCCCAGTCACTGCCCCCCAGCAAAAGTCCTTTCCCCCAATGGCATTCTGCAATCATTTCGTCGGGTTGCCAGCTGTGGGTCAACTTCCCGCTCTGCGTCTGTCGGCGACTTGACCAACGTCATTTTTAACACAGCTCTGATATACTGGGAAAAAATACAATCTAAATTATCCAATTCTCTCCTATGTATTTTTAAAGGAAAATAAGCTTATTTCACCATTTAAAATTGCTAGGAAACTCTTCTAGAATCCTTTTGGGTTTCAAGTTGTAAGACTCATTGTAAATTGTACCTATAATTCAAAATAAAATTTTAATTTATCAAGAATTTCTTTTTAAGTGCATCCGCACGTCAAAAAATAAAATAGGAAACAGACAAAGGTTCACCCACTCAAAAAACCCACATATAAAGGAATTCAGTTGTGGCTGCTGACACATAATAAATTTGTGCGTTTGTTCTTGGCCGCAAATGTAATATTCCTATGGCCCGAAAAAAGCGTTTGTTGGATTGCACTTGTGGGGTCTGGGGCATTGTTGAAAATTTAATTAACACACAATTGTTGTGGTCCAGCCGAAAAGGGGGATTTGTGGGTGGTGGTGGGTTGTGGGTGGTGCTTGATAAACTAGTTTCAAGTTTACTGAGCTGATTTCGAGTGACTGCTTTTGTGGAAACTGCTCGCCACTGGAAATCAATTTCAACTGCTGACTGCTCGCTGACTACAAAGCTGAGCAACATGGCTGACTGGCAGCGTTTTAGGCCACGACGACAGCAGGACAAGCTCATTCTCATTGTCATTGCCGTAGTTGGTGAAGGAGACACACAGACTCACACAGATACGGATCCACACCAACACAAGGACACTGGGAGCACACAAGGACACACAGCACCTGAGGCAGCAGAATTTGATTGTCTCTGGGGCTTCCTGCCGGGATATCGCAGCTGGGGCAACGTGCCGGATATACAAGGTAGATTGAACTACGATAATGGAACATTTGGGCTGACTTCAGTCCTCGCCGCGCTGACAGATGAAGTCATTTCCAGAGGGTGCGAAAAGTGCGATATGTAGGCCAGTTGGCCAAGGGCTCGAATTCGTATTGGGCGGGCCAGCTGTTGGGGAATTCGATTCGAAATTTGATTTAACACTTTCCCAAATAGATTTTAAAAGGAGCAAGGGAAGGAAAGAGCAAGAATACTTTACAAGTTTTTCTAGACCAAGTTGACATTATAAAATGAGCAAGGAAAACTTTTTAAAAGCATATACCGCTATACTTCATTATAGTTTACTAACTATGTACCTGTTATATGCTTTTTAAATATTTATAAACAATTTCATTTCCTTTTCATTTATTACACAGCTTTCAATAATTATTTAATAGATTAATTTCATACCACATCTTTAATAGTTAGAAGAAATATAAATTAGTAATCCTATTTCACCACGTCAGGAAGAAGAACCCTCCATTCTGACCTCAACACCCATAACTACCACTTGTTCTCCAGTTTTAGCAGCTGGTAATGACACTTCTTTTGTTACTCATTGTTCGCCTGACCCAGAGACCCAATGAGAATGACTTTGCTGAACTTGGCTGGTGGCAGAAAACCACAGCTGAAACGCTGATCCGAAAGTGCTTAGCGAACTTCAAGATGAAGTGGCTGGAGAAGTGTGAAAAAGTCTCGTAATGCGCCATAAATCTGTTGCTAATGAAACAATTATGAGCGTCGATTAATGAGCCCCACGGCCGCAAAGAACTCGAATGGTTTCAAGACAGTGAAATTAGGTGGCGTCAGAAACAGCATCGCAAAAACGTGACAGGAATGACAACGCGGCGGATGAGTAACGTGCATACAAAGCACTTGCAATCGGCTGACATTAATGAATCGATTTCGGTCGCGACAGCCGGGACAATTAGTTATGGATTTGATATATTATGCATGTGACACAATCCCGACAATCACTCACCTGAGCGGATCCTTGATGTGGATGTAGCGGTCCATCGAGATGGCGCACAAATTCAGAATTGACGCCGTCGAGCACATGACATCAAAGGCCACCCAAGTATCACAAAATTGCGCTCCGAAGATCCAATATCCTGCGAAAATGTAGAAAGGGTGAGGAGAAAGCGGGGTAAACGAGTGTTTGATTGCTTGTTTAAAATGCTTAATAAGTACTTTCTGTCTGGACGTGGCGGAAATTGCCATGTTGCGGCCGGACTGCGAAAAAAAAGTTATTTCATTTGCACGTCGGCAGCAACAAATGCAGAGAAAAATACTGGGGGAAAAGCGGAAAAGCAAGAGAAAGTGCAGAGGCAACCAGTATCACAGATTCTTGTTTTATTTATTCATGTCGTAAATTGAGTTTAAATGATTTCATAAATTCATTTCCGTTTCCTGTCCTTCCCTTTCCAGCTCACATACACACACACACACACATCGTCCTTTGGGGCGACCGCCATTTAAATTTTATTTGGCTGGCAAAAAGTGAAAACAAATAATTTTTTTTTTTTAACGTTTGTCAATTTCATAAGTGCGTTGCAATTACGACGTAGTCGATTGATGTTAAGTGCGTGACCAGAAACGGATGTCCTTTCAGTCCTGGAAAAGTGGTATTCGCCGCATGGAAAATCACAGCGAAATACACATGAATTCAATAACAGATTTTCCACAGAAAAAGGTTATTTATTCGGTCCGTGGCTTTCAAGCGATGATTTGGGGCGATAAGAACATGCACATCATGCTCCATACAGCTTTCATGCCAGTTAATCAAGCGTGTTGCAGGATACGGCTCTTAAATGCCACAGGAAGTGCCGACGCAACTGGTCAAAGCAAAGCCAATCCGATTCAACCCTGCTCAGCCTTCAGGATGTCAGGTTATCAAAAGCCAAGGAAATCAGGATATCAAACGTTGGTCAGCAATTATTGCTTTCACTGGTTAAATCTTAATTCAGTGATATGATTCAGGTAAATGTATGTTAAACTATGTGTTAAGAAACAGCAGAAACTAAAACTTGTAACGTTAAGCTCTTCAAGTTTTGTTCAATGCAACTTTAGCAGCAGTCCAATTATTCGAGTCGTGTTGATGGCCTTTTCAAAAACCTCACTTGATTGCCGAATCACATACTTCCAAGCCGTTTGTTCATGCATTGCAAATTGTTTTGGAAATACCAGACCTGCACTCCAGAGTCTTGGCCATTTTCACGACTCATTCCTGGCTACAAAAGCGAGAGCAGATTGGGTTGCTTTGGCCTTAGCATTTGCCGAAATGCTCATGGCCCCGAAAAAAAAGCTATTTCGGTAGGTGGAATACTTTGAGTGGGAGTTGGTACTCAAGTCAGCAAATAATTCATGCCGCTTTCAATACACATCGTCGTTGGCATACACATATGAATGGCTCTTGGCTAAAAAAGTATACTACATTTTCTTCCGACTCCCTCGACTGGCAGCATCTGTCGATTCTCGCCGGCTCTCCTCTGTTGTTGTTTGAATTTGTCCAATTGCGAACGATGTTTATTTGCTGATTTGCCTGTCTTCGAGCGTGCTAAATGTTGCCTTGGCGAAAATAATTTGCCTCCGTGTGGGTGGGTGTGTGCATTGGTGTGGGTGTCGCAGGACCCCGAGGCATCTGTTTGTCTTGAGCAGCTGAGCAGCTGAGCATTTTTATTTATTTTTTCACACTTTTGCTTACGCGGCAGCCCCAACGCCACTCGTCTCCTGCGAGTGCCAAAGTCGTTTGTTATTTTCACACACTCCCCAGGGAAAGTGGGTGCCTGCAGGGGCGTAGCACGATTTTAACAGAGGGGATTGGAAAAATCAAGGAATTTTATATCATATTTTGAGTGAACAGAAAGAATTCTTAGGTTTCTGAACATTTTATAAAAATAAAAAAACTTTTCCTGTTTCATGAAACATTCAGATTACATTCATGTGCTTTTTATTATATTTTTTTTTTTTTTTTTGTAGATCACTTTTTATTACATCTAAGAGCCTCTTATTTATTAGCCCCTTCTGGGCATAAAAGCCCTCCTTTTGAGCACCTCTGCTTCTCCAGAGTGCCGTATGTCACCCAAACTCATCTCTGTTTTTCCGACTTCACTTCAGCTCACCGCATCGCATCGCTTTGGATTCTGCTCACATTTTCAGACTCATATGACGAGCTCGCAGTTTTCTTCTTTTGTTTGTTGTTTATGATTTTCCACATTTTTTTTTCTTGCAGCATGTGTGCGAGTCCTTACACATTGATGTCAGCTGCATGTTTCCTGAACCGGAACACGTTGTTAGCCCGTCTCGAACCCCCAATTACGCCGGTTCCCGGGAAAAGTTTTGCCCGCCTTTCGCCTAATTTGCCTCTTATTTACTTAGCCCGTCAAGTACTCATCTCGAGTTTCCCGCCTCCGCCACTGGAATTAATAAAATGCACCCATAAACGGCACTCAAACTGGGAGGTGCCTCTAACTGGGGCATTCCCATTCCACTTCGAGGACTTGCAGCTGCAAAACTTTGTCAGTTTCGAGGGAAGCAGGGGAATCTAAGGGGGATTTCTCCACCGACAGGACGACTCGAGGAATGACTGCTATTGCTGTTCTCGGAATAGCTAATGGAAAATAATCAGAATGTGTGGCTGCACTCGGGATCTGCATGTTAGCCGGCACCAGATGTACAGCTGGAATAAAGTGAAATTCCTGTTTGGCTGACTATAACCATTTGCCCACCGATGGGGTTCCGAGAGTCGAAGGAATAGTTTCTAAATTTGTAAATTGTTTCTTGCCAAACCATTGAGGCACAAATTTCCAATTTTTTTAATTCTTTGTGACAAGCTACAAATGGTAGAAATATTTTACAATTTCTTTGGAGGACATAAGACAAAATAGTTTACAATTTTCGATGATTTTTTTTAATCCCAACAAGAAATTTGTAAAAATATTTAAAGCTTTTGTTAATCTTTGAATGAAATATTAAATACATTCTTTTCACATGGCCTTCCCCAAATTTCTTTAATATTTCAGTGGACTTGAAGTGAAGCTTGGCTTATTACATCAAGGTAAGCCAAGTGTTTTTTTATTTAAAAATGCAAAGCCAGCCCTCGTTGATGGTGTACAACACGGAGGAAATCTTGTGCAATCACAATGGACCCTCGGTGGGGAAAGTCGAGGAAAACTGGGGTAACTCGTGCGTCGACTTGTGCAGCTGACACTTTAAAAGGCATTGACAAAGCCGCATAAAATCCGGCTTTAAGCGCTGCCAGGCATGTCAAATGGGCTCGAGTGGTGCGCGGGTGGTTGAGTGGTTCAGCACCCTCATGGGATCCTATACCGCCGCGTATTTAAATTTTTTTTTTTTTTCTTCGCACCGAAAGGGCCTGCAGCATTTTGCATAAATTTCTGCGGTAGCAGTCGCGAATTTCAATTGCAATTTTCCATTATCCAGACAGACAGAGCCGAACCGATAGCATTAGGGCTACGACATTAGGGATACTCACCCAGCAAATCGTTGACACCGGCGAAGGTCATTACCAGGGAGGCGACGAAAAGGTCGGCAATCGCTAAAGAGGCCAGGAATAAATTTCCGATGCGTCGCAGGCTGCGCTCCGTGTAAATGGCGAGGCAAACGAGGATGTTGCCGGCCACCGAGAGGAATATCAGCACCGATAGGAAGATGCCTGCGGCGAGTCCAAATCAAATATCACACCCATAATAATCGGGGCTCAGGCGATTCGACTGTCAAACAACGATCGGCTAAAGCATACTTATGTGGGCGGATAGACACCGAATGGTTGTGCATGGGGGTGTGCGTGTGTGCGTGCGATTCGTGTTTGTCACATGCAACATAACATGCAATTTTACAGATAATTGTTGTGTCCGTGAGAGCTGTGAAGGTGGTGGTGGTCGAGTGGGTTTTTGGTGGATTGGTGGACAGACTGGTGGAGTGGTGGACTGGTGGGTGGTGCTATACAGTGGATGGCTGGCTGTTGCTGTACATTCAACGACATTTACTTTACCAACAACTACAATTGACACAAGTGACAGCGGCTCCGGTTCCTCACCAACTATTGTATCCATTTCAGAGGCATTTGTCCAGCTGCTCTCATTGTAGAACGATGTCAACTGCAATGGAACGAGTTTCGAATGGGTTGTTAGCGGGTTGGAAATATGTTGTTTCAGTTCAAGGAGAAATATATATAATAAAAACCTGTATCCCATTTAGTAATCCCAGAAACGAAATCATTCAACTCCAATCCCAAACTTTGGTTTCAAATCGAATAATCATATTAAACTTTCTGATATTCCGCTACATGGTTAACTAGCTGAATTGTGGTTAAGCCACTTCGCTTTGATCTCCTCCCACAAACTAATTAAATTTGTGAAATGTTTTTCGAATTTAATTAGCTGGCATCTGCTTTGCTTTTCTATGAACTTTGCTCCATTCATTTTCCCTGTTTTCCTGTCATCCTGACTGTGTTTGGCACGCATGTCCTGGCCATATATAAAACTATCAATCATTTGCGGCATCTGTGGCAAGACCACAGGACGGAATCCCCTTGAAGAACGCAATCCTGGGAAGTTGCCAGGCATTATTCATAATTAAAATTGACAAAATTTGGAGAAAACTGCCAGGACTGGTAATGATATTAATTTGTTTTACTAAGGGCCTTCCTTCCATTTTCTTTTAGCCATATATGTATGTGTATATCTATCCAACTGTTTGTGGCAACTTTGAGTCGGAATTTGTCTTGCGGTTTCTTTTGCTTTTGGCCAACCAGACATGTTGGCATTCTGGCGGTTGCCTTTGCTTTGGTGGCTTCAACTATTTACACGATTCAAGCAAACCGCCCACTCACACGCATCCCAAAAACAATTGAGTTGTGTAAATAAATTTATTAATTAATAAGGAAGGGTACGTGGAACCAGTGCAATTAATGTAAAGGATTCGAAGGATCCAGAGTGCCTACAGCTGGTCGCGTATCCTTTGGCGGACATCCTTTGTGTTTTTATTGCCACGGAAATGTAAATGCGCAGCCGGCAACAAATAACCATAATGAAAGCATAATATAATGCTCAAAAGCAGACCCGAAACCGCTGACAAATGCAATTAATTAATTCAAACATGAAACTGCCGACGCCATATAAATATTTTCAGCTCTCTGTTGCTATTCAGACTTCTCTGCGAACTTTTCGTTTAATTAAATTTGTTTTTGCTGCACGTCAGTATATTGCGCATAATCAGCTTCAAATCCTTAAAGTTGTTAACTGTTTTTAAATGGAAACTTCAGTTTAATCGGCTCAACGGCGGTTTAGGAACACCACAAATGTTGCATACTTTTGGGTCGCGCAACAGGACGTATGCGCAATTTCATGCACAACTATTTGTCAAGGTTAATTTATTAATGTTTAGATTAGGGCACTTATAGTCATTACTTGAGTAGCGTAAATATTTAACTGGCCCAAAGCAACTATTGCTCTAGGCGGCAATATAAATGCACTAAAGTGCGCTTATTTATTCATAAGCTCTATTGATTGTTACACAAGGATAAAATTACCAAAGGATTCGTACGTGAAATGGACCGTTAATGAACAGTAAACAAAATGAATTGATGCTTCACATAACGACCCAAATGCGCTGGACAATAAAAGACACTTAAGATTATAAAATTACACGAAATGCCTTCTCATGTCAAGTGAGTTTTCATTAAAATCCCAAGCTGCTGCTGCACGGATTCAGTAATGCCGTCGAACATTACACCGATGTTAATGTTTATGTTCATGTCGCTGCTTCTTTGGCGGCAGGAGCATCATTAAAAAGCAGTTAACAGCCCGGAAGTGGAAGCGTGACTCCGGCAATGGGTTCCATCAGGGCCAAAATGAAATACCAATTTCCAGGCAATACGATGGAAGGGCTGCACCTTAATTCATTAACAAATTTTTACCTTCAAGTATAATCTACACATTTAAGAAGTGAACTACATGATTACTTTACTTATTTGGCTCAGTTTTAAGCATTTGTAAAAAGAGTTTCCCCTTTAAGTTCCGTGTTCCCATCCCTTGGAGCTACAAGTAAATATTTATACGCTTTCATGGAACAGCGCGCAAAAAGAAAACATAAACTAAGCATCTGCCAAGTGTGTGCTGAAGGAAAATTTAAACAGTCGAGGAAAAGGGGAAAAAGCGGACCAGCAGAAGGGACAACCGTGACAGCAGTTGTGTATTTAATTGGCAATAAAAGTGGACAACAAATGTTCGTGGTCCACGTTCCCCAGAGGCCTCCAACAGTTGGCAGGATTCCAGGAAGGAAAAAGGACTCTAACTCGGAGAAATTCCAGGCCTGTGTCGCACTTGGGTGCTTTGGCTTTGTTTGCAGAGTTAAATGGCACAATGCGTTGATTAAACGTCAGAACACACCCACCAACACACACACACAGACACACGCACAGATACTGACACACAATATCACACGAAACACACCTGGAGGCCGTACAATAATAAGGCACAAAACCTGTTGGCAGGACAACAAGAAATGGTGGAATGGCTGCCCACCTGTCCGAGTGTCTGTCCTTTGTCTGGCCGTCTGAGTGGAAGGCGGAAGTAGTGTGATTTACAAGTGGAAAAGGACGAGCAGGCCGGCTGAATAATAAGCGAACGCCAGCAAAGGACTCGTCGAGCGGCACACTTTACTTTACTTTACAGTGTCATTTGAGCACTTCCGCCTACGGCAACACGAGTGGCAACGATAACAAACAACAGAACCAGTGCCACATGACCCCGGGCACAGCATAGTTGTTAATTAAGTGCTCTGTGCAATTACTAGACCGAAAACTCCACAACAATGGCCGAGGAGCGGGGGAAATCACAACAGTCAGCAGGCTTCAGCTTCCCTTTCAGTTCAAAGAGCGTCTCTGTATATATAGTGTAATGCGATTTTCCTGTCGAACGTTTAAGAAATTTACAGGCATGCACTGGAAAATAATTATGTAAAATAATAGCATATATTCTAGTGAAATATCGTACTTTCAATGTACATTTTTACTTTTAAATAAATTCAGATTTTCTGAATAAATTTCCAGATGTTTTATACACATTGTATTTTTATTTCAGTGCAATAATCCAACTTAAATTTCCCTGCAGCTTGCCAGGTGCTTTTCTTTACAGAGACCTCTTCCCAAACTCTTCTTTTCGGTTCAGTGCAGTAATATATTTTCAATTTCCCTGCACTTTGAACTTCGCCCACACGATTCGCTGGCCAAAAAGGCTTTCGGGCGCATTGAACTCGATTCGGGTGGGTGGCCAAAACCAACTGAAGTCGCTCCGCAGTGCCTCCGTTTAGCATACATTTAAATTCTTGCCATAAACAAGAAATGCTGTGGGCGTCTCCTTTAACTCGGAGGAGGAGGACATCCACACACAAAGGATGGGAATCTCACGTAGAGGCGATAATACCAGAGCCTAGACAGCTGATTTATGCGCCGAGCAAATATTTATTGTTTGCTTTAGCAAACTTCCTAGCAGAACTTAAAGTTTGGCTTAAGCCGGAGCAGTTTGCTGCCTCGTTATGCAATGTGGATATGGAAATGGAAATGGGGAGGGCCCCAAGGTGCTTTCGGCCAAGAAACACTCGAGCAGATGCTAACTGCAGTGACAATTGCGAAAGTCGGCTATCTCTCATCTGTGGGCCATTGTGTGAGCCGTCAATGCCCCGTTGACAATTGCAGGACCTCCAGGATGCGGGAAAGGAGTTTCACTTCTGCAGACAGCTGTCAAGAGAGCTGCTGATGTGCGCGTTTGTGTTTTGTGTTCATTGTTGAAATTTCGGCTTAATTAAACGAAGCCAAAAGTCAAGATGGAATAGGAAAGGGGGAAACACATGTGTCTTGGCTGTCAAAACTGTCGTAATTGAGGCCCCCAAGCCAACTTCTATGCACGGGCCTTAAATGCAAATGAGCGCCTGATGGCGCGGAAAAGTCTCTGACATTAAGTAGGGATTTTCCTCCTACAGATGAACGCCTTGCCAGATGAGCAGTGCCCTCAATTATGAATGAACTAATTAGATCCCTCGCCTGGCGCTGATGGACAACAAGTTTATTGGCCCTCCAGCGGCATTTTCACACTTGCGGTGAGTGGCTCACATTTTTCGGACTTGGCAGAGACACCACTCGACCACAAGCCAAAGCCCAGACACGTCGAATTTGTCTACGAATAAATAATTAAAGGGATCCGGGAACGGATGAGGTGGAGGCACTGGACTAGTTTTGCCTCTGGCTCTGGCAAAAAAGTTATTAAAAATTAATTTTATTTTGGGTCGTGTGCCACATCCTTGGGAAATACTTTTAGTTGATTGCTTTTTCAAGATCATTAACCCATTCTGATATGGCGTAGAACTTATCCTAATCGGTTTTTGAATACCAAACTTGATTTTCAGATTTTTAAACTACCAACAAAATTTATTTTGGTATTTATTCCTTGTTTAAGCAGCTGAACTCTATACGCTCAGAATTGTAGTCTATAAATCAGCACACTGAACAGCAATGATAATTACCAAAACCCGATTATTTGGACCTGATTTTGCATTGTGTGTGCCTTGGCAGGTAAATCAAATGCTGCTGCCTGTTTGTCTTATCGCTGCTCTATTGCCTGCCAATTTTCGAAGGGACTGGCGATTGTTTGTTTTGGCAGCTATTCGGCAGATTGCCTTGTTGACTTGCCCGGGGCCGATTGTGAATGTCAGGATAATTAGCTGCAAACGGGAGATGACTCCGGCGGGTTGTTTTGCAACCCGGAGCAGAGTTGGCATGGGGCTCTTAGCCTGATTGTGAATGCAGTCTCCATCAATCCAAACCCATCACTCACTCCATCAAACTTAATCTTCATAGTGCCCAACTCCTGCTCTCCAGTTCTGTACGAGCATCGATTTTATACTTTTCCAAAGGCCTTCCTTCCCCATTTTCTTTTCCCTTTGGGATTTTCCACCGAAGCGGAGTGAAAAACTTGGCAAGTGAACGCTGTCAGTCACTGGAGTTCAGTTGTGTGTTTAACACAAACATCCCGTTAACTTGCACAAGTGTCGTCGGCACACAAACACCACTGCAGTTGCACATACGTCACATATGTGTAAATACAGATACATCAATGCAGCTGCACTTGTTTCAATTGAAAGTAGAAAAAATGGTAGGGAGAGCCATGTCTCATGGATTTTTCTCAGCCGTGTCAAGTTCCCACACATGTACACACAGTGGTTTCAATGGCAGAAGGACTCCTATGCTATCCTTAATACTAGAAAATTATTCTCTTACAACTTTTTCTAAAGGAGAATACACTGAAGTGACTACACAAAAAGAAATAGTAATTAAGTTTGTAGCAATGAAAGTTAATGGTTTTATATTTTCTATTTAATATAATTCTGCATAGCAACTTTGAATTTTTCAATTAAGATTCTGCTTTACAATCAAATGGTAAAATGTATAGTTTTCTTTCCAGTGCTCGAGGGAATCCAACTTGCAGGAGAACCCAGATTTCTTAACAATAAAAATATAGTCGATTATCTAGATTGTATTTTTGGCAATAGCTGGCAAACTTGCACACCCGGCGCAGATGATTGACATGACCCTAGGAATATTACATGGTCGTGGCCCCATTAAATTGACTTGTCACGAGTAATCGTTCTGCACTTTTGTGTCATTGCCGAGACACTGATACCAATGGCTCAACTCGAGTAGGAGAGCGCCATAAAAAATGGCTTCAAAAGGGCAACAGAAAATAAAGAAAAGGACCCAAACACACACACACATACACACTAACACACACACACACACATGAACTGTGGCAGCAGCGTATAAAAACAGGGTTTATGGTCAATCAGCAGCGAGCCTTTTTGGGTTTACTGTTTACTGAATCCCCTTTGACTGCCCACCGAAAATCCCTAGCTCCATTCACCTGAATAAAGGGGTAAGCGAAATGCAGGCAACATAAAAATCACGAGTAACCAGCTATTTTCATTTGCTTTTCCATTTCCCCCCGAAAACCGAGCAGAGAAAGGTGCCGTGCAAAAAAGGGGAGCAGTGGAGGAGGTGCAATTAAATGGCAACACCTAGACAAACACATTGTGGCTCTTGTGGCCAAGATTAATGTGGAATGGTCGTGATGGCAGAGCCGGAATGCAGCTCCCTTTTCAGCGGGGCCCGCCAACGTGTGTGTCCCTTGCGGTTTCTATATATATATATATATATATGGCCCATATATTTGTGACCCGATTCGTGGTACCAGGATCCGGCTCATTTATATTGCGGCTAGCCCCGTGATTATGGCAGCCAGCTGTCACACACATTTAATTAGGCGAAATTGGTGACATTTATCCAACTCCCTGTTTTTTGTGGCCATGATCTAATTGAAAATTACAAAGTAAAATAGCTAATTCAGGTGATGCGCTTGTACCTCAACTAATTGCAACATTTTGCGAGAGAAAAACTTTGTATGTTGGAGTACGAACTGAAACAGAAACACTTTTAATTAATCTGTAGACGATGGAAAATTCAACTCAAAGCTGAATACTTTAGCAACAAAGTTTCTACGAAATTTATTTATTCAAGAAAAAGCAAACATTTTGAAAGCATATTTCCAACAAAGAAAGTCTTTCTATTAAAGCATGAATACTTTCCGGCTAAAGTGAAAAATACTTTAAAGATAATTTGATTAACAACATGATGTGGGTCTATGTGAAAAATATCCTTTAATAGATAAAAATTATATAAATTCCTCAAAGCATCTAAACGCTCGCAAAAGAAATATGATATGATCAAACTATTTATTTCCAAATAATTAGAAAACAATTTGCTGAAGCAGTAAAATAATTTATTTTCAATTGGCGCGGCCTATCATACCGCATTTTTTTGAAAAATTTGTTAAATACGTATTTGTTTTTACTTTTCCCTTATTAATCACTGCAAACCCCTCGTTGAAATGTGCGAAATCAGCGTTTGGGAAGTGAGAAAAGCCATTCGATTTCACTCCAATAAATTGTTTATTCCCCAAAGCAAATAATTACAGTTGGCCTGATAGGCTCGATTTCAATTGGCCGGGCTATCGACATGTAGTTATCGACCACGCCCCGCTCACCCGCTGCCCACTGATTTGGCAAATTGATGCCGGAAATTTGCGCAAATTCCAAAGGATCTGGTTCAACACACATATATGTATATAGAAATGTGCGGTGGAACAACAATAGAGGCGATTTGCTGAATGGAAAGCGCAATCCACATGGCAGCGGCAATAACAAATAAGGCTATTAATATTTTATTATTATTGCTATGCAAAGCCTGCGAACAATGGGAAGCCAAAGTTATTCTTCGCGACTAGAAAAACGCGAATTCCATCCAAGAACGCAAAAACACAATGGATTTTTGAGGGGAATGGGGAATGGCGAATGGGAACCTATTCACGAAGGGAACGAACATAAACCCATTTTTTATGCATGCAGGCAAGATTTGTCGAGTGCAGATTAATAATTCAATTAGATTGCACAACGCGGCGTATGCGTGATGCATTATGTAAATTTCAATGGAAAGAAACGGTGGAAACGGCGTCGCCCCAAAAGACAATTTGCTGCTGACAGATGACGGGGACAAATGTCAGTGTCAACCGGCGGTTAACTCACTTCAATTGAGACCAGGCTCAAGTTGTCTCCTCAACTCAAGTGCACTCACTAAAAACTCATCACCCAAATGCGAAAACGTACATTTTTTACCTGGCACTAGCTGCAATCGATCCAATCCCAACGCCGTTCGATAAATCAGTGTAAACACGCCATGAACTGTTTATAAATTAGTTGAATATCTATTTGCGTGGAAAATGTGCGGAACATAAACATGATGACAACGTGATGCTGCGATAAATGTCGGCATCCTTCGCCAACTTACGTGATACTCATTATTTACATTCGATTGAAAGTTAAACGTGCGAACAGATGAGCACAACTTTGTCGTTCCACACAACAAGTATTTAGATCTATATCACCCCCTTCCGGATGAGCTCATCTCCCCATATCCTTTACTGCTGCCACACCAAGCACGTAAATTGCTCGTTCTCCCAAAAAATCGCAGGAAAAAAGCAAAAATAAAACACACACACATGGGCGAAAAAAGGGATAAACTTTGGTTTTCGGTATACATCCTTGACGGAGTTCCTTTGAAAACAGGATTATGCATCGATGGAGGTGTGTACGCCTGTATGTTTGGCAAAAGTTTCCCCATGTGCTGGCTGCTAATGAGGCTCACATTCATTTTCATTTACCAGCTGGTTGGCTAGAAGCAAAATAAATTAAAAGGAATGCCATTGGAGGAAACTTTTGCTAACTGCCAACCTTTTGTTATAATTTAAACTTTGTATTAAATATTGCGAGGGCATGTGGGACGTGTGATAATCGTGTGATAATCACCCGACTCGCTGGGGAACTTTTCTGCACCCCTTTGTCTTGACAATTCATTAAGCAATCTTCTGCTGGATTGCGTATACGCCCCATAAACCATACAGAACTGCACGACAATGTTCGGGAAATATGCCAGCACGTAATAAAAGTAAAATGTTCATAAAGGCCAAGCCCCGCCGTCGTCCGATCGGAGACAAAGACATTGTAAATTATAGTGGCTGCGAGGGATACCTGAAACTACACCAGAAATAAATCTAATTGCTTATGAAAGAGCTTTTTGGGTAAATATTAAACAAATCGCAAATGTTGATTAGGTTAAGCACAAGACTTAATAATAAGCCAATAAAACTTAGTAATAGTTATTATTATTATATTTTTAAAGCGTGTTAATATGGCTTTTGAAATTTGTTTTTTATTTGACCATGAAAAATAATTTGTATTATGTTTTTTTTAACAATTTAATGGCCTAAGAAATTCTTTTAACATTGCTTATAAATTTATATACCATTTCCTATAATTCTTCAGAGAATTTTAAATGCTGAAGTACTTAGAACAAATGTGTTTTAGTGTAGTTCTGTTTTCCCTCCGTTCAGCGCATTTTACGAGCTGCACATAGGATATAAAGCCAAAGCTGAAGCCAAAGCCGAATGAAAGCCTCGTTGGCAGCCACATAAATACAATCGCCTGTTCTTTTTTCACCCAGAATCCGCTTTCCCCATCCCAATCCCCTTCCTCTTCTCATTTCCCTGCCCCTGCCTCATCCTCATAATCATGGTCATTCGGCGGACTCACCGTTGTGCCATCGTAGCCATTTGTCAGCAGTTGAATGTCGATTTCAATGTCCAGGTTGTCCACCTTGGCGGTGGTCAATTGCAGCGGCAGGTGATCGGCGTCGAGCAGCGTGGAATTCGCTGCCAGTCCGCTGCTGCTGTTGCCACCGCTGCCGCCGATGATGGTGGTGCCACTACTCGTGGCGGAGGTGATGGCCGAGGAGGTGGTGGTGGGGCCGCTGCCGCTGCTGCTGCTGCTGCTCGAACCGGTGGTGCTGACCACCGAGGCCGCCACCACCGAAACCACTCCCGCACTGGCGGCCGTTAGAGCGAGTGCAGCAATCGCCCGCATGGCATTTGTCATTGCGAAAACCAGGATGATTAAAAGGTGCTGCTGGTGCCCAAAAAGGTGTGGTGTTTGGTGATTGGTGACTGGCGATTGGCGATTCTCTCAGCCAGTGATTTTCAGTTACGGTTACGGCAATAAATTGCCACACTACGGCAATGCAGCATTTCGCTAATACACTTCGATTCAAGGATATTCAGGATCTGGGTTGTTCGGAGGCAAACATCGCGGAAAACGCGACTCAGAGTCATGTCCAGCCATCAATCAGGCGAAATTACGGCATTAAAGTCAGTCCCTGAATGATTAATTATATATGCTGGTTCACGGCTTGTTTATATCCGCACACACACACACGCACACACACTTTAGACACACACACACACTAATACACTTGCACGCACGCCCGTCAAGAATTCTCGATCGGCAGACGGGATTAAGTCCGAGCCCCTTTCGATTTTTTTGGTTGGGGGCTTTCTATACTGGCTTATCTCCCCAGTTGGCCACCGCTTGCCGAACCGTGCGAACTGAAGGCTGAACGTCGACTGTCCGGATACGCACGACTAACGGCATCAGTACGCCGGAGTCCGCGGCATCGAACGAACGACCAATGCCGTAGAGTATGCAACAACTTTCGAGTTCCGCCGGAGCCGACAAGTCCATTCAACAGGACGTGCCGTTCCGCAGGCGGAATATCTGCGCCGCGCAGCTTGGAGAGCGAGCTTAAAAGAGGCAAAAGCACCTGTTGTACCACCGACGCGTTTTCCCAGCGATTCCAGAGCGATTTGAAGCGACTCGCGCGCGACTCTGGCCGCTACCTCCATTTGTTCTCATTAGCAGACGGAGAACGATGATGATGGGGCACAAACAGAGTGACTGCCTCAACTGCAGGCGAAATGGAATGCAATTGCTGGCTTTGACAAATCGCCAACGGCAGACCTGCCGGCCGATGCAATCTTTCAATTGAAATACTCTTCCAAATGATGCGGTACTTTAAGTTTTGAAAAATTAACGAAAGAGGGATCGTCTTTTATTAAAGACAAAAAGGAAATCTTGGCACTTTAGAAATAAAGCTAATTTTGAATTTTATATGATCAGAATATTTCTTATTAATATGATGAACTAATCTCACAATAAAAGATTTAATTTTGGTATAAGCTAAGTTAACGTTTATTTGGCACTCAATTCCACTAATAATCTTTCCCCTCAAAACCACATGCTCCTCAACAGCCACTCGATGTGCTTGGCCACATCTGTGTAGATCACGGGCAGTGTCAGATTGCAGCGGTTGGTCAGTCGCTGTCCGGCGGAGACCACTCCCCTCAGCATCCAGATGTCCTCCTCCTGGAGCATTAATCCTCCGCCGGAGTCGCCGCTGCAGGGTCCCGAAGCCTGAGCATTGCTGGCGCAGATTGTGTGCGAGGTAATGAACCGGGAGTTCTCCGCGGAGAGATTGCCACGGCACTCCGACTGGGTGATGATGTCCGTGTCCGTCATCTTGGCCAGCCTGGTGTTCCGGTTGCCCTTCTCATCCTCTCCCCAGCCAGCCACATAGGACTTGTAACCCGAGGGCAAGTCCAGAAGAAAGTTCTCGTTCCACAGGCAGATGGGCTTAATATAGTCATCAAATCTGAAAGTTATAAGTTAAAATCTATTTTATTTTTTTTATATTTAAGTACTCACTCAACAGGTTCGCTCAACTGCAGGAGGGCCAAATCCGCATCTGTGTAAACATTTGGATTGTACTCTTCGTGCAGCAAAAGTAGCGATACACCTCTTGTGGCTCCGGGTGCGAAAAGATCCAGGGTATTGCGGCCCAGCGAAACCGTTGTCCTTTGGCCCGGCAAGCTGCGACTCCCGAAGCGGAAACAATGGGCTGCCGAGATCACCGTTCTGGCCGAGATCAGGGTTCCGCCGCACAAGAAGTTATAGTCGTTGCCGACCTGCTCGAAAAGAGCCGCCATCCAGGGCAGTTGACCCCGCTCCACCTCGATTCCGTGGTGGATGTAGGGCGTCTGGATGGTCTTCTCCCTACCGCAGACTCCCCTTAACTGTCCGATGGTCGTGGGTCGGGAACTGGATCTGGTGACCTGAACTGGCGGAATCAGGGGTGGTGGAACCGGTCTGGGTGAGGTGGCGAACTGCGGTTGAGGTACTTCTTGTGGTCGTGGACGCGGACGTGGCCTTGGTGGTGGTTGTGCTCTTTGCGGAGGCTCCTGTTCCTGGGGGGCTTCTGTCCAGTTACTTTGAGGGTTTTGGGACCACTGCGGTTGTTGGGGGCGTGTCGGTAGTGCCGCCAAAGGAACAGTACTTCGCAGAGTACGCGACAATGACAATTTCGTGCTAGGAGGCCCAACTGCAAGGGAATCAATTTTTTTTTATAATTTTTATGATCTAACTCCTTTCCAAATTTTCAAAAAAAATGGGTTTATTAAAAGTTCTATTACTTTTCTATTTTTGATCAGATTTTAAAGCGACATATGTATCTCTAAATGTTTCTATTTTAACTCTCTAACAAGCTGCATCATTAGTTAACTTTTTATTTTTTTCTCAGATTTTTTTCAGTTTTTATGATACCAACCCTTTCCAAGTTTCCAAAAAATGGCTTTGTTCAAAATTTAACAAAATTCACTGGTTTTGAGTCCACAACTTTTCTAATTTTAATCAGATTTTGAAGTGACATACCTCTAAAAGTTTGTGTTTGAATAGCTATCGATTTTGGACTACAAAATTTTAAAGTTAAAATAAAAGTGTACTCACACTGTGAAGCTTGGCACACAATCTCCCCGTTGACGGAAACCATGGTTAGTTTGGGCACCACTCCCGGCGTGGGAAAGTCAATCCGATAGTTGATGGGCTCATTGTTTCTCAAGCGGAACTTGAGCGACTCCTCGCTCTCCAAAAAGTTAAGAGATCCCGGGTGCGACTAGAAACAAAAAACAAGAGAGAGTGGTCAAAAGATGGCAGCAAATTATTAATTTCAATCGACGTCACCGGGGGAGAAACATATGTAAACAAAACAAAACTGGCAAATCCGAAGCTCTGGCAGAACACAAACAACATTGGCGGCAAAACCAGTTCAACAAGTTGAAGAAAAGCGGTAGAGAACCGAGAAGCTGGGCAGCTTTCGCATGAGAGGTGTTTTTCCCGAGCGCGCGTTGTCTTATCAGCGATGCAATCCTCATGAGAATCAACTTGACCAGTGAGTTCGCCCAGTTCGATAGTGGGAAATCATGCAGTCGATCTGCATGTGAGGTCAATGCATGATAACACTGACATAATAAATAGGGGAAGGGGAAGGGGTAAATGAACACTCGGAAAATCTTACCGGAGTCCTTCTGCCAGGCTGCGAGAGTTCCACACGCACTACGTTTTCCGATAAAGAACTATCCAGAACCAGATTCAAATGGCCTATGTACTGATTTTGGTATTCCAAGTAATCGAAAATATCCGGACAAGCGATGTATGGCAGGTTTTGACCGCAAATAAAGCTAATATGCAAAATGATGACCAGGAAACCGAGCAATTGCAGTTGGCACATGGCGAATCCGGAACAATAAATATTTATAAAAACAATTGCGATTGCAATATCAGGGCGTGCAGGAAAACGCGTATTTTATAGAGCCACGGAAACCGCACTCAATGAGAGTCGAGCGATGAATGATTGGTATTAGCTCGGCCGTCGAGCATTAGTTTCCGATCTAGCTAAACATTCTGATCGGAGACAAAGCTTATCGACGCTCTCAACCTGATCAGTGATCAGGGTAAGCTACTCGGTTACATACATACTCTATGACTAATGGGTATTGGGGGACTCCGTATCAGTTTGAGGTAAATGTGTTAAATAAAGAAATACGAAAAAAAAGAATGGTAAAAATATAAAAAATAAACGTTTTAAGAAGCACAACTTACTTCAAAGTTCTTGATTTAAATCTTTTCCTAAAAACCTTAAAAAGTCTCAAAAAAAAAAAAAAAATAATACTCTTTTAACAAACATACAGAATATAAGAGGGATTATATGTTTTTAGCATATCTTTTTTTATTTAACAACTAGTTACTTAAGTAAAAACAAATCATTTGCAGTGTATACAAGATGTGCTTTGCTACTTTATTTTCTTAGATGATTAATGAATCCAATTAGAATGACTTGGCGTTAAGAAGCTTATTAAGATATAATAATGCAGCTCTTGGATCTTCCAGTTACGTGTCTGAAGTGAATGTAATTACAGGGAAATCTATAGGCAATGTCTTTGGCAAGCTGATCACTTCACTTAGTTCCACATGTGTTGGCGCACCCAGTCGATATGCTTTGCCACATCGGTGAACACGGATGGCTTGGACAGCTCGCAGGTGTTCTCCTTCTCGTTGATCACTCCCCCGGAGATGACTCCCCGCAGCACCCACACCTCCTGTTCCCGCAGCATCAGAGGTCCTCCTCCATCGCTGGCACAGGGACCTGCGCCTGTTTTCTTGGCACACAGGGTGCTCGGCTGCACCAGGACGTGGGGCAGCTCCTGGCCGCAGTTCGACTCGGTCACGATGTTCATGTCGGTGATCTTGGACACATCTGAGTTGCCGGTGCCGGTCTCATCGGGTCCCCAACCTGCCACATAGCTCTTGAGTCCTTGCGGCAGGTCCAACCGATTCGTGGTGCTCCACAGGCAAATGGGTACTATGTAGTCATTGTATCTGAATTAAAAAGAAAGGGTTTTTAATAAATATTTATATAATATATTTAAAAAGTAAGAATAAAAAATAAACTTTGTTATAAAAATTATATTATAGTTTCCAAAGCTTATTATGTTCTTCATCGAGTATATATATAAAATATATTTAGCATAAGCTTACCTCACAGGTAGATCCAATCTAACTAGCGCCAAATCGGCCTCCGTAAACTGCTTAATCTGATAGTTGTTGTGGATGATTAACTCGGACACCCCTCGAAATTCTCCCGGCGAGTGGATGGCCAGGCTATTCCTTCCCAAGGAGACGGCTGTTCGACTGGCTGGCAAGTTCCGGCCAGGAAATCGAAAGCAGTGGGCAGCTGACAGGACAGTGGATGTCGAGATCAGGGAACCTCCGCAGATGAAAGCCGGTCCATTGCTTTCCCGCCTCTCGAAGATGGCCACCAACCATGGAAGCTGACCGCGTTGCAAACTCGTTCCATGGAAGATAAAAGGGGTTATGCTGGCTCTCTCCCTTCCGCAGGGAATTCCATTAGAAGAACCTGTCTGTTGGGGGACAGAATTTCGAGCGAAATTTGACTGTTGAGGTAGAGTCACCCGGTTAGCATTTACTGAAGACTGTTGAGGAACAGTGGCCCGGTTAGCATTTACTGAAGACTGTTGGGTGGCTGTATTCCGATCACGGTTCGTTTTCGCCGGCTGATTAACTCTACGATTCGTCTGAGGCTGAGTACCAATTTCAGAATTCGAAAACGAGCCATTACCCCAATCAATATCCACATTATTCTCCGTAAGCCTTGGCTGGTTGGGAAAGTTCTGCCTATAGTTATTAGTTGCATTCTGTGGCTCTTCTGCTTGTTGCCAAATCGGAGAAGGTGACACAGGTTGAGGAACAGCCCCATAGACCGAAGAGTGGGAGGTGGTCCAGGTAATAGTCAAAGTAATAGCAGTTCTTGGCTTGGGATCTGGAAATCATCATTCTTAGTTACTGATCACAAGGTAAAACGCTTCATTCACTTACATACTGATCCTCCGCAAAGTTCTTTGTTGTTCAATACCATATTGGTGATTTTGGGCGGCACTGTTGGAATCGGAAAATCCACGCGATATTGGATCGGATTACCCTGACGCAGATTTTCTTGGGTCGTGGTATCATCCTCAACCAGAGAAACTCTGCCCACATAGTCCTAAAAAAATGCATACAGAATAAGTAAAGATGATTTTAAAATATTAGCAACAATCAATTTGTTTAGCTGAACAGCTCTTTTTCCCTGAGACTTGTTTACACCGATCACTGTTTATTTACTTTTTTCGCATTCACAACTACATTTGTAACTGCTGCATGGGAAAAAGCACAACCGCAAGCCAGCAAATTGATAAGAGCTCTCAATGCAATTGAATGCTGTCGAGAATTTCCGATGAAAAGTTACTAAATCTCACCGTGAATTGGTGGTATCCCGGCTGGGAGAACTCAAGGATCAGTGAATGGTCGGTGACCAAGGGATGGCGCACTGTCACTATGCCAATGTACTGTCCATTATAGCCCTGGTACTCGAATCGCGGAGAGCAGCCATTCCGGGGCAACTGGCCAAGACCCGATTTAATCAGAGCCACGAGGAGAACAACGATCACCAGCTGAAGCGAACTCATTGCAACTACGAAAGCGGTGAGCTCTCCAATTTGTTTTATAGAGAAAATATTTACTCAATCTACGCAAAAGTAACTCACTCAATGAGGGAATTACTACCTCGAATAAAGCCCCTCTCTAAACAAAAGTTTACTCATAACGTCAGTGGCTCTCCCCACTGAAGGGTTTTTAGAATGTGTAAATGTTTTTTGATGTTGTACTCCTGAGCTTGAATAGCTTTCCCGCGTGTCAAGCTCAATTATGCAAAGAGTTTTATTCCAATCAAGTCTGGAATTCTATTTATTTATCTTGATAGATCATTTGCATATTAATCAATCTGCGTCTGCTATAAATTAGTAAAGATGCATCAGCCTAATCTTCTCTGCTTTTTGTTCATACAGAAAACTAATTTAAACGGGGCTTTTACTACCGGTATTAACTATACTGAATATCTAAAAACACTTATTAAAACTCGATTACCACTTGCTTTGTAGCTTTTTATTTTGCTATGCTTAGTATAATTGTTAATGAAGAAGTCCTGCTTATGTCATCTTTGTTACTATTTGTTTGCTTTGAAATTAATATTTATAAAGTATACATATAGTGCACCTGCTAATTGTTAGGTGTCTTACTCTCTAGATATTCATCGATAATGTCCTGCAACTGTCTTTCCACTTCAGCCCGCTCCTCAGCATATTCCTTTAAAGTTTTGTCCAAGCACTGGTTACTCTGCTTTTGGGTTTCCTGCAACTGATCGGATCCTTCCAACAGATTGTTGATGTCCTGTGGAGCACTTTGAAGGCCATTTATAGCGTTCCTCACATTCTTTCGGCATGTTTTGGCCTTGGTATTAGGACACGTTTCAGCGGCTTCTATCAACTGGCTGGTGGGGCTTTGCAGACCTTTCAGGATCTTGCTTAAATCCAGATTAAAACGAATCTGCTCCCAAAGAAAATCACCCACACAGTTGCGTAATTGGAGGGCATAGCGATTGTTGAAATCTTCCGTGATTGAAACAGCTTCTGATGTTCTAAGGCCATTCGTAGAATCTCCCACTTTCTGCACTTCCGCTGCTGCCCAGTACTTCCATTCATCATGGTGTTTAAGTTTCCGAATCAATTCTATTTGCTGACTTTTAATCCTTTCGAGATCCTCTCCCAAAGGGGAAATCGCCAATTTCATGCCAGTTAAAGTTGCCAATGCTTCCTCCAGACCTTGCTGCCTCTTTTTCTTTCGGGTATCGGGTAATAAATTCAGTATATCAATTTGCGCGTTCTCAAGATACTCCTTGAATTGATTTAAGCCTTCTTCATTTGCGTCCTGTAGATTGTTGGTCGGATTTAGGACTAAAACTCCATTGTCATTTGTATAATCCGGGTCATTGGCCAGACTTCCCTGGTTTCCAGACTCATACCTGATAGCATTGGTAGGATCCTTTGCCAGGACTCTGCCATCGCTGGTGAAGAGGACCCTCAGGCAGAGCAGCAATATGGAAGACTTCATCTTTCCATCTGCCTCCTCAGAGGCTTCGAATCATTCTGGTCCCATAAAGACAACTAGTTGGGTAGTTAAATACTCAACTCGCTTAGCAAACATTAGTTCAGCTGATGGCAATCAGTGTGCTGTCTACACGTAGTTAAATATGTATCTTATTTACGTCAAAACTCTGAATGGTGTTCACCGCAAAAAAAAAGAAATAAATCGTCTAAGAATAACTCTTCTATTAAAGTTAGTTAGAAAAGTCTATCTTAGTTAGTTTATAAAAATTATCATGTTCTCCGTATTATTTTATTTATTTTATATTTTTCGAGGCACAATATAAGATTGTTGTCAACTTAATTTATCGAATCACACGCTTATTGGATTAATCACTATTCAATGTCTATATTTATTCAAATAAAACATGAAGCTTGAAGACAGATCAGTTTTTTCGGTTATGTCCGCCAGCAAAAAGCAATTACTTGTCATTCAAGCTAAGAGGCTCGTTCTTTTTGGCTCCTCAAAATAATTGATATATGTGAGTAACAAACTTGTTTTGCCAAAAAAGTACCTGACAATTTATTGAATGGTTTTTTAGTCGAACGATATGCAAAGCAATTTCCTAATCTCAGTATAATATTATATCAGCGAATATTATCATTTATCCAGTCAATGTGCTTCGACAGATCGCAGTACAGAACGTATTGATTGAGCTGACAGGCCCCATTGGTGGTTCCCCGTTCCCCAGCGGACACGATGCCCCTGAGGAGCCACCGATCGCCCTGCTTGACCATCAATCCTCCGCCGGAGTCCCCAAGACAGGGACCCGATCCATCGCGATTTCCCGCACACAGACTTCGATCCGTGACCACCGATGTCCTCCAGTTGCTGGCACAATTGGTGGCACTGGCGATCTCCGCCTCCACGACACGGGGATACTGGGTCCTGGAGTTCCCTCCCATGTTGTCAGATCCCCAACCGGCAATAAATCCGGATGAAGCCTCCGTGGAGCTCGCCTCCGCCGTCCACGTGCAGATGGGCGATATAATGTCGTTAAAGCTGCAAAAATAAATGGGAGTTGGTATGCGGTTCAATTTGAATAAATGTAAGCTGGCTAAGCCAGTGGTATTTGCAAAAAATTAGTAATTAATTCACACCCTTTAACATTTTAAATGTCTGACTTTTCACTCAGTAGCGTTTTGCAGTTAAAATGATTTGTAATTATTGAACAAATGGAAATATTTTACAATATTATTTTAACTTTTAAATGAGATAATAGTAATTTTTTTTTTTTCTATTCTATAATATTCTGTTATTCTAATTTATCAGTTTAACTAAGATCTATCCAGCAGTAAATTTTTTAAAAAGTTTCTTTGATAAACTTACATCACTGGCCGCTCAATGGTAATCAGGGCAATATCCGCATCTGACAACTGGCGGGTGTTGAACTCCGGATGCCAGAGCAACCGCATAACGTTATGCATCTCGGCGCCATCCTCCCCGTAGTCATCCAGATCGTAGCGCCCTAATCCGATGACCACGCGATCCTCCGTCATCCGATAAACGCAGTGTGCGGCGGAGATCACGATGCTGGCGGAGACCAGGGAACCGCCACACTTGAAGGCCAGCGAGCGGCCCTCCTTGTGGTAGACCGCCGATAGCCAGGGATACTGACCACGTGGGAACTCCTTTCCCCGTACAATATAAGGCGACAAGCTGCCCTCCCTGCCACAAACCACCGTTGCAGACGGAGATCGTGGATTGAAGCGGTCAGGTGGTGGTGCTTGGATTGGAGGATTGGTGGCTATCGGTGGTGGTGGTTGTGGTGGTTGTCGTTGTACTGGTGTGAATGGTGGTGGTGTTCGAACTGGTGTGAATGGTGGGGGTGTTCGAACTGGTGTGGGTGGTGGTGTTGGCTGCAACCTCGTGTTGGTGATCTGCGGTGTTCCGGAAATTGGCACCGGTACACTGGGCACAATTTCCCAGATAGTTTCGGGTGGCGTGGGACTTGGATTGTTTATCCGGGAACTCTTGGAAGGTATTCTGTTGGGTGTCTGAGTCTGGGTCTGCCAACTTCTCGTAAAATCCGGCCAATTATCAAAATTATTAGAGGGCGTGAAGAATTCGGACTGTCCAGGGAAGTTATTGTTATTTCCACCGAAGTTATTTTTTGGAAATGGGTTAAATCCTTTAGAAATCAACGGCTCCACCGGACCACTGATGTTCAGCTCATAGAAACGGGTAAAATCGGTATAGGGGATACCATCTGTGATAAAAAGCCGAAAGATTATCAAGGACATACAAAGAACACCCCACTCACATCTGTTCGCTGAGCAAATAAGTTGATTGTTGTAGACGAGTTCCGTCAATTTGGGGACACCAGAGGTGGGATTTGGCCTGAAATTGATCCGGAATATTGAGAATGCCTTTTTCGTACTCAAAAGCAACGCGTTCTCATCCGGGTACGGAAATAGTGCACCCACAACAGGGTCCTGTGGAGAGCGAGGGAACAAAGGGGTCAAATCAGGTTCTGATTTCAGGTGATCAGCTCAAACCTGTTGAGTACCCCGCGTCGAGAAGGAAATGGAAATCCAATTGGGACCTTCTTTGAACGCGGGCACCGTGATCTCGGCCTGGTAAGCGTTGACATACTGGAAGTAGTTGGGGCAATTGTTCTCCGGCAAAAGTTGGCAACCGGCGACGGCGATCAGCGACAGAAGTACGGCCAACTCCGGAGCCATACCTTTCCGGAATCCTGGACTATCTGGAAGCGGTTCCGCACGCGACAAGAGACGCTGGGTAAATAAAATCAAATCACAGCTCGCGCTCCCATCGAATCTCGACGGGTTGTTGAGTCATTGAGCGGCGATGCTGAGCAAACTGGAAATTCCGCATCGTGTTGAGCCAATAAGGCACGGCTTCCAGAAAAGCATTTCAAAATAAATCTAACATATCGAAGCTTGAACACTTCATAAGTATAATAATATTATTCTGACACTGTCTTAAGCCAACACTTTTTTCACATAATGTAAATATATACATTAAAACTTAAAATACTTTGTTACTTTATATTATTAGGATCTTTAGGATTTTAGGATTTTATATTTTTATATTTTTAATTTTTAAAGTTCTTATCTATTAAACTTTATACCCCATTTATTAAAAGATAGTAGGGTAAACATTTCTCACATAATGTTAATAGATAAATTAAAACTTGTGATACTTTCTTACTTCATATTATTAAGCTTTTCATCTCTACGATTTTATACTTTTATATTGTTAGTTTTTAAGGTTCATGTCTATTAAACTATATACCCCACTTATTAAAAGATTGTAGGGTATAGACAAAGCTTAGATGCGATCTGCTCACCTGTGTTTTGAGTGGAATCCCCTCTCGTATAAAAAACAACGGAGATGCTGGATAAACAAAACAAATCTAGTCACTTTATAAGATCACTTTATTCATTGGGATGTAAAATAACCTTCAGCTTCAGAAGAAGTTGGTTTGGGTTTTCTATCAATTAAGGATCTAACAATAATGGGTTGGCCCTATTGTAATTCTTTGGAGCATAGAAAAAATCGACAAAACGAAAAATATAAACGTTATTTGCGAATCCAATACTATAAATCTTTCTTCTTATCTAATGGTCAATATCTTTAATTCCGTGGGATCATCTTAAGGTAAACAAGCATATCTCCATTTCAATTCACCATATTCTGATGAACCCAGTCGAGATGCTTGGAAACATCGCAGTAGATGACGTACTTGCTCAAATCGCAGATTGTTCCATTGCGAAGCGACAAGGAAACGACGCCCCGAATGTAGTATCGGTTGTTTCGCAGGACAATCAGTGCGGATCCTGAGTCCCCGAAGCAGGGACCATGGGAATCCGGATTCCCGGCACAGACTGTTCGCGCCGTGATGAAGTCCTCCGCTCGCTTCATTTCCCTGAGGCACTGATCCCGCGACACCAATCGCACACTCACGGTCTTCGGAAACTGTGTCTTCTGGGCGGAGTGATCGAATCCCCAGCCCGCAACTGCTCCAGTGTCGCCCTCATTGGGTGGCACTCCCATATTGGAAGTCCACAGACAGAGCGGCTGGATGTACCTTGAGTAGACCATCGCTTCGCTGAGCACCAGGAGACCAATATCCGAGTCCGGGATCGGAGTGCCATTGTACTGCGTAGGCGTTCTAACAGTGGACACACTGACCAAGGAAGCTCCGTTTTCCGGATTCGTAAAGCGATCGTGTTTGCCGAGATAAACCCAAAGGTTGGCGGCCTCCTTTCCGTAAATGCAATGGGCTGCCGTGATCACAGTCCGTTTCGAGATTACCGAAACCACACACTTGTAGCTAACCGAGGAGGTTCCCTCATAGAGGGCCGCCAACCAGGGGTATTGACCCCGGGTCACGAGGTCACCGCCCAGTTGAAGGGACGCCAGACCCTCCTTGCCGCACTCATCGTAGTCGGTCTCTACCCGAGGCACAATTCGATTTAGGAAGGGATTAGGAAGGGACGCCGGGGACGCTGTCGTTTCTTGTCTTGGTGTTGCGAAAATGTCTCTAATCGGCGATGAGGTGGACATGGACTGCCGCCTGGTCATTGTGCTCGAGGGAGCATCGTCTGAAGAAGGAGAAAGGAAAAGAAAAAGTTAAAATAGTGCATTAAAATTATTAAAATAAAAGTATTTTCCAAATTTGAATGTGGTGAAAGAAAGTATACTCTTACAAATCATACACGCAAAATACTTCTTAAATGTATGAATCTCGAAGCTTTTGAAGACTTTAACTGCGATTATCAATTTAATCAATTATTTTGTAAAAAAGGCAGTTAAGTGAATGTATTGTATTTGTTTACACATCTTTTTTCCAGCGCATGAACAGAGTTTATAATATCAATACTCACACTCGCTGTTTCTGCATAAAACCTCATCATTGAACTTTGCATAAACGAGCTTGGGCAGCTCGTTTCCGAAATCCTGAAAGCGCACATACACCTGACCCAGCCCTCCATCGTGGATTCTCTCAAAGGCCTGATCCTTAGTGGGATACGGCATAAGAGAGCCGACAGAACCAGCCTGTGAATAATCATTTATTAATCATTTATTGATAGCTCATTCAGTAAAGTAGAATAGGAGTGCTCTCACCTGACCAGTTCCGTGGGCAGTGAATTGCACCTCCCATGTCAGGCTGTTGATTCCACCGTGTTTGGCGGTGAATAGGCCAAAGTAGGATCCACTCTCCTCGCGGCGGTAGGAGAAGTACCTATCGCAATTGTGCTGCGGCACATGCAACGCCGAACTCGAATACAGATTCGAACAAAGGCAGAGAAAGGTCAGCCACGAGATTATCATTGCGACGGGGACAACCGATGCCGAATGGAGCTGAATGGGAACTGGAACTGGGCATTCGCCTCAAACGCAATCCACACGAGATTCGGAATGCAGTTTTCAGCTCGAATCTACGGCTGATCTCTCCCCAGATTGCGGAACACCCCCATTGACGGATTGCGGGCTTTGCCCAGCAATCCGGATCCCGTCTTGTCGTAGGAACTAGTGGTTAGCTAGTTGCAGAACCGCAGAACCGGAATCCGCTCAGAACTATAAAGCTGCATTGGAGAGAAATCCCATAGGCATTATAAACATGGTGATTATTTTACTTGGCCGTTTGGGTGAAGTCTTGTTTACATAGCTTCTCAGTAAATATTCTCTTCTTTTTAAATCTCTCTGACGAACCTTCATTTAATCTCTCTTTAGGCGATCTTGCTCAATAACTTTTGTGTGGAGATAAGTCAGTTTTTGTTTGGAACTGAATCCATGCACAACAATTTGTGCAAAAATATAAATAATCATAGAGGCATCTGTATGGGAAACAGATTAAAATATTACCTATCAGTATTGATCAGAAATCGTAGATGAGTAAGGTAAGTATTACCTTCATAGCATTGTGAATAATTAAGAAAATCAATACACACTCTTAAATATTTAGTTTTTCATCAATTTTTCCACTCACATGATTCCTACTTTTCATCAATTTCAGTGGGATTTAAATTTCGCATTCGCAAGAAAAAGTTCTTTTGGAGTCGTTATCTGGCGAAGTATGGGAAACTTTTAATAATATAATGCAAGGTGGTTTATGTGAATGTCTATTGAATGCGATGTTTGCGGGGCCCCTAAAGTAGCGACAACGCATTTGGCCAAAAACTTTTCTTGGCAAAACAAAAAGAAACAAGGAGGACAGGAAGCACCTAACTTCTCGACACCCGCAACTCAATTTTTGTTGCATTGTGGCCGCCGGTTCCCCAAATTTTCCCAACAGCCTGCCGGCAACTTTTATAATCAGTTCCAAGTTTGTTAAGCTTTGTAATAATTTGTTGAGATTTGGCGCCAAATTTTTCCTGCTTTTCCGATTTCTCTTCTTATTTTTTTTTTTTCTCCCTCAAACAAATTTGTTGTGAATTGTGTCGGGGGCTCAAGTTTGCCAACTTAACGGAGGCACTTTGAAGCCATATCGGAAGATGGTGGTGCAGGCTTCCGGCAGCGTCGATAATCGAGTGGCAAGTGGCAGGTGGAAGGCAGCAGTGCATCTGACTGCACTCGAAGGCAACGCCAATTGAGCGGCCTAATTGGAGCGGTCTCTGCTTCATTCAGGCCACTTCAACGTCACGATGGCCTGGCCAAGTCGGCCAAATCAAGTCGGATCAAATTAGCCTTCAGGGACGAAAACTGCTGAATGACGACCAAACTGGGCCAATAATACGCGTACAATTTTAAAGGACAAAGTATTGGCTTCTCTGGTTTTTCTTTAAATAATATGAGGTTTCTAAAACCAGAGGGTAGATTTAAAATATTTTAAAAACATGAAGTGCCCCCAAATGATGTTTTTATTATACTTTTTTTACTCTCTTATGAATATTCTTATAAACTTGTTAATTTTTTTTCTTTACATTTACAATTTTTGTTTAAATGGTTACACACTAAGTAGAACGAACAAAATCTGTGCAAATAAACTATTCTTTTTTCAAATCAATTAAGTTTATGCTCGCCTAAGTATTTTAAAGCTGTCGCAGGTGCAGATCCCCCGCATTCGGCTGAATACGAAAACAAATGGCTCGCCGCAGGACTTGAGGAGCTGGATTTTTTGGGCGTGCAAAAAAGCTGTTCGCAGCGAGCAATGGAGCTCCTCGTCCCACGAATTCTCCACCGACTCCTCCACGAAGAGAGTGTGGAAGACATTCAGCAGCTGCAGCGATCGCTCCATTCGAGGTGTTCGCACCAAGCCCAACAATTGGATATAGGGACGGAACTTGATCCACCGCTGGCAATCCTTGATGTCCACCTCGACGCTCAGATCGATGACCATCAGCTTGCAGTCGTGGTCGTGGATGGACTGCAGCAAGGCCAGCTCCATGGGTCCCTTGAAGCACTTCTCCAGCTCCTCGGTTATTGTGAAACCCAATTCGTGACTGGGCGTTTGCATGGTCCAAGGAAACTTTCGATTGGCGAAGTCGTAGGCCAGTTTCTGTCGGCGTTCGTGCTCGATTCTCAGATCATCCACCTTCTTGTCGATGGGTCGAATGGCCTGGGATCCGCAACGGAGGAAATCCCCTTGTGCCGGTCCCTTCCGCTCCTCCACCTCCTGGTTCAAGGCCTTCTCAGCCTCCTGGTTTTCGATCTCCTCCATTAAAGCGCCCTTGCAGCAACGCAGCTCCAGAGGTGTAATGTAGAAGGGATAACCCACCTGGGCCAGGTACTTGTGCCACTCCAAACGATTGAAAGTCTGCTTGGGCACAAAGAACTCCTCCGATTTGCTCTCGATGCGGCAGAGATTCTCGTCCAGGATTAGCGGCCATAACACATCGAAGAAGGAGCTGGCCATGGTCTGCCTATCCTCTGAATGATTTGGCTGCTCACTCATCTTGGGTACTTTGAATTTCTATTCTGGTAATTTGGCCTGACTAGCGAGTGTGTGTTTGTCGAAGAAATGCTTTTGCCTCGCTATTAAATGCTCAGTAGAGTGACAAAAATCTAACAGACTACACTTTGAATAATTTACATACAACCAAAAAAACTTGAAGTCAATAAAATCAAGTTGGTTTTTATTTAGCAAAAAAAAAAGTTCTTATGTTTTTTATTCCTACATTGATTTAATCAACTTTTAAAGTGCACTAACTTTTTATTCTGATTTAGAAGAAACTTTAAAGTAATTTCCAGCAGTGTAAGCACATACATTTCATTCTCTTATCGTCGAATAAATCAGCCAATGCCACGCTTCCTAACAACAAAGTCTCTCCACTTTTTTTCCACTTTTTTCTATACATAAACTTGATTGTTTGTGCTCGTACCTCAATTTATGCGCACTCACAGGCAATAACGGTAAGCAAGTACTCTCGTCGGGAATCAGGAATCGGGAATCAGCAACAACAATTTGCGTACATTTTATGACATTCCACGCCGTATATTTACGGTAGCCGGCGATCGCCATCATTTTATGAGCTGAAACGTCGAGGTGAAATTCGATTTTATGAACGAGTGCAGGCGCAACAAGATGGCCACGATTTTCATTATTCCCCTGCTCGTATATTCATTTGGGGCGGGGAGGAGGCGTGGCCGATTCTGGGGGATGGGGGAAGGTGGTGGGGATGACTGTGACATCGGCGACGAGTTTTCGGGCTCATTAGCTTTTATGGCTTTCATTTTATTGCCATCGGCTTTAATTTCGAACGGAAAATGTTGCCTACCGCAGGGCATTTCAACGTTTCCTAGTCTTCAGCGTGTGAGTAATAAATTTTCATAAATCAATTGTGCGTGTTGCTCTCTCGACACAATCAGCAGACTTGCAAATCTGAGGTGCCCAGCAAAATCAAGGCGACGAAAGGTTTGCATTTAGATTTATGGCAGTGAACCTAAAACTGAGTGACAAATGCTTATTTTACGCCTCGATGTTCAGCCACATATTGCAAATTTGATTTTGTCCCTCAGCTGACTTTCGATACCAGTGCCAAAATTTGATTGGAGCTTGGGATTTTAATTTCAGCTGAATGATTTATGGCCAGCTGCTAACCAAAATGAAAATTTAAGCTGCCTTTTCAAGAAAACAAGAACTTCAAGTGACCCAAACCTCAAGACGCAATGTTTTTTGCTTTTCGTCTATTAAAACGCGACAACTTTTTGCTGCTCTCGGGCCACAAAACAAGTCGTTCCTAATATATATATATATAAATGCCTGATGTATATAAAAATTTATGTGTATATTTATTGTATTTTATTGGGGTACTTAAGCGACAGACTGTAAGAGAATACCGCGAGAGCAAAAACCCAAAGAAAAAGCATGGAAAGCTGTATAAAAATAAGCCAAGGAAAAAGCCAAAAGATGCCAAAGAAAAACTGAAACAAGTAAGGACAACTGAGACGCTTATTGACATAAAAGCCAATCATTTTCAAATGGCTTTAAGCATTCGACAAATGGAGGAGCAGTCCCACTACATCAAACGGAAAGAAATAAACAAAACTCGAGCGTAAAAGCGGAGTCGTATATTTTTCGGTTATGCATTTGACTTGGCACACCGCAGCATAAAAAAATTCTAGACCAACTTCCAGTGAATGCACTTTGAACCAGTTTGCGGTTCGAGGTTTCCTACATAAATAATCTGTTTTACGCAATTTATTGCAAGGAAAAAGCTTCGCGGAATTCTGCTATTTTCAAGCAGACTTCTTAAATTCGACAGAAAGTTAGGTGACATTTTGAAGTTTCTACAACCAGACTATTGAATATCAATCAAATTATCGCTGAGGCGTAGTAAATTTGATTGATGTAGCGCTGTTCAGCCATCAATCATCGAAGGATTTGTGCGCCATGTTCTCGTCTTTGCTTTTCTCTATGCAAATTATAAATCAGAGCACAACGAAAAATCAAATAATACGGATTTAAAGTTTTGCTGCTCTTTTGTGTCACAATGTAAAACATGTTTTCTTGTTTTCCTTTTTTTTTTCTCGCATTGAAATTTAAAAATAAATTGACTTACAACATATGAAGGAAATATGCCGTCCCTGCATTATAAATAACTTCTGCGGAATAACACAACCTTTGGGCATTGATAAATAGCTCACCGACTTAAATATTCAATGTTTTTTTTTTTTTTTTTTTGACACGGAAAAGGAAGCATACTTAGGACATAAAGCATCCTTATTCGCGTGGGCAGCGAAGTTCCCAGTTGGACACGCATGAAAAGGTTTTATTGAAATTTTCCTTAAGCCCACCTACGTCCATAATATGTGAGTCGTGTGTAAGTCGGACGACAGCTTCTTTATCTTGGTTCAAGGCCAGAAATTCATAAGGAAAACAAAGACAACAAACAAAGCAAGAACACCCAAGGCTCCGCAAAAGATTCCCTTGGCCAGAAAACCTGGACTGGCTTACAAATGAGTGTGCCACCTTAAATAACAAAGCGATTGTGACACGCACTCAAACACGGAGAAAAAAAACTAAAATAATTAATATGCACTTGTTTGTTTTGTTTAAAATAAAAACAGAAGAACAAAATATAATATACTGCTGTGAACACCAGGAAATTTAATCTTAATGCTTTACAATAAATATAAAATGTTATTTATTTTTTAGCAGTGCTACAACCGCTGCAAGAAATGGTGAGAGTGATGAATTTCTGGCTGGCCCGGCATTAATTCCATTTAATTATTATGACACTGGAGGGCAGTGCAAACAGGCCGCAATGATAATCGAGGCCGACAAAGAGATTACGAACACCTTGAGTGCTCCGTTGGCCAGGTTCGCCCCGAGTCCCCAGCTGCTCTAATCTATCCTAATGGCTAGTGTCGGGCCAAGCGATTTGCGAATCGGCAGAGGGAACATTTGTCATCCGCAATGTGGGCATGAGCGCGTTGGCGTACGCGGCGTATGCGCACCATGGTGGGCAAAACTTTTGCCGCAACGGCGGGCCAAGTTTCCCAGCTCAACTCGAGCGGGAAAAGCGTCGAGCAGGACGGGGACAACATCGTTTTCACGCTTGCTCTGCCAAGTGAAACCAATTTGCGCATTCTGTCTGCCTCGCATCGTCTTATTCTTGGCTGCAGGCTGCAACGGACTGGCAGCCGTTTGGTCCCCTCGAATTTTCCCCGTCCTGCATTTGACATTCCATTTTCCTGAGAGCCATAGCTGATTCGTTTTCGTTTGGGCCAAGTCGGTTTACAGGAGGAACCTAGAAACGCCCGCAGATATTTGAGAAACGGAACTAATCGGCCTTATGAATCTGCGCTTTACTGTCGTAATAGGATCAACTTTTAAAAAAAGCTGACTCATCTTAAACTTTGTTTACAAAGCTAGTATAAGTCCAGATAATTGTATTATAAAATACTTATAATAATCATTGATTAAATAAAAATTCTTTTCATATAATTTGCTTGCACTCAACTTAAATATTTAATCCGAAATGCTTCCAAAAAGTATGCCATACTTTATAGAAAAAAAAAACCATTTCACTCCACATTCTTTTCTACTTAATAATCCAACTCCAATAAAGTCAAATAACTCGATTTAATAATGCTGGCCATTTAAAATATTATTGAAAGCGGTTTGAAAACAAGATAATCGGATTCCTGGCCATTTTGCACCCATAAAACTCTTCCTTGCTGCAGGGGAAATGACGGATTTTGTAGTTTAATAGAAATTCTCGCCTGGTCATAATTTAAAAACAAATTCCAGCTGCCTGCATTGTTTTGCGGTCGTCCGTTGTTCCTCCATCTCTTCATTGCCATCTCTCTCTGACAATTTCTAGCCATCTCTTTCTACGATGCGAGCATGTGTGTGTGGTCGTAAATCAATATTTAAACTGGGTATAGTACGCTCGTTTAGTCTTTGCCTGGCGAGCTCTGGAGGCTTCCAGGCAGCGTTTAAAAATAAAAAAGCAACCCAAACTCATTCAACTCGTTCAACGACTCAATAAATGTTGCAAATACGCTGTTCTGTTCTGTTCTCTTCAGTTCCCTCCGTATTTATTTATACGACACGGAAACGAGGAGGAGCAGGCGGAGTGCTGGAGGAGCAGCTGGAGGAGATGGAGATGCTCCCAGGAGCTCTGCTCCGTTCGTTTGAGTGTCCAGCGAATTTCGTTTCATCTGCGGAGGCAACATGAAAACATTCCGAAACACTATTTATCTTTATTTCGCTCTCGTTCTGGCCATCCGTGCTCCGCTTTCTATCCGGCCAGTGATATTTGTTATTTGCTAAACGAAATGATATATACTACTGGCGTGTACAGGGCAGAGCTCCTGCCTGAGTTGTCATTAGTCATGCTTTGCTGCACACACAAACACACGCACTCTTGAGCTGGCCAACGTTGCGTATACTCGATGCGCCGCCACTCGACATCCGCATGTTCATTCACAACTCAACTTATCGATTATGACATCGCTTCTCCTTCCGCTTCTCCGACGGAAAACTTTATTCATAATGTTGCGAACCCCACTGAGCCCTCCACCTTCAATTTGTTTCGTTTCGTTTCGTTTTGCACAAAACTTAACGCACAATTTATGCAAAGTCTATTAAAATGCAAACGTTTCAGTTAATTACGGCGAATTTTAGTTTCCAAAGTCCTTAAGCGAAATTAGCAAGCAACTTTTCAAATATCGACAGCAACAATAACAACAAAGTTTGCGAAATCCCTCCCCAGTCTCCATCCTCGTGGCCTCCACTGTGCAGCAAGTTAACAGCGTTAAACGTTTTATTACCAACAGCACAGCGGGGAAAACTCTCGGCCACTTCGCTGGAAAACCCGCGCTGCGGTTGCCTTCGGCTCAAACTGCACTTGACGGGTCATGGAATATTTTCCTCATGTTTTTTGGGTAGCAGTTTTAAAAATAGTTACCCTTTTTTTACGAGTAGTATTTTTTATGGAATCAAGACGAATCAGTATTTGTTTGTCTTTTATTTTGTTTAAAATGTCACTGGCTTTGCAAAATTTTTATCCGAAAAAAAGCAACCTACAGGATATTTAAATGATGTCTAAGAACGTTACTTTACTTAATTAGAAATAAAAGCAATATACAAGATTTTTAGCTCAGTCAAGTCTAAAAAAATATTTTTAAATCAATGAACAAAAAATGTCTATATTTCGCTAATTATAATTGGAGATATCTAAACAAAACAATGATTTACTTTAATTATACTAAACGTACCTAATAAATAAAATTTAAAACTGATACATTTATGTTACCAAAAATGTATACAAATTGTTCGAGCAGTTTCTATTTTCCATCTTGGCACCCCCCAGTTTGCGTTGCCAAATTAGCCAGACTTTCGTGATGTTGTTAATTGAAGTACCAACAGAATAATCCCTTGAGTACATACTCCGATTCGCCGAGTAATCCAAGGGGGCTGCTTCACTGTGCGGCCCTTCAGAGGCTTTTGGGCACATCAATGTCGAATCGCAATTGACACAAACAGGAATATGGCACCATTTTGGCCATATTTACACACCTAATCAATATTGCCGAAGGACGGAAACACAACAGGGCAACTGTTTGTCCTTCATTGTTTGGCCAGCTTGCTCGCGAAACGCCCCGAAGCCATTAATAATTAGGAAACTTAATTAGGGCTTTGCTTTAATGTCGCAGGTGATACGCTATCCCAAAGGCACCTTAAACTCAGTCAGCTTTAAGGCACAATAAAGTTCAGATAAAGCCAGGCTAACCACGAAACCGAAAACGTTAAACAAAAAAGAACACAAACAGAAACCTAAGAAATATTGGCAGACTGAAGACTGGGCACTCAAAGCAAATGCAAATAAATCGGATTTTCACAACAACAGCGGGAAAGTGTGGGAGTTTCAGCAGAAAAAACAGCTTCTGGAAAGCGAAATAAAAACAAACAAAGCTGGAAACTAACCAGAGGCGAGGGCTCAACCAAAACCGTGACCAAATCGAGAAGCAGCAACAGGAACTCGGCCCACAATCAAAACTGGCCCACGGGCGAAGCTTTATTTGTGTGCCTAATGCGATATGAAAAAAGTACATCATGAGAAACAAAATATATTTTTTAAGCAATATTTAAACTCTTAATTAATAATAACTAAAACTATAACTAAATAAAAATAAGCTAAGTTGACTTATGAGAAGGAGAAGGAGTTTTGTCCATTAGGACGGATGGTTTCTGAAAAAAAGTACCAGGCGAACCGAATAGTTCGACCCATCTGACGATACTGACTAGGAATATATTTACTTTAAAGGGTTGTAAGTGATTCCTTCGTTAATTTGCATACTTTTCAACAAAGTCGTATACCCTTTCACTCTACGAGTGAAGAGTATAAAAAATAAATGACGTATTTAGTTTCGACGAGTGTAACTGCAACTTGGGGCAACTCCAGCCATGGCTCGCTCTTCTACAGACCCTCGGGTTGCCTTAACAGATTGAAACAATAAACTCAAATTGCCCCAGCGGACGGTGAAGATGATGGCAGGGGAGGGTAGAGGGGGCGGATAAGTGGGGGTTCGGGTTGAGTTATCTGGTGTAAGTTGAGCCGATAACTTTATGCGCACAATTCCATTTGATTGATGAGATTTATGCTCGCAACGCCCACCGTTCACGTATTTTGATTTTATTTTTATTTAGTCGTCTTATTTTATCTGCTGTTTTTCCTCAAACGAAATGTCTGGCTGTTGCTTCGATTTTTTTTTTGTGTTTTGTTTTTTATTTCCGGCACGACCCGCGCTTAAAAGAAATCAGAGAGAAACAAAAACAATCTGTCGAAATATATAAAACATTTAAAGCCGCTCAGCGAGAGCAACATGTTGGCGGACGGAAAAAATTCCTTTATGCCAACAACAGCCTCTTTTGACCCACTTCAGATACATTTGGGCCTCGCCATATGGCAAATAAGCCAAACGGATTTATTGTCACAGAAATGTAATCCGCATCTTCGTTTGTTCCATTTTTAATTGGCTTCGGCAGAAACACTGAGAGGCTTTCATTAGTGGCAGTTGCATGGGAATGTCGATGTCCTCGATAACGATCTCACTGATTGAGTGCAATCCCCGCAGAGATTACGACACAATCTGCGAATGAAGAGTACTCGGAAAGTATACTGGAAAACAATAAAACAAATCAGATTACAGGCTTTCTAGTATAATCAATAAACAAATCGATGTAGAAATTCACATACTTTAAAATCAAATATTTGCTTATCTGCACCAGAAGCCATAAATTCATGTCGCCTTCCGAATCTTCAGGATTTGAGGTGTTCGTTGGATGTCTTCCCATTTCCATTTATTTCGCCTCCCCTGCTCCTTGAGTAATTTACGGGTAAGCTGCCATCGTCATCGTCATTCGTCTCTGAAATTCCAGATTTTCAGATGCCACTCCAAGGTGCACTCGCATAAGGACTCTCGACACGGAAATTGCAAGTATCGCTGATTCATTTGGTCGCTTTGCAAGGCAAATGGGCGCACGAACAGCGAGTTCCGAGGCACCGGACTCACGGTCATTAATATGCATGTTTATTGGGTGTCAGGCTGCAAAGGAGGAGCCATGGAGCCCGTGAAACGCCATCCCGCTGTGCAAATTACCAGGGCTTATTCTCACAAGGATGCCCTCCACCAGTCGCCCTTCCCCTTTTCAGCCGAGGACCCCGTTTACTGGGGGGAAAGGCGAAATTAGCAACGCTCTGGCTCAAGCGAAAGAGTTCCGCTGCGACGCCATTTAACTTGCTGTCAAATATTCCTATGCAACGTCAACGAAATACGCCAAAAAGGACACAACACGTTCCCAATTTAGTCCATTCTAAAGAGGTTTTACAAAAATAGAAACTTAAAAATGAACTTATTATATTTGTTATTATAAAATTGTATTTATTTGTGTTGTCAAAAGCCAGTGCCTTTATGACCGAAAAATACCTATTAATCAGCAAAACCCAAGACGAAATCAGACACTTTAAAATAATTTTGGAAAAACCAACGATTACTGTTATCAGCATGATATGGTAAATACGCTTCATTTTATGGCATAAGTGACTCAGACTATTATTTTTAATATAATTTTCGACAGAAAATTTCGTTAATCATTTGATTTTATATTTTATATTTTAGATTTTGATCATTTTCTAGATTCCACGTTTGATATTGATCATTTTGCTGATTCAGGGCTTGATCTTGATAACCTTGCTGATTCTGGGATTGATCTGTATAAGTTGGCTGACTCTGGGATTGACCTGGATAATATTGCGTATTTTGGTTTTGACTTGGCTGATTCCAGATTTTATCTGGATGAGTTGGCTGACTCTGGATTTGCCGTAGATTACTTTGCTGACTCTGGCTTGGACCTAGATTATTTTGCTGAATCCAGGATTGACCTTGGCTAGTTTGCTGATTCTGGGTTTGAGCTGGATAATATTGCTGATTCTGGTTTTGATTTTGGACTTGACCTTGACTATTTTGCTGATCTGAAAAAATTTGCTGATTCTGGGCTTGATCTGAATAAGTTGGCTGATTCTGGGATTGCCCCGGATAAGATTGTTGATTCTGTCTTAGACCTAAATTAGTTTGCTGATTCCAGTGTTGACCTTGACTAGGTTGGTGTAGCCAGGTTTGATCTAGATAAGTTTGCTGATTCTGGACTTGTCCTAGATAAGATGGCTGATTCTGGTTAAGACCTTGATTAGTTAGCTGATTCTGGGTTGGATCTGGATAAGTTTGCTGATTCTTTGATTGCTCTAGATAAGATTGCTGATTTTGGTTCCAGGCTTGGTTTGGGCTAGTTTGCTGATTCCAGACTTGACCTTGACTAGATTGCTGAATCTGGTTAAGACCTTGATTAGTTTGCTGATTCTGGGTTGGATCTGGATAAGTTGGCTGATTCTGGTTTTGCCCTAAATAATTTTGCTGATTCTGGTTAAGACCTTGATTAGTTTGCCGATTCGGGGTTTGTTCTGGATAGGTTGGCTGTTTCACAGTTTGGCCCAAATAATTTTGAGGATCCTGAGCTTGACCTTGAAATTCGTCTTGATTCTTTGTTTGATCCGGATAAGTTTGCTGATTTTGGGATGGATCTGAATAGCTTGGCTGCGGAGTAGTTTTCAGATCTTTCTTTTTCATGGTGAGGACGATATTATGCCTCACAGTTCCTTTAGTCCTGGGTCCTTGATCTGTGGAAAAGCAAAGTTTTGTTCAGTAAACAGGTCGCAACGAATCAACTGGGAGTACCAATTTATTACTCACATCCCGTATTACTGCACATCAAATTTTCATTGAATTTGAATGAAATCAGCTTTGGGAGCTCTGTGGTGATATTCACGAAACGCACATAAACTTCAGCCGGTTTTCCTTTCATAATATTCAATGCGACCGTTGCTTTATCGGGATACGGTAGAAGTGCGGACCAAGCCGACTTGAAATTAAAAGAGAAAATTAGAAAATAATCTAATTTCTTCTACTCATAATATGCGTAACAGCTTACCTGGTCCTTTTTGTGGATTTCGAATGTGGCCTCAAAATTTAAATTTAAATTCCCTTGCCTAGAGGCATTGAAGATGCCAATATAAGACTTGCCACCGTCTTCCGTGGCATATTTAAAGTGATTATGACAATTGTGTTGGGGTACAAAAAGTGCCAAAGCCGAGCTCAAACTAAAACAGAAAAAAATCAACCAGGCGAAAGACATTTTGAACCGCTCTTGATAAGGTCCGAATGACAACTGGTAGACGGGACAGATTTTTGCCTGTATTTATAAACCTTATCGGAAACTTTAGGGGCAATATTAATAAAACATATACAATCTTTTTATGTGTATAATATAAATTCATGTTAAAACAAAAAAAACAGTGAATCATTTCCATAAAAAATAACATAAGACTTAAAAGGAAGATAAGCTTCAGGGCAATCTAAATGCTACTCCGCAAATACTTTTTTGGGAAATTTGTATTAATAAATTTTTTGTTCACAATTGAGAAATTCAAACTAAGAACGGGCCAGCATAAACAAAAAAATAAAAAGGCACCATTCTCAAAGGTGTATTTAATTTTACCTTTCGCGTATTTTGTCCGACGTTGACTTTGTCTTCTTGAAAATTACATTTTTCATATTCCCCTGCCCTTTGTCTGCTGCTTGTTGTTCATAAATCTTGCATTGCCATGCAGAAATGCAGCAATTAATTTGTCTTACTCATCAACATCATTCCAGTGCTTGAACGAAAGAGCTTTCTCGGAAAATGTTGTTTAAAATATTCCTGGACTTTCATGCGACCCGGAGAAACTTTAAAATCAGCGGGCGTCTTCGGTCATTTAAGTGGCCTCTTTCCAGGTCATAAAACTCGGGTCCCAGCAAGGATAACGATGCTCGGCCATTGACTGCGATGCAAAATCCACTCGAAGCGCATTCGGTTGTTGACATACCCAATATAAGTTATCAACATGAGACCCAAACACTTACGCCCAACGACCGACAACCGACAACCGACAACACTAAGCTACTTTTAATGTTTAGACACAAACACTGGGACGAGCACACAAACTGGAGGTTTCGGGCATGGAGTTAATAAAAGTTCTACGACATTTTGACCTGAAAAATATTGCAAAAATAAAATGGCTGCCGGGCTGTTGCTTCAGCAGCATTTTCCTCCGACTGCCTTCCCTTTGCCCTTTACTTCCCCTGCCGCAGATTTTCCAGCTGTGGTTTTCCAGCTGTGCCGACAGTATGCTTTAAATAGTGGCATAGTAAAATATTTACTTTGGCGCAAAAAGGTAGCTGGAAAAAAGGGGTCGAAGGGAAAATGAAATGCGAAGGCCGAGTGGGCCAGCAAAAAATTCATTAAAAGGGATAACGACTCGCATAGTTGCTTGGCATTGGATGTGTGTCCCAGGATTAAGGATTTCTATAGAATTTTTAAGTACAATTTAATCACATATTGTTTGGTTCAGACAAAGCCAACCTACTTAACCAATCTAGTTACAACAGAAATATCATTCGCATAAATCGATTTCACTGTTATGTTGAATTACCTAAATTGGACAACTACACAAACATGTTTTGCAATTGCGACAATTGATTAAACACTTTAAAGCTGGCCAAAGAATAAGTTTAGCAACATTATTGCATTTATTGAACGTCAGTCATTGTGTAAGTATCAAAGTTGTAAGTGTAATGTTGGAAGGCTTTCCATATTATCTCACAAATGATATGACTTTAATTGCTTCTGATTAATTTAGAGTTTCCTTTGGCTCTATTTTTGGTAGAGCGGGATGCATATGAAGAAATGCGTCTTGGAGGTCAGCTTCATTTCCTTGAGAGAAGGTTGTAATATTGAATTTTAAGGTGTAGGGATATCCCACATCTGTAAACAATGTGTACATTGAATGATGAACAACTGAAATACTACATATTTTAATTAATACGCACCTTTTGGAGTTTCGCATACCAATGAATTATTTATGTCCAGACTCCTTAGTCTGGGTAGACTTTCTGTTACGTTAGAAAATCGTACAATCAACTGGGGTCGCAATCCGTTTTTCATACGCCCATATTTTTCTACTGGGAAAGTCATAATTTTTTTTTCGCAAACTGAATTTTCCACACAACTTTATGTACGTTCTCTGTTAGCATGAAAATGCCAACATATTCCCCATTTTCGATGCCGTATGTAAAGTATTTGCTGCAATTGTGTTCCGGCAGTTCTATGGCAGAAACAAGGACGAAACCCACGACAAAACAAATCAGTAAAGCCGGCGTAGCTTTGAGATCCATTTTATACGGCGGCTGATACCAAACTAACTTTGATTATCAAATTCGCAAGCCTGTGAGCATGTTTATATACTCTTAAGATTCACAGGAATTGGCTTATCAGTACGGTTAACATGTTTTTTTTTTTTAAGTAAAAAAATGTATACATATACAACACAATATAATATTTCCATGACCAACCAAAACATTTTTTGATAGCTTGATGTTATTGGTACATTTATTTCAGAGTTCGAAATAAAGATAAGAAAAATATTTCTGAGCTTTGTGTGAATGTAGAATGTGGTAAATCGATTTAATTGGCGCCCCATCGAGAAAGCAAATCAATTTCGTTGTCGAGGCGATGAGCCGCCCCAATGAAACAATGCTTTAGCTATGTACAACAAGTGGCAACTTGGGGCGCGGGCTAATTCATTTACAATATTGCGCATACGCCACGTGGCGGGCACGCAAATTAAATTATGCATTGCCAGAGCGAAGAGCTTGTGGCCGGCAGACGGCGGCAACCTCGACAAAGCAACTTTGCAATTAATCAAAGTGCAGCAAGGGGCAGCATCCCCGGTAACAACAGCCACTTCTGGTTCTGCGTTCGAGTTTAAGCAACATTTAAAGTGAATCATTAACCTTATTACCTGCTTTTCCCACGCCGGCCTGCATAATTTAATTTGCAATGGAAAACTTAACCACTTTTTACAACTCAAGCATGTTAATGTGCTTGTTTATGCTGCCCTGTTGGGTTCTGTTCTGTTGTGCTCCTTTCTTTTCGCCCGCTGCTGTCTCATTAACGTCAACTTAATTTGCTTGCACTATAAATTTAATTTCGCCCGCTCGGATATTAAATTATGAACGACAGATCGAAGGAGATGCGCCTGCCAAAGGAAAGTTGCGGTTGCAAGGCCTCAAAAGTTGTTTAATACTATGGCTAGCAAGCTTTTATTTTATTTATCTTGCTTCTATTCGTTTTCCGAGTCAATATTTTCCATCCAGTCACTGCTTTCCATCACAAATTGTCCATTGTTTGTTTGTTAAAGCTTAAATGAAAGTGCTTGGATGTGGCCATGAATTTTAATACACCAGCTATTTTTAAGTCTTATTAAGAGTGATTTAAAATTTAAACTCGAACCATTTTCATACATTCTCGCCTTCTCTGGTTTCTTTAACATATATATCTCTCTTTAAAAATGTTTGCATTAGAAGCAGTTTTCGCATCCACATCAGAATCTCCTCAGTTTCAAAGTGCACGCTAAATTGCAAGCTAACTGGGCCCGAAAGCCCGCACATTTTGGCTGCTTAATTACCAAGCTGGGCATCTGAGACTAAAGAGGATAAAACGGTGGTCGGTCTACAACGAAATGGAGTTAAATTGTTGTTTACCTGCTGTTAAAAGTGACTATAATGCTGGACAGTTCTGTGCACTCAAAAGTTACCGGTGATATAGTTAAGACCTACCATAAACTAAAACTATTCCTTTTTAAAGTGTTTATAATAGAAATATTTCGTGTTAAAAGATAAGTAAAATTGCTGTTTCGGAAAATGGTTAAAACCATGCACTTGAAATCCCATAACTTTTTTTATGATCTCCGGTTTTAGATTGGTAGACCTCAAAATGCTAGCGACGATGTTCTCTAAGGAGCTGCATCATTAGTTTGGTTTCGATCAAACTTCAAAAATCTGAAAATAGATTTTTCGGAAAATGGAAATGGATTTACAACTACGCTGTCTTTTCCTTTTCTAAAAGCTTTGGCGAAAAAGAAAATAGTAAAGAAAACTGCAACCCGTTGGGCAACCATTTTCGACTTCTGGTCGTGAGACTTGATTGATGCCGCGCGCGGACTTCGAGGGGTCTTAATCTTAATTAAACTATTTCCCCGAAGCGGATCTGCCATTGGCTGGCGAGTAATCTAATCAGCTTTGTCTGCTCCTCTGGGCCAGCCAGCAATTGACTCTAATGGCTGCACTTGACTTGGCCCAGAGCCATTCCACCGCCACATGCACTCCTCCTCGGATTGAGAGCCACATTGCCATTTATTTTGATTACACTGCTCCTGGGGCCTTTTTATGGTGTTCATTTTTTTTTTTTTGGCGCAGGCCCTTGGAAATTAAAATAAATTAACAAATGAAAGTCTGGCCTAAAGTTCGGCTTGGTGGCTTGCCCTCAACCTGTTTGCCAATTGAAGGCCATAAATAACGCCTCATTCCTTGCCACCTGATGTCGACTTCAATTACGCGTAATAAATTACAAAGGAATATGAGACAGCGATGCTGCTGACGGCACTGCTTTTTCCTTCCTGCACATAATTAAGTGGATTTTAATGGGACTCGGAGTGAGAGCCAGAGACGCAGAAACTCAGAGTTTTGTCCAGTTGTTGAGACTGCGATTTTGATTTGCGGCCAAGTTCACAAGTTAACCGTGGTTTTTATTAAAATCAAACAGGAATACCCCACAAAAGTGTTGAGAACTTAGTTTACAAATGCATTTTTTCTTTCAACATTAAACATTTTAGAATTAAATCCTAAGCCTATAGTAATAAATTATAATAATAAAATAGGGTTCAAACAAAAGCTCATTTAAAGTTCTAGTTAGGCTCTACAAATATTATTTACGCTAATCGAAACTGATATTGTCAACCCAAATTGAAAATTCTTTAGTGCCACAGTGTTATTAAGTCCTTGCCATGAATAAAAGTCGTCGGTTTCTTGGCTTTGGACTCAGTTTATTACAGCCACTTCAGGACATTGTTTCGCGTCGCTCCCTCTTCTTCGATTTGCTCCGCTTGGCTGGCTGCGTTTTCTGCTCCTCCTTCGCGGGCTTCTCCTCGAGAATCCGTTGGAAGAGCAGCGCACTGGTCTGCCCGTCCAATTGACGGCTCCCGCCGAGATTCACGGGCTCGGTGGCAAAACTCTCGGCCAAGTAATGCCAGCCGCGTTGGGCGGTCGGAACGCTCAGCTTATCGAGCAGCCGCGTGGCCAGCTGGGGAATTATGGGTTGCAGCACAATGCCGCAGAGCCGCAGTGCGTCCATTGTCATGGCGATTATGGTTTCCAAACGCGGCTGGTTGGACCCCGTCGCCCCCGCCTTCAGTGTCCACGGCTTGGAGCTCTCGAAGAAGTTGTTGGCCGCATGCAGAGTTGCCATCGCAGTGTCGGCCACCAAGTGGAAGTGATTGCTCTCGTAATGCGACGCGCAACGCTCTGCAAAATACGAAACATAGTGGGCACTTGAAAATACAATTTAGCAAAATTTTTAAGATGAGTGACAGAACTACGTACAAAGATTAAACTAAATGACAAATCAATATTCATTATTAACTATCAAAGGCAGAAAATTTCATTATACAATTTCTACTTTGCAAACAATATTCTTTTGCAATTAATGCAAAACATTTATTATAAAATTGAAGAAACAAAAATATATTCGTTTACCATTGACTTCTATGAAACTTCTTGGAGCACTGATCTTCTTTGAAGTAGGATTTAATTCAAATTTTGTTCGAGTGCACAAAGTACAATATACAAAATGATGCCTTCACTTGGCGCACTTAAAGCCATAAGCTGGCTGGCTTGGCCACACTCTCGAGTGCTCTTGCCGCTCGGAGATTGGCCGGAAGTGCTTCGGGCAGATGCGGATGCGGATGCAAACGCAAATGCAGATTATAAACCATCTCCATCTCGAGATGGCGCCTCTTCAGCCAAAGCCCGGCTGCTTAAATATTAAAATGACAAAGCAGCGCATCACTCCAATCCACTCCACTCTTCCACACTCCACTGCACTTTGCAGAACTCCTTGCGCGAACTGCTTTCCCATTCCGATCCACTCACCTGACAGCTGCAGAAGCGATTCCTGCAGGCGTTTGGCCGCATCCAGGGTCCGGAGCAGATCCGCCAAGTGCTCGGCGTCGCTTGATGGATAGATTTGGCCGGGATTCAGCGACGGGGCGCAGGCACGCGATAGCAGATTGCCCAGGGTGTCCGCCAGCTCCGAGTTGAGGATGCGCTGCGCCTTCACGTGGCTGTAGTCTGTAGGCGAAACGGAGAAGACAACTTGTCAGTTTGTCCGGGAAAAGAGGTGTACAAAGAACCAGCGACAGCTGCTTCCCAACTATTAACCAAAAAGCGTTTAACAACGTTTTAACATAATTATTTAGAACGTTATTTTATAGAAAGGATTCCTATTTAAATTTAAAGTTTAAATATGAATTGATTTCCCCACAACATTTATTTTAATTCTTACGACTAACAGCAGAAAAATAAGTTTCATATTTAAGTTTAAACATATAAAGGATATCAATACGTACGAAAAGAGTCTAAAACACAAAGCAATTATTGCTGAAAGAAATCATAAAATTCAACGTAAAGCACCATGGCGTATGCGTGATATTTCGTGCACCGCTTAACTTGCTTATGCCCAGCATTAACTGCTTACAAATTTGCCCTATGCCTGGCCGCCCATTAAGGGGATTAGCATGGCGAAGGAGTCACGGGTTACTGTCCTTCGACCAAAGCCGGTTAAGATAAAATCCGAATAACTTAACAACAACAACCAGTTGGCAAGGAGTTTCCCCCGCATTCCCTTTCAGTTTCCCTCGCCACACAGAACGATGCTGCAGGTGGCTTTGTTGGAGCAAAGCTGAACACGAAAGGATTTAAGCTGCGCTAATAGTTGCAAAATCTTCGCCCAAAGGGAAATTGAACCGAATGGAGGAGATAGTGTGCGGGATGAAAGAAAGTCTCGGTAAGGACTTGATTCCAGCATAATACGTATAATGATGTGTTCGCCGGGGGAAACTCGAAACGAATTAAGTGTTCAAGCACTGCATTTATTTATTGCACTCCTCTACAGCCAATAATAAAATTATAAAGCCACTTTAAGTAATTTCTACAATTATTTATCCTTATTTATGGCTTTATCCCAATGTGATGAAGGGAGCTCAAAGAGAATTAACTTAATTAATATACTCAACTGCAGCGGCGGTAACTTTTTATTTGAGTACCCTTATGTACTTCGAAGCCGGCCTGCACTAATTAAAAATAAAACCCCTCAAAATGTCGTTACCTGCCAAAATGCGGCAACAGTTGCCGCAACTGCTAATGAGTCCAAATATTATAGCTACAGCTGCAGCTGCTTACTGTTTGGTAATTAAAACAGTCACTGCCTGCTAAGACAATAATCGAGTAATTGTTACTGGCAAGTAATTATAGCTGGTCGAAACTCAGACCTTTTGATGATCGCATTTCGAAGTCAGAACAAAACCAGACCAACTACTCGTATATGCCAAATAAATTTCCTTGGTGCACTTTCAACTTTCGCCATTCGGTTCTTGTTTTACCTGTGCTGCCAAATGAGGTTTCCTCTTCGAAACTCTCTGGGGAAATACAACTGCCAAAAAGTGTTGCCTGAAACATTAATTCGTTGCGCAACTAGAAGAAATACAGCAGAAACTTTCCATCCGCCCGAAAAAGGCAAAAGTCTGCTTGTCAACCGAATTCAAATGAAAAAGTGTCGAGCTGAGTTGCGTTGCGTTGAATTCACATGCATATACGCTAGTTTCCCCAAATCAAACTCATGTCAAGACACTCAGTGTGTGGAAATGGGAATTTTGATAGAAAATCTGATACCCATGGTACTGAATTAAAAACTTTTAATCCAATACTAAAAATTATACAATGAAGTTTCTTCTTTAAAAAAAAAAAAATAATACAAATTATATTGAAAGCTTGACTTTTTGCTAACCATATGATTCAAATAAATATATTTTAAAGAGGTAACTCTGTGTCTTGTGAACTTTCATGTGTTAACTGAACCGAGTGGCAGGAATTTCATTTTGAATGCATTGAATTTTGACGGCAGTGCAAACGTTTGCCTGCCGTTGGCCAGAAATGCAATGTGAATTGCATTAAACTTTATTAGCGGGCGCCCCCCCGCATGCCAATCGAGTATCGAGTATTGCTTTGTAATGAAATTGTACGAGGAGGCCCGCAACACGTGTTGTATTTTGTATGTGGCATCACCTGCCGGAGCTTAAGACCCGGCTAAAGTCCGGGCAACTCTTAACTGCTTACGTGAGCAGCTACAAATTGCGCAAAAAAGCAAAAGTTGCTGACGGCACGAGGAAGCCGTGTACAACACTTGCCATCGACTTTAGCCACGCTGCACATGTTGCCACGTGACCAAAAAAGGGGGGAAAGTGGGATGGAGGGTGGCACCCCATTCCCCATTCCTCAGACAAATGCAGCCGCTCTTCCTGGCAGTAATATAAATAATACTTTTTTACGTGCCCCAAGTGCCGCACTTCGAATGCGGGCTGTTGCCTGTTTGGCTGCACCTTAAATAACTTGAATAACTTGTCGCTGCTCCAGTTTGCCATCGCCTGCAGAGAACTTTGACACAATTTCCCAGCGCCCTTCTGTTTGCCTTTTTTCCAGGCAAAACTTGGCTTTAAGTGCTTGAGGTGCTGGAGGTTCTGGAGGTGCTGTAGGTGCCAAGGTGCAGAGTTGCAGAGGTGGTGTCATCAAATATTTAGCAAGCCTCTCTGCAATCGGAGACAGCCAGTCGGAGGTGTCAGGCAAATTTGCCCGGGCAACACAGGGCGTATGGGTTATGTGCCAGACACTAAGTTCTCGTCTGCCAGATCAGATAGGCCGTCTGAAAAAAGGGTGCACACTTAGGGTTAAACGTTTAAGAGGGCACCGGGTTAAGTGTCCCAGAGAAAGTATATATTCCGAGAAAATGTTGAGTAGGTCTATAAAAGAATTGGGTTTTAAGAAAATGTTCAGCGCTTGTTTAGACTAACAAACGTTTTCATACTCTGACATTATTGACATTGATAAGTGCCATTTTTGTTTCGAACGAAAATAGAAATTTTATGGGAATTCCCACTTAATTAAAAAGGAAAGTAGATTGCGAGAACGTCAATGCAGACTAAGATAACCTCTGACAAACATTTGTCTTATCAATTATTTGTTTTTTATTTGTTTTTATAACAGCGGACGTGTATTAAAACTGTATTTAAGTTTAATTTTAGTTTTCATTGCGACGCTGTAAGCTTAATCAAAATGTCGGTAGCATTTTTTATTTTCCCTTTAATATTCATAAACTCGGCTTTGGCTGTAATTATGCCGCATCACAACTGCAATGAATACTTTACATACGAAACGAGAAACCTGAATGAATACATAGGCGTTTTCACAGCAGATACAGCAAATATTCATCAATTTTACTGGGAGGCAAAATTTTCCTCCAGAACACCATAAATGGTAAATTAAAGCTGGGCTAAGATTCAAGGTGCTTTCATTAATTACTTTGCATACACTTTCTTTTTAGGACCAAGTCGGAGATATCAATCCCTTTCCCTCGGAACAAGAATACCGAGATGATGTTGAAAAAGGAAGACGGGCACGGGTTTCAGTGTCCTTCTTTAACATTTTGGATGAATTGCCCTTGCTAACAAATTTCACACTGAACGGAAATACTCTGTGCACCAACCACAAATGTGAGTATAGGAAATGCGAATACGTCTTCGTGGAATGATCACTGTACTGCTTCCCACAGATGCAAGGCCTTCAACTACAACCCGAGTAGCACGCAGAATATCCGTATTATAAGGAGGAAATCCTTATCGATATAAATCATTCATTTCATTATTTTATTTGACTTAATAAATTTAAAAAGCTCTGAGATGATATTTTTTTTTTGTTTGACAGATAAGCTTCTTTATACTTTTCAGTCTTATAATAAATTATTTAAAAAATGTTATACTCTGAGTTTGTTCTGGTTTTCAACAGACTTCGATAAGCTTCTTTGTACGTTTCAGTTTAGTTCATCGATCAGCGCGATGCGGTTGTTTTCTGAGATGCCTCTCGCATTTTGGTGTTGCCTTTCCATAACCCTAAGCTCCGTCCTGGCAATAATTATTCCGGAACACAATTGCAATGATTATTTTACATATAGCCCCGTTCACTATGGAGAATCGTATATTGGCGTATTTACTGCGCCCAAGACAAATTCTACCGAGAAATTCTACTGGGAGGCATATTTCAATGCCCACGGTCGAGCGGTATAAAAAAAAATCGAATCTATTTAATTAGCCAGTCAAAACATTGCTGATCAATATTTTTTAGGATCAAGTCGACGACCTCAAACCGTATCCCAACAACATTGAGAGCTTCATCAATGTGAAGAGGGGAAATCCACCCCAAATGTACGTGGATTTTATGAACATCACCAATGAACTGCCTTTGCTGATCGAATTCAAACTCAACGGAGAGACTCTCTGCTCCAACCCGAAGTGTAAGTGATATAGTAATAGAGCTACATTATATACTCGTGTGATGATTACTAGGGAATACTTAATCCTCCCGCAGATCCAATTCCCAGGACAATAACGCGTGTAGCTCGTTCCATGGACATCTCAGACATACTCAAATCCCCAAATGTGGTATATAAAATGCCGTGATGAAGAGCAAAATGTATAACGAATACGAATCAATCGAGACCGGATCCCTTAAACTTGTGTATAATGGACATTGCCGTGTGATATAGCTAGTTCGATTTAACTAATATACATAAATCAATTACATTTTTAGCATCAATCATTTAAATAAAATAATTTTTCGTTTCCATAGAACTTTAATGAGCAAGCACAAATAAAGAAATAAATTAACTGGAAATTATTTGCAGTTCTCAGAACATTCATTAGATTAGCAAGTGTGTTTTTTAAAGATGTGTTTTATTTTTTTATTGTGTTTTTATTTTTATAACAGCTAAAGTCCGATTCTCTAGAATTCTTATCAAAACCTTAGAGTCTTTAGTATACCTCATTATGGCCTTTTTTCTTCGACCACTTGAGTAACATTATTCCATAAAAGCTTTTCCTATCAAAGTTAAACTTTTGCTAGTCACAAGTTTAAGTATTCAAATTTTAAAAATTGAGTGACGCCCCAAGGAAGTTGATTGCATCAACGCACCTCCCCCATTGCATTTCCTGGGCAACGTTTATTTTTTTTCTAAACGCAACCGCAGATGCTGGAGGTCCTTCGACAATTCCTTGTTCCCTACCAGCAGCTGTTATGTCGTCAAATACGAAATGCAATTTCTGTGTTGCGGAAGTTTGGCCTGTAATGAAAACTTGAGCATCTAATAATGTTGTTGTCCTAACAGCATTATGAAAACGGATGTCACCTTGGGCCACAATATCGAATCCAGGGGGCAACTGTTTGACGGAGGATAAGTGATTTTCCACATAATGGATGGCAGTCGGCTTAAATTAAAGTAAATTTATCTGCCACGTTGCATAAATCATTCGCGGGCTGGAAAGTATGCAAAATGTGTGTGTGCGATGTCGAACTTTTTGTAATTTAATTATGCGACGTCGACGCACTGCAGCAGTTCGCACATTTTCACTTCCATTTTTTGTTTTTTGTTTTCAATTTGCTGGCCAAATGCAATAAAAATCCAATTAAATTAGCCACAAGGCAGCGGGCCATAAAAAAAAAAATTAAAAAGAGAAACATCAACATGCGAAAATTGAATAAAGGCAAACGTGAAAAGCAGCCGGCTGTCTGCGAAATTCGTCATAAAAGCAAAGTCAGCAATAATTGGAAATTAAATTTCGAGAGGGGAGCGGGGCATGGCAGCAATTTATGCAAATGGATAACCAGCCAAGAAGGTTGCCGAATCAATCAAAGCGCATCCCGTGACAGTCAGCGAAGTGTGTTAATTGCTTTCGATAACCCGTACCATTGGCAAACCTAATCATTTCTGTCCGACAATTGATGAATTCCTCATGGAAACTTTCCCCAACTGGTTTCACCCCTCCCACTCCATCCATTATGGAAATTCTGCAAGTTTTTGGGCATGCGAAAACTTTCGAGGCAAATAAACAAAAGTCAGATCTCGTCTCCTGGTAGACCAAAAACTTTTGCCCATCTCTCGACTCGGGTTCCCTTTTTCGGTTTGGCAATTCGGGCATAAAATTGAAATGCAAATTAAAGCAGAGGTAACCATTGCCGTAGAACTAACGACGACAGATGGCCACTCACATGCGCACACTTGAAGGGAACCCCAACAGTTTCGGTTGATAATTTGATGGAAAAACTATTTGAATAACCGCAGGCAGGGCAATCCTGCCCGCAAAACCCTCCTGCCACTGCCCCCTCTCCCGCCCCGATTGCCATGGTGGCCACATGGCATTGGCACTGCAGCCGCAAAGTGAACAAGCCACAGACATCAAAGGGATTTCGCGGTTTCGATTCACTCACTGCCATCGCTGTGGGCAACGCCCTCGCGCAGAAGGAAGTATCTCAGGCCCTCCATGGTGTACTGGCGGGCCGCCTGGACGGGATCCACCACGTTGTGCTTGCTCTTCGACATCTTCTGCCCGTCGACGGTCCAGTGCGAGTGTACATGCAGCTGACCAGGCGGTTCTAGCCCGGCGGCCATTAGGAATGCGGGCCAGTAAATGCCATGGAACTTCAGGATGTCCTTGCCAATAACCTGCTGTGCAGGAGGCCAATGAGCGGAGTACTGAAATGGAAAGAGTAAACCAGTATTTATATTAATAAAGCAACCGATTTAAATGAATTTAAAATACTATTTTCTTTATGAAGTAGTTCAAAGACCTGATACTCACCCCTTCATTAGGATATCCCACGGAACTGAGGTAGTTGACCAGAGCATCCAGCCAAACGTAAACCGTCTGTGAGTCATCATCGGGAACGGGAATGGCCCAGTGTACGCGATTTGAGGGACGTGATACGGATACATCCGGCAGAGGTTCGCTCAGAGTGTCCAGTAGAATCTTTTCGAACTTGGCCGGTCGGATGCGCGCCTCCTGTTTAACCCAATGACGCACATCATCCTGGAATTGAGACAGTCGGAACATATAGTTGGTCTCCTCAGTCCACTCGACAGGATGCCCGGATTCCAGGGAGTAACGTGTGCCGCTGGCCTCGTCTAATCTCAGCTGGGAGTCGGTGAGGAAGGTTTCGTCCGACACGCAGTACCAACCGCTGTAGGCAGCCGAGTAGATGTGCCCTCGGGAGTGGAGTGTTCGCTAAGGATTATTAAGAACAGCTAAGTAAGAACAAATTAGAATATGATCTGTATCTTAATCTTACCCAGAAATGTGCCACCGCTCGCTTGTGTCGCTCCTCCGTGGTGCGAATAAAGTCATCTGGCAGGATGTGGGCACTTTTGAAGACCTCCCTATATCGTTCCGATATGTCATCGCAGTACTTGGCCACGGGAATCCCGTGAAGAGAAGCCGCCTGTTGGATTTTAGTGCCGTGCTCATCGGTTCCCGTGCAGAGCCGGACATTCTTCTCGGGGTTCCTTATTCTTTGGTAGCGACAGTGGGCGTCGGCTATAACGGCCGAGTACAAATGGCCAATGTGGGGGGCTATCCGTAAATTATTATAATTTTATTATAAACATACCCATTTTATTTGTATTTAATGCAATAAACTTACCTGCATTTACATAGAAAATTGGCGTTGTGACATAATGTGAACTATTGTAGCGGATTCCCAGACTCCGGAGGCACTTTATTCTTCTCACAATCATTACTTTTAAAGCGTATTTAATACAAAACTAAGTACAAATTTCTTAAAACAACTTGCCGGTTGATTTTATAACAGAGAACAGCTGTTCGAGCAGTGCTGCCCATCACTCGTTTAACAGTACGTCTAACAGTCATTTTTGTTTTTAGCAATGTAAATTTAACAGCGTATAACAGCTTAACGGTTATACATTTTCAAAATGGTTTTTAAGTCCAAGAAATCAAATGTCAAATCTGTTTTTTAAAATCAATTTAAATTATAAAAATTCCTAAAAACTAAAACCTTTAATATCAAGCAAAATATAAAACCGAAAGTGAACCGTATAACAAAATATATAAATATCGAATAATCCAGTTCGGTGCTATTCTTTAGCTGTCCCGCTGACGAACTTGGGGGCCAACTTCCTAGGCGACCAGCGCATCTGCTGGTGGTGGGTCATCCGCCGCGCCCTTTGGGCCTTCTGCTTGGCCTCCACGGCGGCACAGGCTGCCTTGTAGGCCGCCTGCTTGGTGTTCTCGAAGTCCGATTTGGCATCGGACATCTGGCGGCCGAGATTGTCCACCCGATGCTTGGCGGCCTCCAGGAGCTGGGTCTTCTCGGCCAGCTCCTGCTGAGCGCCACTGGCCACGTTCTCGATATTCGCCAAGTTGGCGGTGGCCGCCATGACGAGATTCTTTAGCATCGATAGCTGATTTTGGGCCTCGTGCGCGGCGGCAGCGGCGGCATTGGCATTCGCCTGGGTATTCTGCAGCGATGAGGTCACCTCGCTGACCACCGCATCCGCCTCGGTCATCTCCTGCTGCAGCTGCTCCATGATCTGCTGCTTGCCGGCCAGAGCTGCTTCCGCCGCCCGAGCGGATTGGGCCGCCTTGGCGGCCAGTTCGGACTTGACCTGCGAGGCAGCCGCTTCGGCAGCCGCCATCTGGGAATCGCTGGCGGCCTTCGCCTCCTGGGCGGCCTTCTGGGCAATGCTCGAGGCCTTGGCCTTGGGATCACCGCGAGCCAGGGGGCAAGTCTTCTGCTTGGCCGCCTCTTTGCACCCGGCAGAATCTCCCCCGTTGCCAACTCCATCCGCGCTGGCATCCCCGTACAAGCTGGACAGGCAGTGCTTAGCATTCGGTTGGGCGGATCGGTAGTGGAAACTCTCCAGGCGGGGGAACACATGCAGGAGTAGCAGCGTGATGAGCAGCGTTTTCGGGCCAGGCATATTCCGATCGAATATTGGAAGACATCCCACTCTGACTCCATTCGAAAAGCCTCAATCGATCTGATCAATAAGATGAAACGGGATCTATCAAAACCTATTTTTAAATTATGTAAAACATACTAATAAAAGCAGATTGAATAAAGATAATCAGCTACTTTAAAGTACAAGAAAATGCATATAAAAAGGAATTCATTTTGCGTATTCTTTGTCAAGTTAATAACACATAACATTTAATACAAAATATATACTCTTCAAAAAATCCACCTAAGGAATAACTTCCGAATAACTCACCCCTTCGCTTGGCATGATCAAATGGCTCCGTGAAATGCAGCCGATGCTGGGCAGGATTAGGCACATTGCCTGGCAATACAGCATGATCTCGATTTCCGGAACTGACAGGAGCTGCCATCCGATTGACAGTCAAAAAAAATGCCCGAGACTACGGAAAATGCGGATAGACGCTCAGATTATGTGGGTAATTATTGTGTTTGCCTCGCTCGTCCTGCCCACCACCACAGGCGGTCGCTATCGAACGCGCCGAAAACGCCTGCAGCCGCAGGATGTGCAGCTAATGGCTAGATTATCGGGCGGAGAAGGACCAGGATGCGGTGCGGCCAGTGGGGAAACGAAAAAGCCATCCCGGCCTCCAGTCAGTGCCAAGCAGAGGGCTTCCGGCATTGCCATGCAGGCGGCCAACGAGGCGAAGAAGGCCAACGAGGACATGGCCACGGCCGTTAAAGTCGCCGCCGATAAGATCAAAACCGAATACGCCGACAAGGCAACGGCTGCCGCAAAGGCTGCCGAAGCCGTGCTTTCGGGAAAGGCTCAGGTTTTGGAACAACTGGAGGCGGAGGTTCGCGAAGCGGAATCGGTGGTGCAGGAGGAGAACCAGGAGTTCATAACCGCCGATGCAAATGCCCAGCTGGCCATAAAAGCCCACAAGTTGGGCCAAGAGGAGCTAAAGATGATGACAATGGCCCTGAGAATGGCCAAGGAGAACCGCGACACCTCGGATCAAGTATACGTCGTGTGGCAGCAGTCGCTGGCCGACAAGACCGCTCTTCTCGAAGCCGCCCAGCGGAGGGTCGGTGTCCTGATGCGACAGCTGAGCGAGGCCAGGATGGACTACGAGAAGACCAAGAAGGCGGCACTGAACGCAGCCAGAGCCGCCGAAGAAGCCAAGCATCGGATCGAGCAATTGGATCCCAATAGTAGTTGCAACCAAAGAATTAGGCGGTGGCAACACAGAGAAGGCCACTAATACCACACAATATATATTTTAGATTAAAGAGAACACGATAATTAGCTTTGAATTTAAATCTGTAGTTTATTAAACTTTTTTCTTTAGGGAATAAAAATATAAAATTCCTCGACAGCGTGCAAAAAGTGCGCGCGTCTTGAATGGCTGCCAAAAATGCTATGGAACTTTGCCTGTACAAGTCCGACCGATCTCGCCCGATAGGAATATACATATTCTTCTGCCTGCTGTGTGTGTTTTTTTCGTTTTCTGTGTACAATTTTGGACAAATACCAGAGCGGACTAATGCTAGTCTTAAGCGAAACAATCGTTAAACTAGTAGAATACAAGGGAGCTGAACTAAAGTTAGGCGCTACAAATTATGATTATGCTTGGGCTCCAATCAAGGCAAACAAATGGTCACAATAATGTACATGCTTTAAAACTTAGGTGTAAAATAATAAATATACAATCAGTGGACTCCGTACAATTACAATTGGTTGTTGGTGTTGTTGTTTTTAGTTTGCTGTTGTGGTCGCCTGCTCACAAAGCAATAATTTCAAGGGTGATGCTTGGTTTCGTTCTCTAAATAGTAGATATATAAGCATGTGGTTGCGGATATTATTCGTAGTTCAATCAATTAATCGGCTGGTTAATTGTTAACAAACATAAATACGCAGAGCTCTACAGAAAATAGTTTCATCTTACACGATCCTGGTAACTTAAGGTTAGTTAATTTCTCATTACAGTAGGTATACAATATAGATATTTATAATTCGTATGCAATTTATGTACAATCTAACACAAGCCCCTGTAAGTAATTGTTTTTAATGTCTCCCATCGTTTATCTGTCATTCGCCTAAGCCCAACAAGTTATATATTATATTATCAGCTTAGCTTAGTTATCTCGTATATAGAATCTGTGAAGCCTTAGTCTAGTTAGCTAACTGATCTGCATATCATTATCCGTATGTGATAGGTAGCTAGTACGTAACATATGTAATATACAATTAATTCTTCGCCCCCTGAATACTGACATCGTCGAGTTTCTGTTCATTCACTCCGATCGCTCGGATCTTACTTGCTTCGTTGCCTAATATGTGCCGTGTTCTTTAGATATACGATATAGAATAATATCAACTGTTTAACTTTTACATATCAACTACTTAAGACGTATGGGGGTTGTAAAACGAAAAGTATCACGATTGACCAAACATAGATCGATATAACCGTTAACTACAAGTGTTTCAATTCTCATTCCAGGTGTGTTTGGGGTTTGATTTATGCTCGATAAGGAAGGTAAAGTAATGCTTGCACATTCATAGTTTAATATCAATTTCAACACTTTCCAAAAGAAAAGCAAGATCTTTTTAGTTTCCTTTTTTCTTATTAGTTATTTGATCGATCACTTCTTATTTAAGAAAAATGTAAGAATATAATTTTCTTTATAAACGCGAACAATGCAAAACAATAAAACTGATTTAAGAAAAAGTTACATCTGTCCGATGTACTATTATAATACATTTTAACGGTTAAAGATTATTTTGGATTAAACCTCTGTAGTATTTATTACAAAAAAGACGTTAATTTCCCTTTGAAGAAAAGGACGAAATTGATATTAAACCAAAGTATCCAGGACATTGCATTCAGCCCTAAATATCGCTTTCCTCCCCTAAGATCTTCCAGATCGTTTACATAAATCAACCCTTCTTTCTGAGTATAAGGATTAATTGGGGCGCCCAGCGCCCTTTCTGCTGTCTATCCCTTATTATTGACCTTTCCGTTCCTAATTTAAGTACTTCCGACACCTTTTGGAACCGCATGAGCAGGGTATCTTTTCGTCCTCGAAGGGGAACTTATAGTCGTAGGTCAGCTCCTCGCCCTGCACAATTCGGCGCAGCGCAAAGATGATGATGTGTTTGTGACCCAGGATGTCCACCACTTTCGAGTAGCAATTCGGCTGCAAGGGATAATGAATTTAAGCAACCCTCGAGGCAAAGAAAACATCACCTTAAACTTACCTCACACGAGTGATTGATGAAGCGGGCCGCATTGCCGCGCATGGTGGCATCTACCACGAGGTTGTCATCGATCTTGAACATATAGCATCCAATGCCGCGGCTGTCGTAGTACCGCTCCCTTTTGTCTGTCAGCGTGGAGCGAATCAGTTCACCAGCGTATTCGATGACCATTTCGCCTAAAAAAGGAAATTCAGTATTGGTTAATAATCCTTTTTAGTTCAATTAAAATGTGTGCTTCATTTCTTTTATAAAAATCAAATCCTTACCCGCTTCAATGTCCTTGGTGCAGTAAAGGCCTCGTCCATGAATGTGCGATCTGAAGACTCCGACATAATCCTTGTAGGTCTCCTTCAGCGTGCGGTACTTCATGGCCATGGGCAGGTTGCTGCCAGTTCCTCTCCTTAAAAACCAATTTAGTGCCCATATTAGTTAAGATTCACTTACACAATCAGTAAGAAACACTCACCTGGGCACCAGTTCGTTGTCCGATGGCTGGACAAACACCTGAATCGGTTGCTTGCGATGCCTGGAGGCCAGCCAACTGAACATATCGTACTCGCTGCGACTGGCATACGGCTCACAGCGGGCGCAATCGTACTCGTTCTCCTGCAGCTCATCATGATCATGATCGGATCCGTAGTCGAGCAGCCCTTGGGGATCTCCACAGGAAACTGCCGACAGGGCCGCAGAGGCACCTCCTCCGCCAATATTCCCGCCATGTCCTGCACTCGCCGCTGTGGACACATTGCCATTTCGCTTGTGATACTTTGGAGTGTACTTGGAGCACTTCTCCACTCCCGGTAGCTGTTCGATCAGGTACTTCAGGGCATTCGTTTTGAGGCCAATCATCTGGATGCCACCCATATCCGCCAGAGGACCCTCCGGCAGCGGGGTGAGTCCATGGGCCCGCCTGGCCACCTGCACCGCCTCAAAGACCTTCTCCCAGATCTCGGATATCGAGCTGGACTTGTAGGTGAAACCATCTTCGCTCTGGATTTCGTACAGCAGATGCGGACCACTGATCTTCTTGGGCTCGCGAATCGGTGGCGGTGGTTCTGGAGCAGCTGCTGTGGGCACTACAGCCGCCTTCGATGGTTCCTGTTCTTGCGCAGCCGTTCGTTGATCCTCCTTTCTCCTCCTGAGCTCCAGTTCCACACCATTCTGCAGTTGCTTCAGTTCCAGTACGTGGGCATCGGCCATTTCATTGATGTAAGTGGCTGCCGCTTCCACGGCTGCAGTTTCCAGAGTGGCTTCGAATGCCTCAGAGGGCGCCGAAGCGGATACGGCTGCAGTGGTGGCCAGGACATCCTCCACCATTTGCTGGTAACCCGCACTGGCTTCCACTTCCATTGTAGTGGCAGTGGCTATGGAATCCGCACAATCATCGTTGGTTAGGTTGTCCAGAATCTTGCTGATCTTATCCTTGACCGCCGGCTCCTCGCTGTCTGACATCTCGTGATCGTTACAAGCCGACGTGGCCATCTTCAAACTGAAGTCATCATCCTCGTCTTCCTCATCCTCGAGATCATCATCGCGGTAGGCATCCGTGTCCATGGCTTCCACCTGGAAAGTGTGCTTGTCCAGCAGAAACCCGTTGTTGGCCAGCTGTTGGGTGAGTTGCTCGCGTTGCTGCTGCTGCAGGAGAAGCTGCTCCGTTTTGGCCTCCGCCGGCGAGTGCTTCTCGTAGAGTCCCTCCGTGTAGATGGACTCCGTGGCGGGCTGTTCCTCCAGGATGGCCTCCATTGTGGTGGCTGGCACAATGCTATCCAAAACCGAAACAGCCTTCAGTTCCGCCTCGTAAATGGGTGAAGGCAACGCTGTCTTCTGGGCATAACACTTGGAGGCACTGGCTCCGGTCATTTGCTGCATTATCGGTTGTTCGATGGGCTTGGGAGGCGTGGGTGACGGGACCACGGGACACTCGTTGGCCAGAGGAGCCGGCTCCTGGCGCTGCTGCATGGGCAGCACGCGATTCGTTGGCCTCGTCGTGGAACTGTTGCTGGTGGTTGGTGGCGCCTGTTGTTGCATGGGATTCACCACGTTTGTGGGCAGCGAACAGTTGCTACTGCTGCTGCTGCTCGTCGAGAAGTGCTGCACTCGATTCACCATCTCCTGCTGCTCCATCACTTGGGGTTCCATCACGAATTGATTCTGCATCACTGGTGCCTCTGCAATCGTTATAATGGGCATCGAGGGCTGAACCTGCTGCTGTTGCTGCAGCGGCTGTTGCTGCAGTTGCTGCTGCTGCTGCTGCTGCTGGGGAATGTGGAGCAACTGCGTCTGCTGAAGCGGCTGCTGCTGCGGCTGCGCCGGGATTCGTTGCTGTGAGATCGTTACCTTGGGCAGCTGATTGACCACCACGGCTGGAACTTGCTGCTGCAACTGTTGCGGCTGCTGCTGCTGCTGCTGCTGTTGTTGCTGCTGCAAGATGGCTTGGTTTTGATGCTGCACCTTGGGCGTGGGCTTCATCACCTTCGGTTTCACTTCCAACTTGTGAATGGGTCGAATCATGTTGGTCTTCTTTTGCAGCGGCTTCGACGCAATGCTCGGTGGTGCTCCGCAATTGGTTCCTGTGGCCGCCGCCGCCTTGCCCTTCATCTGAGTTTGCTTCAGGTTGGAGTTCTTGAGCTGCACTTGGGACTGCTGGGTGGCTATGCTGGTGGGCAGCACCTTGTTGACCACCTGCGGTTGCGGCGGCACCTTCCCTACTCCCGAAATTCCGGTTGCCTTGGCTTGAGCGGTGGTCCGCTTCACTTGGGTGACTGGTGGAATCTTGGCGGTGACCATAACGGGTGCGGTGAAATCCATGGATGTGGTGGCTCCCGAGGATGTGGTGCCCGTCTGGAACTGGAAGTTGGCATTCTGCAGCAGCTGCGTAGTGGCGTCATCCTGCGACTGCTGTTGCAACACACTGGCTGCGTTCAGGAATGTTCCCGCACTGGCCGCATCTCCTGCATTGTTGAGCACCACATAGCCAGCGGGCAGGTCCACAATCGGTTCGATTTTACTGGCCTGGAACACCTGCGTCGTCGTGGCCGAGAAACTGGCATTCTGGCTGAGCATTCCGGGCATCGCTGTAGACACAAATTGCTGCGACGACATCACCGTATTCTGGACAATCGTCTCCAATCCGTAGTACATCGGTTGGGTGGCCAAGATCACTTGTGGCGTGGTGGTGGCAAACTCGAGACCAGTGGCCCCACCACCCGTTCCACCCAAAATTAATGGCTGCTGAGTGCTGGCTGCCTGGTTGCCGTCTGCTCCTCCGCCCAATTGAATGGTTTGCGGTTGGATGAGAGTTCCTATCACTTGGGGTTGCGCCTGCAGAGATTGCGTGGTGAGCATTTGTAACCCGGAATTGGTGGGTGTGGTGGTGAGCACTAGATTTCCACTCGCATCCGTTTGCAGGTAGGTGGCTCCTCCGCCGGGAGCGGTGGTCAGGAACGTCGGTGTGGCTGCGGGTTGTGGCTGCGGTTTGTATTCGCTGGCCGTGGGTATCGAGATGTACTGAAGCGGTTGTCCCTGGCTTCCGTCTCCGGTTACAAAGGATATGATGTTCTGGGGTTGCGCCTGCGGCAGGATCAGCTGCGGCGCCTGCGACTGGGCGCTGCTCTGAAAGAGCAACTGCGGCTGGAGGAGATTCTGGCCCATCACGGTGATCGGTTGTTGCACTTGAGCCTGCGGCTGCTGTTGAATGGGCTTCGCCTGAATGGGTTTCACCTGGTGGCCGGACTTCAGTTGCCGCTGCTTGGCAGCCGCCTGTTGAGCCGCCTTGGTGGCCACGGTTTTCAGGGGTTTCCCAGCCGCCGTCAGTGGGAGCATTATCTTCTTGTCCGTATTGGTGGCCTGCAGCGTCTGGTAAGTTGCCGTTGGCGTCGTCGTAGTGGCCTGCATCGTCTGTGGGATTTGGATAAACTGCTGTGTGCCATCGGGATTGGTGGAGACGGCAATCAGTTGCGGTTGCGCTGGTGCCGTCACCGTGGGCTGAGCCAAAGTAAAACCTCCACCCAGATTGGCGGCCAGACTTTGCAGCGAGTTCGCATAGATTTGCAACTCATCTGTGTTCGCTTGGGTGGTGGGATTCGGTTGCGAGAGGAAGAACCCATTGCCCAGGGATTGGGGTTGCAGCTGAAGCTGCTGCAATCCCTGCAACCCAAACTGGCCCAGGGAACCCAAGCTCTGGACTTGCGGAAACGATGCGGCTGTCTGGAGGTAATTTAAGCCTCCTGCATTCGCTAGAAGTTGCTTCTGCAGCTCATTCAGGCTCTCCGCACTCAGCTGGGTGGGATTATTCGCACCTCCTGCCGCATTCACATCAGATTCGGACTCATTTGTGGTCATCGCTGGTCCACAAGTCGGTAAATGGCGCTGAAAGGCATCGTAGTTCCTGTAGGTACACTGGCACCGATCGCACTTCACCTGACCGGTGAACTGAGCCGTCGAGAGATTCCCATCCCCGGCTATTATCCGGAATTCCGTTATGGAGTCGTCCACGCCGTCCATTTGCATTATCCTCATCTTGGCGGGCTCTTCGCGTCCTTCGCTCTTTTCGAAGTAGCGCTTGGCTGCACTCCAAGTGAAGCTCTTGCTCCTCATGGAACCAGATGTGGTGGCTACGCCTTCCGTGGATGCCTCGCTGATGGATTGCCTCCGGGAAACGCCAGCCACGGTGGCCATCTCCTTTTTGCTCCGCTGCTGACTGCTCAGGGTTAAGAGCACTCCTTCAGCCAAGTTCTTCGATAGTTTCCGCCTCTTAATGGCCGTGGCCATGGCACTATTCCCGTCCAGCTTCGGCCACGCCAGCGTTTTGAGCATCTGCACTTGGCTGGAGTTTCGGGCTGCGGACAGCATGGCATCCTCCACGGGATTGCTGGCTGGCCAGCCATTTCCCAAGCTCGTATTCGAATTCCGGGTGTCCTCATCACAGATGCTCACGGAACCAGCTCCTCCGGCTTGTTGATTTTGGCTCTGAACCTGGCTGGAGGTCATGGCCTGAGTGCCGTCCTTGGATTGCTCACTAATGGCAAACAGGTCTTGCTTATCCGCCAGGTCTTCGTACATGAATATGTCCAGCATGGAGATGCCATCGAGTAGCTCGTGGGGCAGATCCTCGAAAATGGCATCTTTGATCTCCGGCGGAAGCAAATCAGCCTGCTGTTGTGGCTCCTCTTCCGTGTTCTCATCCGGTGGCACACAAGAGTTCGGGTTGGGAAACTCGCCGCTCCAATCGGCGCCGCCATTCTCCAGGAAATCACTCCTAGCCAAACTGGTGTGCCAGCGGGCAATTTGCGCCAGACCCAACTGAACCTCCTTGCCATTCGGATTGGTGTGATCCACCGTATAGTTCCTGCCCACATCCAATGCTGTGAGAGTTGACGAGCTGTTCTGGATGACAGTGCGCACTGTATACTCCACTATTTTCCAGGGTTCCTTGGAAGACCAATACAGGCGACTACACAGGAAATTAATGGGCACCACCGCCTCGTAGGAATCCGAGAATCTCGGAACAATGGTTCCCAATTGCCGGACCTCCAGGGATCCAATGTGGAATTGGACACGTGCTGGTTCAATCAGCTTCTTGCGCTTTCTATCCAGTTCCACGTAAACGGGTCGCGATACTTCGAAGTTGGATTCGTACGTGACACTGGGGGAACCATTGGCCTTCAGGGCATTTCCATTTTTGGCATGGGCGGGGCAATACATGGATTTGTCGGTAAGGAAGGCGCAGTCGATGCTTCTGGCACAGGGGTAGTGATAGTGCTCGCCGCAGGATCGCACGTTGCAGCCAACGGTGGCGCCTCGATTGCCACACACCGTGCACTTGATCATCCTTCCCCTGGCCACGGCACTGTGGACATTTTGCAGGGAGCCATCGATCTCCTCGAACACCTCCGCTGACCACATGGCACAGTTGGTGTGAACCCAGCAGTCGTGACCACAGTACAGGAGTCGTGCCTCCTCGCCGGACAAACCTTCGCCGCTCTTTCGACAGAAAAGGCACATTCGGGTATCCAGTCGCATTTTGATGCCACAGCTGCCAAAATCGTCGACTTCCTCGAGGGGAATATCCAACACCCCGGAGCGCGACTCTGCCTGCGAAGTTGAGTGTTCGTTGTAGACCGAGGCACTTCCTCCTACACCTTCCTGCAGATCCTCATAGTTGGTCCCCGAACAGGACTCAAACATATCCTCCTCGAGAGCATCCGTGCAGGCTTTCGTTTCGTTTTGGAACCAGGGAAACTGCTCACTCAACAGCTCCTTGTAGGCAATGTCCAGTTCATCGCAATTGCTCTGCTGGATAACCTGGCTCATGTCGTAGTTGAATTCCGCCAGGGAAACGTACGAGTTGCCGGCAATCTTTTGCTTGATATCCACCAGGCTGAAGGATTGCGGATGACTGATGGGCTGTTGGCAGGAGCAGGGCACAGATTTTACTCGTGATTTGTTGGCGTTCACATTCCTTTGCTGCTGTTGCTGCTGCTGCTCCTTGAACTCGTAGACATCGTCGCTGTTCTGCGACTCCCCATCGCTTCCCAAACCATTGTCCGATCCACTGAATTGCAGGGCCTTGGGCTGGAGTTTTCCTTGGTTCGTGGATGCTCCGCAGGTGCAACGCAGCTTCTTGCGCGGACTCAGTTTGAGAAGCGCACACGCCTGTCGAGATTTGCTGAGAAGCTTTAATACACTGTAGAGACTCGCTTTGAACTCCTCCATGACCGCCTGCCGCCACTCCTCTGCCTTGATCCTGGAGTTCTCGTTCCTGCGCGCACACTTCTTGCAGATAAATTCGATGGATTCGGGTAGAGTGCTCAGCAGATTGTACTGCTCGTCGCTGAGACCTTCGCACTTGGAGTGCACCCACTGACCACAATCGCCGCACTCCATCATCTTCAGATCGAAGTCATTGTCGTCGTAGCACCGTTGGCAAATCGGACAAAAGTTGCCCTTCTTGCGCAGCTTAAAGCAACCCGTGCACATCGGTAGGTTGCCCACAAACTTCGATACCTTTGTGGTGGAGCATGACTTGCATTTCAAGCAGTTCACACATATTAAAGGCCGATCTGCTCCCAAAAGCCTCTTGCTGGTGCCCAAGCACGTGCTGTGATAGTTCTTCTGGCACTTCTGGCACTTGACTTTAGATCCCGATGACATGTTGCAGGTGTAGCAAACGGTGCAGCGGGGACACAGCCAATTGAGGCGTTGCGTCAGTTGATTCAGCGACGATGACGATGGCCCAGAGGCGCTTAACGTCGTCTCCAGCATGCTGCCCATCAGCGTTGTGTCCTCAAACGAACCGTGCTTCAGGTTGTACTCATCCTGGACGCAGTACTGATGATACGGCTCGCAACAGCAGGCGCAGAAGATCAGGGGATCTAAGCCGGTGGATCCGCACAGGAAGCACAGAGCCCGCTGAGCCACTGTTTCGGTTACGATCAATCCAAAACCCGTTTGGCACACTTCAGCAGGATCGTAATTCTCCCAGAAATCGATGGAGATCAGCGTTCGTTGCTGTCGCTGCTCCTTCGCCCTTCGTCCTTGGGTTTGATTCGAGGATTGAGTGACTGAACTGGAGGTAACGATGTCTCCGTTTCGCTGCTTTTTGCTGGCCGCCACAATTAGGTTTGATGTAACTGCTGCATTTCTTGTTGTGACCTTGGCAGGTGCTGCTGCTGTTGAAGATGCTGCAGATGATGCTGCTTCCTTTCCTGCGGCGGCTATCTTCTTCACTTCAGTCTGAGCAGCTCCAGGTGACTTACTGGGCTTCGATTCCTCAGCAGGAGTAGTTTTACAGCTTGCACAATTATCGTTCTCGTCAGTGACAATTTGAGTTGGTTTGTCGGAGACAGTCTCTGGATTTGCTGATGGCACTGGAGTTGCAGTTTCCTGCTGCACTTCAGCCGACTCCTCCTCGGGCTGCTGATCCTCGCCGAATGTGGCCAAAGGTTGCCCAAGCACTATGGAGGCACTGCGGCAGACGTGCTTCACTCGAGGTCCCTTCAGATCAATCCTTTGTCGTTTTAGAGTGTCGCCCGTAGCGTTGCTTTCCCCATTAGTTTCGGTTTGGGCAACTGCTTGAGTGGTTCCATTGGAAGATGCGCCCTGTGTTGCCGTTGCACTGGTTGAGGGTGTTTGTGGTGCCTCCTCCTTTGGAGGCTCTTCCACTGGACTCTCCACTGCTGCAGATTTCTTTGCGGCTGCCAATGTGGGACTAAGAGGCTTCTCGGTCTGCTCTTGTTCCTTCGCCTTCTCCTTTTCCTTTTCCTGCTTACTGGTCTTCCTCGATGGACTGGGACTAATCGCTTCAGAAGATGTAAGCTTCTGATCCGCGGCATTGCTGATCTTCAAGAAGAGAGGCTTCTCCAAAATTGCGGGCCGCAGCAAAGGTGTACTGCCAAATGTGACATTGTTCTCTGCCAGAGGATTGGATTTGATTGAGGGCAAAGCAGAGGTTGAGTCACCAGAAGATTTCCACTTGACAGACGAGGAAGCAACCACAGATGAGGAAGTTGATGACGTCGAGGCCGTAAATCTTACACTTCCCGTTGGAGACAGTAGCTCTGTAGACTTATCATCTCGCGGAGAGGTCTCCACTCGCATCCCTGGAGGCAGAATAGCACTCAACCTACTCCTATGCGCCGCCGGCAGCTGGAAGGCGATCATGCTCTTCTTTAGCCAACAGGCGGTACAACGATCCTTGTAAAACCTCTTGAAGTTTTTCAACTGACTCTTTGTTGCCTGGATGCTGCATGCTGTTCCTGTAAGGAAAAACATAAAGGGGATTAGAGAGGTGCTTAAGGGATTTAGGTATATTAGACATACCTTCGCCTCCTTTGCATTGCAGCTGTTGACTGCCGGAGGAAGCATTGGCACTGCTCGAATTGGCCGATATAGATTTCTTGGTCATCTTTGAGATGAACTTCCTGCAAACTTCGCAGGCTACCACTCCAAACTTTCGGGCCTGACCCACTTCTTTGCTGCTGATCACCGCGGAGCACACGGAGCAGGCACTGGGTGTGGGTGTTCCTAGGGAAAATTTCAATAAAATATTAAAGGAAATAAATATTTTAGCGATCAAACAACAAACCTCCTGTTGAAGAACTGGTGCCGGGACTGGCTAGTGATCCAAAGGACGAAACCGCCAGGGAATTAGCTGACGTCGGAATGGCACTGGGCGATAATTGGCTAGTGGTGGCACTACCAAACGGTCCCGATTTGCTGTCCGCCTGAAACTGCAGGCGCGGCTGTCTTAGCACAAAGCTTCCAGTCGCACTACTACTTGGTTTCAGGCTGCCAAAGCTCGAGAAGCTGTCCTTTGATAACTTTAGACTTCCAGAAGCCGCGGAGCTCGATGCAGAGGATGCCAAACTGGAGCTAGCTGTTCCAAAGGGGTTCTTCGTCTTGCTGTCACCGCTCATTGTTGTTGGAACCTTCTTGCTGCTAATGCCACCGTCCTCGAGCAATCTCTTGTTGGGCTTAATGATTCTGGAGGACCTGGTGCTTCTTTTGGGCAGCACAAAATGCGAGTCCATGACCAGTTGCTTCTCGTCCGGATCCCGCTCTTCGGCTCCTGCACTTTTCTCCGTTTCCGCGCTCTTTTCGGATGCAGCTTCATCATTGTCCTCCTGCTCGTTTTCGTCCTCCTCCTCCATTTCTTCGTCGTCCTCATCCTCGTCCATTTCTTCATCATCCTGATCTTCGGGGGAATCGTTGCGACGAAAGGTAACGCCACCCTCATCATCCTCATCCATGGGAGCGCCAAAAGCGCGCGATAAACCAAAGACGTTGGGAGAGGATCCTGGATCCTGGTTGGAGGACGATGAACTCGCCGGCGCCGAACGAAATTTGAGCGCGTTGAGCTTATCGATGTTGGAGTTCTTGTTGAGTATCTTTGACAAAATGGAAGGACGCACGATGCACTCGCCGCCTCGGGAGTAGTTAAGCGGTCGATTCAGGGAGTCCTTCTTCATGATGGAGACGATTGGTGTGCGGATATCCGGGTTGTAGAATCGCTTTACCACCGACTTATCATCGCTTGTCTCCAGCACATTCCTAAATGTCACCGTCTTCTTTTGCTTGGCCACTGTTGTTCCCGTGGCAGAAACTGCCTCTGTTCCTGATTTAGGACTACTGCCTCCAGTTGATGATCCTGCTGCTGGCGCTCCAGAGGATGCTGCTCCCTTTCCCGATGCCGCTCCACTCGCCGCTGCAGTGCAGCTTGAGGGAGCGGCTTCGGGGGCAACTTCGTTGGGCATTTCGCTCAAGACGCGCTTCTGGAAAAGTACACAAATAAAAGGGTTCAGTGGGTTTCACTTGGGGTTGAGTTGAAGAAGGGGTTCGGTTCCAAGCAAATCAATAATTCATGCCACTAACTACACGCTCACAAAATGCGAAGCGGAAAGAAATGCAAGTAATATGAAGCAAGCAAAACATACACAGCAAGAAATTAAAAGTAAGAAATTAAATGATATTTAAAATCAGTTCCACTTGATCCCATCCCATACCAAATTTTAAATTTAAATAAATTTATCAAATTGTACTTCAATTTTGTATGCTCCGAATATTATTAATTTTTTTGTCTCATAAGAAATTAATTTTTTGGTAATTTAAAGCCAAGACGTTGCCAGATCTTAAAATTAATTAAATCTTTAGAAGTGTTTAATGACCAATTGCGCGCCTTTCAGTGTAAGGGTAAAAACCAAAGAAGCATGCAAAGGACCAGGAGCAAGTGCAACTTTTCGAAGGGGTCCGCTTGGACATCGGGGGTTACAGAGGCGCGTGAGAGGGAGGTAGGGAGGGAAGGAACGGGGGGGATGGTATTGGTGCAAAAACAAGTTACTAAGCATAAGTATAAGCTGGGGAACAGACACCATTGCCACTGTGACCGTCAACCGTCTGCGGCAGACACATGTGGAAGAGTTGCAAGCGCTAAAACGTCATAAAAGCCAATTAAGCAGGTAAGCGAGCAGGTAACAATGGCGTCAGAGGCGGGTGGCTGGGTGTAAAGGGGCTACTAACCAGACCAGAACCATGGGTAAATCAACTTGAGGGGGTTCTCTTATTTACATTGGCGGGAATTGGACTGTGGCATTGGCCGAGGTTGTTGTGTATGTTGCGCTGCAAAAGGGTGCACACGCAACTCGATTGGATTGAGGGGGTTAGGGTGGCGGCAGAGAGAAAAAAGCGGCTTAAACATATTCATAAATAAAAGCAAAAGGGGGCAACACCTGGGAACAAAACCAGCGCAACCAAACACCGACAATCTGAAAATCAACTTACCAGGGCCTCATCCTCACCAGGGCTGGTCACGCCCCCTGCGCCCGGTACTCCCTCCGAGGAAACCAGACTGGCGGAGACACTTGTCGTGGTGGAGGAACTATCCACGACCGGACTATCGAGCTGCTTGAGCTTGGATGTGGAGGGCAGCATAACTTCGCCCCTGGCCAGGTTAAGATTTTTAAACTTTTTATTGCTATTCTTGCGAGCTCTCAGCAAAGCGGCACTTATAGCAAAGGCTCCTCCTCCTGGCGAGGATCCACCAGGGGATGCCAGTGCACTAGCTAATCCTGTGGAAGTGGTCGTTGTTGCCACGAACAGGGCTTTGAGGGATGCTGAACTGGGCAGGCTGGAGGTTGTGCTCTCTGAAGAAGCTTTAGAAGGCTTTCCAGCAGAGCTTGTCCCAGTGGCGGATGTTTTTGCAGTTTTTCCAGATAATACTCCGCTCGATCCCGAAGAGGATGCTTCAGATGGCCTTGCGGTCGCAGTTCCCATAGACTTTCCACATGATATTCCAGAAGAGGCTCCATCAGACGATGCCGAGGAATTACCTTCTGGCGACGAACCAGAGGACCTTCCAGAAGATGTTCCAGAAAGTGTTCCCGAGGAGGTTTTGAATGACTTGCCAGAGGATTTTCCAGAGCCACTTGCCAAAGATTTTGATGGCTCAGAGGATAGTGCTGCCAATCTTGAGGCATTTCCTCTCGTTTTATCACTGTCCCCATTTTGATCCTTCGTCACAGCCTCTTTGTCCAGATTGGCTGCACTTTTGTGATGTGTGCCGCCATTTACACCTCCGCCATTGGTGGATCCCGAACCGGATGAACCCGATCCCGATCCGGAACTGTTGCCATTGCCGCTATTTTCCGAGCTCGAGGCAGCTCCGGAAGAGGACGCCGTATTGCCACTAATGGAGGCGCCACCCGGCGCGTTATCATCCTCATCGTTATCACAATTGTTGCCCTTTTCCCGCGACGCCGGCGAACCGGAACCGGATCCACTTGGCTGCTGGGACTCCGCCGGTGGCTGTTGCGATTCCGCCGGATTGGCCCCCTCATCCTCCAGCTGCAGGACACTGATCCGCTTACGGTTGATCGACTTGGAGGGTTTGCCGGGAAACTTGGAGCGACCCATAATAGTAGTGCGTTTGCGTTTGACTTAGCATTTGCATTTGCCTGCCTTTTGATTGGGTTTTTCTTGTTGTTTTTTGTTCGATTTATGTTGGGACTTGCAGGGGATATTCTTAATTTTTTTTATTTCTACGATTTGTTTGCTTGCTTGGACTTGTGGATAGCACACTGTGGATTAAGAGAGAGGCACAAACTTCAAGTAAGAGAGACCAACTAAAAATTACCGGTATTAGCAAAAACTAGCAAAAACAAAAACACCAACAACAACACAGCTCTGGAAAACACAATGCTTGTAAGCCAAATCTCGCGTTTGGAATGCGTAAATTTTCCCCCTCGGTTTTTTATACTTTTTTTGCAAATCTCGTTGTTGTTGCTGTGGCAACTCGTTTATTTTCCACTCCTGCCGTCACGCCCCTTCACTGCCCACTCACTCCTTTTCGCACACACTCTTATTTCTTGGCTATTTATTTATTTATTTCTTTTCGCGCGCGATTCTCGTTGCGCGCTCCTTGCTCTGCGAATTACAAATACAAAGCCGAAAGTGACGTAGCCGCTCGACAGCCTCGGCTTTGTGGAATCTCTCGCGCCCGAACGCGCTTAAGCGCTCTCTCAGTCGCTCCTTACACTGTTAAAAATTTTAGTCTTCAAAAATCAACGAAGTCTTTTTTATGTTTTACGCCTTGATTATCAATAAAAATAAATTGTTTACGTATTTTTAATATTTCTTGGACTGAGTTTTTTCTATGCTATATAAACAATATTTTTATGAGTGCACTCTCTCGGGCACGACTCTCACTCTCCTCAGCGCCTTGGCCCGCTCTCTCCTGCTCCTGAGCAAGGAGCGCGCTAAAGGTGCAATTGCAGCTGCCTTTGTTCCGCTCCTTCTGCCGCTGTCGTACGTCTTGCGTGACCACTAATACACTCGCACCTGAATGAGTGATGCCAGCAATGGCTTGAAGTTTATATTCAAATTGAAAGGATTATTCGATTAATTTTTTTTAAACATGGGTCTGCCTTTGTTGTGTAACGACAATAAAATAAATGTTTCTCATTATTGACTTTGGTTAGGGCATTAAAAAACAATTCATAATTTGCATATTTTTTTAACAACAACATTTCGTGAAGGATATTAAAAACGTAATTTTTTTTGTAAACTCGATTTGTTTGGCTATTGTTAGCGGGAAAACAGTTACGATGGCAGACCTGACATGCCACCACCATTACACTCTTCACCACCACTAAATGTGTGCAGTTAACGAAAAAACAAAAAAAAAAACATTAAAACTGAAGCAAAACAACTGCTGCGTTGTGGCTCCTTAAACTCATTCCTTTTCTTTGTCACGTAGCACGCGCTCTCTTTTTTTTCTCGCAGACTCCTTTTTAAGAAAGGCTCTCTCATTCTCCTGCTCTCTGACTGTCTCTCTCTGGGACTCCCTTTCTCCCTCCCTCCCACGGGTTAGTTGTCATCGACGTTTTAAGTGGTTTTTCTACTTCAGACTTGAACTTTTTCTTTTCTTTGCAGGATTTTCTCGTTTAGGTTTCTGTTGTTGTTGTTGGTGCCTTTGTTTTTTCTCTCGAATATTTTTTTGTTTGCTGGAAATTGAAATTCTTACAGTTGTTTTTGTTGTTGTTGTGGGCCACTATTAAGTGGTGGGTTTTCCCTCTGCTGCCTCTTTTTACGACAGTTTTTCTCTTTGTTCTCGCTTTTATGGCCTGATGAAAATTCTTCTTTTTGCGCGTTTAGTTTTTCTGCGTTGGGAGTTTCTGCTCGACGAATTCACAGTTTTCCACATTGCTGTACTTTCGCGGCAACTTTTCTCATCTGTAACCGCTCTTGTTGTTGTTTTGCTTGTTGTTGTTGATGCTGGTTTGTGTTGGCGGCCACATTGTGCTCATTATCATTACCATCATTATCCCCATCATCATCTCTATATATCCTCGGTCTACATCATTGGTATTTTATCCCATTCCACCACACTTCTTCTTCTTTACACACACTGGCTCAAAAAAGTCTGCAGTCTGCAGTCTGCGTGTCTTGAAATCTGCAAAAAATATAATCGAGGGGGTGGCGGTAGGTGGTCGGGTGGAAAGGCGGGGAAGAAAAAAAACAAAAAGTAGAAATTTATTAGTTCGCTTCGTCGCAGTTGGGCAAACAAGTTGAAAGTTGACTTTTCGAGTGTTTGAGCGTGTGTGCAAATGTTTGTGTGGGTGACGATGTGCGATGATTATGCATGTGTGTGTCGGTAAGTGAGTGTAAGTGTGCACAGAAAGAAATTTCGATATCTTAATAAAAATGCCTTCATTTTATAATTACAAATGGTTCTTTACAGGGACAATATTGTCTTACAAAAAGTTTCAAAAGTTTAAAACACTCAAAAAGACTTCTAGAAGTATGCCATCAATGTAAAACATAACATTCCTGCATATGAGATATTTGTGAGCTACAAATATATAGTAGCATACTTTTTGACGCATTTCTAGAACTTTTTAAATTCCATAAACTAATGTTTACCTATTAAATAAGCGTTAGAAAACTTATACTGTTTTGATATAAAAAGTTTAACTGTAAGAAGTTTACTAATTCATTAATATTAATATATTTTGTATTAATAAATTGTGAGTAATTATATAATATTTTCAGTGTATACATATGTAAGCTTAAGTGCTCGGAATGAGGTGAAAATACTTTCGAGATTTTGGGGTGGTGGTCGACGCTTTGGCCTCTTCCTAGTTTTTCTCAACTCCTTTTTCCCACATTTTCCGAAAGCATGACTCAGTACGGCGTAATTGTTTTCCGTTTCGCCTCTGGTTTCTACTCAAAGGTGTTTGGCAGTCAGTTAGTTTACCTGGTTTACCTGCCTCGTTAGTTAGTCAATCTTGTCAACTGTACTGCATACTGCTCCCAAGCAAGTCAATTTAAACTGCATTTGTACAACCAGATATGTAGTGGTTACAATGGGCCAGAAGGCAGTAGAAAGTTCAAATTTTTTTTTACATTTTTCCATTTATTCAATAAAGATTTTATTAATTTAAATTTACATATTTTCAATGTCCATAAAGTTTGCTCTTATTTTTATTTCAAAATAATGCAAAATTAACTGTTCTGACACCCACTGTACCTTAACTTGAGTCCCATGCCACTGTCTCAGTTGTTTGCGATTTGTGATTTTATTTGTCGATTTTCCTCGTTTTTATTTTATATCGCCTGTGCTTTGGTTTTTGTTTCTACCATTGAGTTGTATCTTTATAGCCCCAGCGGTGGCATGATGTAAGCATGGGGGTTTAAGACAGCAAATGGGACTGGGACTAAAGCGGGCTTAATTGGACGACACTCCTCCGTATTTGCACGGCGATTACACTAATTGCTGCGGAGTTGCCGTGAATTGAATACCTAATACTCAATATGCATATGAATAATTTGCATTTAAAATCGATGGATGATGGAGTGTTAAAAATATGTACCTAATAAAGATCTTAATCTGTCCAAGTGATTTGTGTGTATTTAATATGATGCCTTGGGAGTTTATTAAACATATAATTGAATAAAAACCTTGGAAATCTACTAAATTTGTTATAGAACTAACTGAATTTGATTAACCAATAGACAGATTCGAATGGAAGCGTTTCTCCATTCTTGGGACCCTACACAATTACCAAACGTAATTACATATTTCTAATATAAAAGACGTTGGACAATTTCTAAAACGCACAGTCTGGTTGTTGTATAATCTTTTGTAATCTTTAAAAAAGATCAAGACCACGAATTACATAAACATACGATATTAGTGGCCATTTAATACCGAACACAAAACACTAGGCAAATATCATGACATAACAAACTAAAGGTTAATTCTCTCAAGCTCAAAACAATTGTCAACAATTTAATACCCATGCACGGGGCAAGACGAAGAGGGGGTTGGGTCGACGGCAGACAAGCAAAAAACAATCACAAAAACACTCACCAGCGAACAAATTGCACACAAATTGTATCTGAGAAACCCACACAAATACTGGGGAAATGCGCAGACAGCAGCAGAATGCTAACTACGTTGTGTGTTGACATCAATTAACTAAATCGCTTTAATTATGTGCCACCAACCGAACGGCAGCAACAACATCAAAGGCCCAGGGAGAACTCGGCATGAATATTTCAACGAATCAATAAAATCCCACAGAACGATGACAAAACGCGATGATATAGACGGCAAAATGAGCAAATTCAAATGCAATGGATGTACAGGGGTAGCTCCTTAATTACGGTCCATTTGTTTAATAAGGGTAAGATGTCTTTTTTTAAGTACAAGGGATGAAGCCTACTGTATAGAGGGTGTTCGCTAATTGCTGACCATTTGCTTATAAGTGGACGATGGGTTAAAAATTAATTACAGCTTTCGGTTCTTCATTATTTTATTTTGACAATTATAGATAAGGAATTTAATTATACGGCGTCGTATTTGGAAATTTATTCACAGAACAGAGCACAAAACTGTAGAATTTCTATAATATGGAAGTTTGTTGTCTAGTTGAGTTAAATCAAAATTAACTTTAAGGCAAAAAAAAAGCCAAAACTAAAAATGAATTTATTAGGTTGCAAATATGAATTAAAAAAATTCTGAGCTTATTGGTTAAATTTTTGGATAATAATCAATACTTTTATGCCTTTTTTCTGCCCAACCAAGGTAAACAGCAAACATTATCAAAGGGGAAGCCAAATTGAGAACAATTTTTTAATCGAATATTTTTAAATTAAATCTTTTCAATGAAATACAAATCCTATTTAAAATCTCAAATTTGTATTTATTGCTTACATAAAAACCCTTTGTATATTGAATTGCAATTTATTTTATTATTTTAAATATGATACATTCGCCTGTGTCCTGATCCCCAATTATTGGCGCTCAAGTGACGGCTCTTCTGAAATTCGAGTGCAGCCATAAAAACCAGAGTCGCGCGGAATGCGTAAGAGGGAGGCTGAGAAGGGGGAGTGGTAGGGGCAGTGAGGGCAATACAAAGGGGAACAAGAGACAATCGACGAACAAAACGAACAATCTCCCGGCGAATAGCGTATAACGAGGCAAAGTAAAACTGGCCTGGCCAATTCGAAATTCGAATGCATCGTCATCATCATCATCGTCTCCCGCGAAATCGACAGCCGAGTAAACACGAAGATAAACGAATATTAAACCAAAAGTGGGCTGAGAAACAGGGGGTGGGCAAAAGAGAGAGAGAGAGAGCCAACACACACACCTTTAATTTAATTGCCATCAATTATGGTAAAAAGATTAAGAAATCAAAACAAGCGCAAAAACGTTGAGGAACTTGAATAAGAAGAATGGGCTAAAAAATGAAACGATATACGGTCACTGAACAAAAATCAATTCTAAATAATTTAGCCAGGAGATATCCTTTTTAAAACTAATGATTGGTTAGTTTTATTAAAACAGACTTGTTGACTTGGTTTTGTTTTTTAAAGTAAATCTCATATCTTATCTAGCAGATGACAGCATGTGGAAATTATGCCATTTAATTTCGCAATAATACGTCTACTGCTGTTAGCTGATATGGGAACTCGCTCATAAATTGCTTAATTGATTAAAATTGACATCTAATTATACGTTTTTTGTTGTGTACCCATAACCCTCTCTCTATCGCTTCCCCTTTACCAATCCCCATCTCTTTCGCACTACATGCCAATAACCGCCAAAGAGGCGCGAGCACAAAACTTGCAAATTGCGAGTAATTGAGAAGATTAAAGTCAAGCACACGAGAGCAGAAAGAGATGAAAAATAAATAAGGGAAGGGGGTTAAGTGGGAGGTAAATGGAGAACGGATAATAGGGGGCGCCGAGAGAGAGGTGCAGAGAGAGCCAGGTAACGAATCGAGGGGCGAACGATTAAGAGCCATAAACACGAGCACGACAATCACAACAAAACTCACATACAGCTCCCACTCACACATTAACCAAATAGACAACTATCTGCATGCCACATATACATACTTCTGTACAAACTAGATTGACAAGTTGGAAAAAATCGAAGTCAACCTCGCACATAAAATATGTAAATTTGTATGAAATTATGCAAAAATGTCTTAAATAAATTTACACTGAAAAAAATTCAAGATAGTTTTTGCAAAATGTTTATACATATTTCTTAAAACATATGAAAATTATAAATGTAACCATTTAAATAGTGAAGAAAAAATATAGAAAGTGCGGAAAAATACTTATAGTGGAATTTACATTTGGACCGTGTCCAAATTACTTATTACCAGACCACTTCCATTTTTTCCAGTGCAACAATGAGAGAGCTCAGAGAAAGCAGCTGAAGAAGTTGAATCAACAAATGAGAGACAGAGCCCCCATCCCCAATCCCCAAAAATCGAGAGCGAGAGAGCGCACGCGGGGGAGTGTATGTATGTTTGCCTGTAAATCAAAACACGCAGCCAAAGGTGAAACATGAAAAATGTGCGCGCCAATAAACGTGCGAAAGGTGTCGTGGTATGGGTGTAATTCGGTTTAGTATTGGGATGGATGGATATCTCTGGGCCATGAATGAGCATTGAAAATTGAGAGCCGACTTGACTTGGTAGCTCGCAATTTTGATGTCCAATTTGCCACGAAACATGAACTAAATACTCGCAAGTATGTGTGTCTGTGTGGACATCTGGTTTTGCGACGGTGGTGGATGATGGTTTGTTGTTGGTAAAAGGTAACAAAACACAAGATAAAATAGTATAAAGCCTGTTGGCAGCTGCAGCCTCTCCAAACGCACCGCATCGTAAATAAAGGTGTAAATACCCCCAACTGGTAACGACAATGCAAAGTAACATTTTGGACATTGAATGAAATAAAAATCACTATTACGGTAAACTTTCGCTCTAAAGATTTATTTTTGAGAACTAGAAACTTATTAAAAGATCAGCAAAAAATACTTAAAACAAAACATTAACATTTAGAAAACTATGTTGTATTATTGGGCAGTGCCCCTTCAATCCAATTTTAAAATATTATGCGAGGTGTGTTTAATGAGTTGCGAGCGCAGTGAAGCGTAAAAATGTATTCGGACGAGCGTCAGTTAGTCCCATTCGCATTTAAATTTCCATTCAAGATCTCGCATTAGCTTACGGCTCAGTTGGCCCGACTTTTGAAAGGCGAATTTTAATATGCGCAATTACTCATTTTGCCATTTTGCGCCTCAATGTTATTTGGCGCGTAGTTTCCCACACACATACATTCATACACATAGGCAATTTGGAATTTGCCTTTTTGATGGCAAATAAAAAAATGGCGTCAACAAATACACGAAAAGCTCGTGTATAAATATATATTTATTTTGTAATTATTCAACAGCATCTAGGCAACGAAAAGCAGCGGCAATCGATTTAGCTGCTGCTGCCGAGATCGTTTTTCATTTTATTGTATAGTTTATTAAAAGTTTCAACAGTGCCAGCAACAAAACAAACAACAATTTTAGTTATACAAACACTTTGGCCATGTGAGCGCAAGAGCGAGAGGCAAAGAGAGCGAAAGAGAGAGCGGTTGAATTTGATTTAGAATGAGGCGACAACAAAAGCAATTAACTGGTCACACATTAAGTTTTATTTATCGATGCTGCTTTATTATGGCTCGGTTATGTGTTTGTGTGGGTGTGCCAGCGACTGTCATTTACCGTTCGTTTTACGGGTTGTTAATAATGGAAAACGTCGTAGATGGAAAATCTCGGGTTGGCAATAAGCTACAGTGGAACTTTTTGCAGCGCAGGAAAATTTAAGAATTTGAAGCGTTACATGGTGATGAAAAATGTCAACAATAACTAAACTTTTTCTGGAAGAAAACAATGTTTCCGTTATTAAAAAAGCAAGTAATATTTTTGACAATATACAATAATAACCCATAAGGAGAGTTTAAAAATCTTTCTTAGGTATTTCCAAAACTTAAAAAAATGTCATATGAACCAAATTATAAGGTCAACCCACTTAGGAAAATCCATACAAATAAATTAAAGCTGTTTTAATTATTTTAAGTCTTTGATACTAAAATAACACAACTACTCAAAATGAAAATATATGTATAAAAATTATACTGAAATGTTTTTAAAGTGCAAGGTACTTGTAACAGCTGTTAGTTTAAACTATAAGGGTCCCACTGTGGTCATAAATCGCAGCGTGGGCCATAAACTAACAGTATTGGTTGTGCAGCCTAATTTGCATTATCGAGTGAATAATTGAACGACACTTGCTGGTAATACAAGCAAAGAACAACAATCTAAAACTACTGACTAGAAGACTACAAAGGTTAGTTGTGGGATTATGAATATGAAAATGATGAAGTATGATAATGTAATGTGGTGTTTGTTTGTGAAATGTGTAAAGTATCTCCGGGTGTATTCCAAATCAATATCTGGCATGTTTATATATATGGAAAATATATATTCACGGCAGACTGACTCATCGGCAGCCGGCGACGCCTTTTATCGCGTCGATCTTTTAATTACCTTTTTCCCGAACGAAAAATATCCAGATGCAGATTGAGATTTCGTTTCAGGGGTTGGTGGTGTTGCATTCACCGTTCGGCATTTTTAGTATAGTAATAATCCAAAATCAGGACTCATTTTCCACAACAAAACGGCACAGAAACACACACAAAACACTAGTAAACACGAAATACAGGGGTGGAGATTGCGATTTTCGTTTTTATTTTCGTTCACTTATTTCTTGGTTTTTGCTTTGGCTCTCACATTCGCCGCTCTCTCTCTGTTGCTCTCGCAAAACAAACGCACAAAAACACGAACACACACACACACCGAACGAACGAACCGCTCTCTTGTTATTTTCGCTCTCTCGCGCCCGCGCGTTTCGTATATACATATATCACTGCCTGAGTGTAAGTGTCTGTATGTACGTATTTTACGACGATGAAAAATGCCTGCTTCTTCTTCACCCAAAATCAGGTTTGCTGCTCTCGATTTTCACACTTTTTTGACGACTGAACCTTGCAAATTTGATGCAATTTCATTGACAGACACTGCACACAACACTCTTACACACTTTTCATAACAGTTTATCAATTATTTTGCACATTTTCTTCGTTTTTCGACGAGCGAAACGACCGAGCTGCGAGATTTGTTAGTGTGACCAACGGTAGTAGTTAGAGATGGGGCGAAAGTCGATATTTCACGAAATAGAAAAGGTGCAATAGCAATATTTGGATTGTGTCCCAGGTAACTGTGCAGTTTTGATCTGGTCACACTAAGCCAATAGGCGCCCTATTTGAAATGAAACTAATTCTTTTACATAAGCTTATTTGTTTTAAATTATTTTTTTGGAATTCAGCAATGGAAAGCATTAGTTTTTGGATGAGTGTTGCTTATTTTCGTATAACTTCAGTTTATTAAGGGCAATTTGACAATTGCTATTGAAGTGTAAAATTTTATAGTTGTGCAATACTTAAACTCCACTGACAAAAGCTAAAAGCTATACGACTACATTTGAAAATTCAAACATGGAAACGGGCAAAAAACTGAAAAACATTTTCAAACTAAAAAAATATAAAGCTGTAAAAGAACATAGTTTTTTTTAAAGATTTTTAATGTTAAAAAAAATTAGCTTATAAATTAATTTAAATGAAATATATTTGTTTTCTAACATTAACATTAACCAATTGTTAAAAAACAAAATCCGTGCCAAAATTGACATGCAACACCTAATTTTCGAACCCATTATCAGTATGTGTACTTCGGGTTAGTTGTGATTTCATAATGAAGACATAATGTGCGGACACACATAAACAACTTGTCAGCTGCGTTGACTCGAATTTGGTTCTTTGCAAAAGTTATTAACCAAATTTTTGGGAAAACACCCAAACGCTTTATACATTCGCAAGGCGCGAAGTAAACAAATGAATTTTGGTCAACGATTCGAACGTGTCTGCCCAATTATCACCTTTTTGATTCACAAAGTAAACCCAACTGTTGCCGGGCGAGACAGGAAGGACGGAATTTTGCGTGGTTTTATCAACGTCACTTTGACCACGTTTCACTTTTATTCGCAGGAAATTGAATCACCAGGCTGCCAAATCTTTTCCCCAGTGACAAAGAATGGTAACCTACATTCAAAAGATGCTATCTCATAAAAGCGATCGTGAATTGTTTTATATCACTGGAAAGTTTCTAAAGAAGGATGTGTTAATTACGGTGGCCCAAATTGAAATTTATTACTCAATAAATTGTTTACGATGATTAAGGGTGAAATGGTTGTGAACACAATATCTTATTGGTAGCCAATAACACTTTATTTGGAACCTAAACATTGGCTTAAAAATTAAGGACCTAATAACTTTTGTTTACTCCTTTTGAACTCGATTATCAGTTGTTGACAACGTTGGTTAACTAACTAATTTTTTTTAGCACATCACCGTTAGTCGGTCCGTTTAGGCGATAAGAAGGATCGATAGCAGTATATCTATATCTAACATGTATTACCTTGTACTGTGACAGTCGTTCCCAGCTTATCTTTGCCCAAAACAACACGAATTGCCTGTCTTATCATAATGAAACTTTTGTTTTGACATTATGCCGGTGTGCTCTTTGTGTTATATCACCGGATTTCTATAAATAGTTTTAGAACTTTGCCGCAATCTGCAATGCAAACGATGACGTCCGTAGCCGGAAAATTCCCTGCTCATCACCGAATAGGGATTCCTCCCCAGATCCCGGGCTTATCACGCATGCTAATTAAGCTCATGACGAACTGAGCCAAACAAAAGAAAATAAATACTAAATGTCATTATACCTGCGCACCTGTCACCGTCATCCAGTTATCATTTAATAATCAGAGAGAGCGAGAGGAAAACAAAGAGCGCTGCTTAAGTGATTATCGCTAGCTTGCAGGTGCATTTGCACACATACATACGTGTATGTGTATATGGTACAGTATTTACCATCAATGTTATTATTTTTTGATATTCGAAACTAAAATGTTCTTGATTTTAGTACAGTATTTACTATCACAGATATTATTTATTTTTTTTCGAAACAAAAATCTTTTTTGATTTCCATTTTAAAAATAATAGAGATATGTCACTCTGAGATTAAATTTAAATTGACGAATTTATGAGCTCAAAAAATTGCTATATGTGCTCTTCCGTTATCAAGGGAGCCCACTGTACCTGTAATGTTCTCTTTCCGCCGGCTGGTCCAACGTGTTTGCTATCACCATTATCACTCGAATTAGGCACAATCACTAAGCGAATCCGAGCACCCAAAAGTACTTGGAAAAGTAATGACTGGCGGGAAATGAGTAACGGAGGTAAGCCCATATGTATTTGCTGACTCTCGTACTTGTGTGCGCTTCCAATAAGCGACTATTCCATTCTTTAGTTCTTCCAGCCGAAGACACCGAGCGCCCCTCAAGCTGAGCGCTAAAAGAGAGCGTTCCGGACGGAAAGAGAGCTCTGCGGAGAGCGAAGAGCCAGCTTTTGGCTTTTGGCGATCGCTCGTCGTCGGTTGCTCGCCAGTAAATTCAATTCGGCGGTCACTTGTTTTTGAGTGCTGCTTGGAGTTGGTCGCTCGCCTGCTGCGCTCTTAGTTGTATTTGTTTGGCTTACTTAATTTAGTTAGTGCCTCCGTTTAGCTGCGAAAAAGCTGAAAAAAAAGGAAAATAATCAAATATAATATCGCGTTGTCGCCGCCGTCGTCGTATTTGTCGTCGCCGCTTTTGTATCTGTGTGCTTGTGAGTGCCGAAATGGAAAAAAATATATAATAAAAGAGTTGCTATTAAGTGAAATATATACACACAACAACTAAGCCAAAAGTTAGAGAACGTTTGCTGTTGTTGCCAAGGGGCAAACGAGGAGCATCTGGTGGGCATAAAGCCCCGATTGTGTGGATTTACACTCGGTGCTCCCCACTCGATTTGCATTGTGACAAAACAAAAGCCGCCGTTGTCCCACAGACATACAACAACGATTTAATTAATAACTTAAGTAACAAACAGATCGCACGAACAGGCGGCTGTTCGAATTAAAACAAGAAAAATCTTAAAAGTTGTTCAATTTTTGTTCGTCGTCTAGGTAAAACATTAAAATACAAAAAGTCAACTGGCAAGAGATCACGAATCGCGGTTCACAAACACATGTGTCTTTCCATTTGTCGCAGACGGAAACAAATTCACGTACAGTCCAACTTCTATAACCCGGAATCCCCCGAGACCTTCACTTTAACAAGTTGAAGACATAAAAAATAATAGCCATAACTTAAATATATGTAAGGAAACCAATTTCAACAGAGCAATTTATTTTTGAACCCTTAAATCCCATTTTAGTTTCATGGTTTTAACTACAAATTACGTTTAATTAACTTGGAATATAGTTATATATATTTTAAAGTTTACAGTTTTTACGATAATAGTGTCATGTTTTTACCTATTAAATGCGTTAAAAACGCTTTTGATTGTTTCTTTTAATTAAACATTCTTTCCTTACAATTCGTTTCATTAAAAAACGTGTTCGTAATAAATTTTTATTGAGTTATTATTTGTCGAACTGGAGGTTAGACCTTAAGAGGTTGGACTGTACCCACGTACACACGTCACCGGCACACTCCCACTCTCGCACACACCCACAAATGCGCGCCCACGAGCTCTGGAGATTTGCACAAGTGCAAAGACACAAAAATACAAAAACAAAAGAAACGAAAGAGGAAAAAAACAAGAGATTCGTTTGTTGCCAGCCTTGACTAGAGCGAAAAATCCCAAACTAAAGTAAAGTCAGTTAAATAATTGCTAGGAAATTGCACAACCACATTTGATTGCAGCCGCCAAAAAAAAAAAAAACATACATATATCAAGACATCCAAAAAAAGCCCCACGAACAGCGTTTAATTGTTTCATAATTGTGGAAATACATTCGTCTTATAATGAGACGGACAAAAAACAAAAAACGAAATTATTATCAGTGAGTGGAGTGACCGCACTTAGTATTTTTTATGTTCTTTGATTCAGGCGATCCAGTAAACAAAACAGAGAAACAAATTCAAGGAAATGGATTACTTTGTGAAGGCCTACAAAGATTGGAAACTGCATTCGCAGGTAAGCTATTGAGTTAATAAGTCAGTAATAATAATATAGGGGCAAGGCAAATGGACAAGGCCATATATAGGTGTCAATCCACTTACAATTCATAATTATTGTTGTGAGCACAAGATACAACAGGAAGCTGACGATCGGCTTACAATTAAGGTGTACACAAATTACAAAAGAAATTACAATTGTAAGTTGGCAAAGCAAATTACAAATTCAACTGAACAAAATTGACAAAAAGTGGCGTGAAAATATGAAAACACTAAGCATTTAGCTAATTTGTGTTAATTATTTAAAACATCAACTATTATATTCAACGATTACTTTGTCCTTTATTTGAATTGAAGTATTAAAAAGGGTTTAAGTGATGTTTAAATATTTTATATTTCTAAAAATTAAAGAGAAACACGGATTTTCATTTTTTCCTTTTGAAACCCCACTTTTGTTCCACAAAAATCTGTATCTAAGCCATAGAAATCTTAGACCTCTCTAAAATATATATAGAACTGGTAACTTATGGGACTCCAAACAATCTCCGCTTAACGGATTTTGCTACTCGAAACGTTTGCCTTTGGCAATCGGCTAAGATGACGCCAATACTGTGGCTTTCTTGCAGAAATGAACTCAACTTCTGTTGGCTTTTTGTCTGATCATTAATATGTTTTTTGTGCACCTTTTCTGCGGATTCGCGTGGTTGGGGAGAATGCGAAAGGCTGTGGAGTCACGGCAATAAGCGGTCGTTAGCTCTTGGCTTCAAGTTGTGGCTTTCAGCCAGACTCTAAGCAAATGCAATACAGTTGCGACCAGAGAAATAGATTCTGTTTGGGAAACTATAAAATACTATACGGGACACTACTAACATAATACACTTTATGGGTTCAAAATTGGGTCATATATGTATAAACAATTCTTATGCTAAAATGGAAAAGGTAGTTTCTATTGAATATTTTAATATTAATATTTATAACTTCATTACAAATGAATTTATTTATTTTATTAATTTAATTAGTTGGAAAGTAGCACTATTTCTATTTTTTTAAACCTGATAATAGATCATA